GGGACATTACTCATTTGTCCGTGGCCAATACCATCCGCCGTTTACCAGAGGGAGCCTTTGAAGGTTTCCATTACCTTCGCAGCATCGACACAAGGGGATTGGAGTTCATTTCATGGCTTGCCTTTGGTTCCTGCTTTCGCCTAGTGAATGTCCGCCTTGGTCCAGGCTTGACTCAGATTGGGGCCGCGGCATTCTATCGCTGTACGAGTCTCACCAATATCGTCTTTCCGCAAGGACTCAATGCCATTTTTGCCGGAGCCTTTCGTGAATGTGAATCGCTTTCTAGAGTATCGATACCATCCAGCGTCATTCGCATTGGCGATGAGGCCTTTTTCATGTGCTCTGCTCTAACAGAGGTTGAGTTTGCTGTTCCAGGACGCTTGCGCCAGATTGATGCCTCTGCTTTTGAGTCTTGTACGGCATTGAGTGTTGTTGCCTTACCGCCCACTTTAGAATCCCTTGGCAATAGAGCCTTCTTTGGATGCTTTGGTCTGCTCGGGGTCGAAACTTGTCCCAACCTTGGTGGAAGACTTGGCGACAATTGTTTTGCCCACTGCAAAGCTTTGGTCAACATTTCATTTTGCAACATAGGGTTTGGTCGTGATATAAGCCACAATTATTTTGAGGGCTGTGAGTTGCTACTATGCAATGAGATGACTGATGATATTTCGCATATTCCAGGCCGGTTTGCAAGACTTCCGGTCCACACGGCGTGCTACTACTCTTCCATGTTCCGATCTGACCTTGGGTTTCAAGTTTTGGCAAATTCTTTGAAGAATGAGCATGTCATGGAAGATTCCTATGGAATGACACCCTTCCATATCCTCGCCACCTCACCAAATCTAAATGCGACAGTCTTGGAATGCCTTCTTGACAGATATCCTGCGGAGCTTTCGGAGCACCGAGATATCCATGGGAAGACCATGATGAACTACTTGTTCGATCATACCTCGAGCAAGTCCGTTCCTCTCTTGAAGATGATGCTCGAGAGAACTATCATTATAAAGATGGAAGGATGGGGACTTGCTGGGAATCAGCACACTCAACTACTTGGCTTTTTGGAATCGATCCAAGGTGAGGATGACATTGATGCCAGACGAAAATCCATCCGTGCCTTCTTTCGGTATGTTGGAAAATGGGTGCGACATGAAATGACTTTTCTTTTGGAGTTGGCTCTGTGGAAAGTGGCAATAATGGCCAGCGATGACGATGACAACGACGATCCAATCCATCGCGCAAACTGTCGAAATCAGAGTCGAGGTTCTGACGTTGTCATGCAAAATGCAATTCCGTTCCTTTGGGGAGAGGACGAGCCTAGAGCATTTACTGCCTTGTGGCTGTTTCCAGTGTGGTATCATAGTACCGAAACTTCCACAGATGACAATATGGGAAATGGCGGCGACTTTGATTCTGAGTATGAAAACGAGAGTGTACCAGACTCGGAATTTAGCTTTGACTCATCCGTGTCGGACCATATTGAGGAGGAGGAGTGAGTAATTTACTTGACACTGACAAGTTGTGATCTGGATATGGCGTCCTCTAGTTTCGACTGTTGACTCTGATGAGAATGTCAGCGGATACGGAGCATTTCGACTAGGTTTAATAAATAACATAGTAACAAATCTAGAAAGTATTCCTCGCAATGAGACTCTGTCAGAAGCGCGATATCCAAATTATTGTCGTCTTGCTTCTCTATATATTGAACTAAACCCGCACTGGTGTGAGTTGGCAACGATCCGGCATATAGTTCAGATTTGTTCAGACAAATCACTCGGACAGGTCATCAGAACATTCATTCAATATACGATATACGGTAGTACCTCATCTGAATCGTTTGTGGTTCTGGCGATGTGGATTTCGTCAAACTGATACTTGTTGTCGTATTGCATCGAAAATGTAAGCATGATCTCGAAGGATCAAGAATAGATTATCTGTTGCAATCTTGTCATGCAGCTCTGCTTCAGCACCCTGTCCTCGAAGATTCTTGAGGACGTACTTGACGGTGAGGCAGCGTTTCAAAATCAATGGCCAAAGCTTGACGTCAAGTGGTCGACTGCCACTTGACATTATCTCTATCCCACGGCGTCCAGCTTTGTTCAAGTTTAGAACCCGGAGTAAATCCGCTTCCAATGCATGGTCATCGATACGACAGGAGATCATTTCGAGGGTCTTGCTTTTCAAAGCCAGCGTCAAGAAAGGTATCAGTATGCGCCCCGTTTGAAATATAGAGAATTCAATGGTGCGCAAGTGTCTCATTCGCGGAAGCTTGGGAGCAAAACTAGACAGAGCCTCTTCCATCAACATAGTATGTCCAAGTTGCAAATGTGCGAGGCTTGGTAGTGCTGTCTCATCGCACAAGAGGGTATCCAACGGCGACAGATCCATGACATTGGAACCATCAAGTATCAAGGTAGAGAGGCGTGAAAGTTTAGGGCAGACCACAGAGACAAAGTCATCCCAGCCGCGTAAACTGCACAGGTCGAGGGTTTCCACTGATTCATTTTGAATATTGCAAAATTCTAGTGGAAACTCAGACAATCGTGAACTACAGATCTCAAACCTCTTCAAGGAGCACTTTTCGTGGCCAAGATAGCCGGCCAAGTCCTTGAGATGGTCCGTTGTAATCTTTCGACTCGACAGCATCAATGATTCCAGCTTTTTTGGGTACCGCTGAAGCGACTTCATGAGGCGCGGGAAGATGTTGTCGTCCGTAAGATTGCCAGATTGGAGTTTAAGATGTCGAATAGTAGTATTCCTCGCAATACCATCCACAAGCACTTCACTTATATCATCATAGGTCGTAAAACGGTTCCTAAAGAGGATTCGCTCTGAGTGAAAGCTAAAGCTCTGGAGTGCAGTGGTTTGAGCGAGGCCTTCAGCGAGATGATGCCAGCACATAGCTCTCATCTTTAGACGGTGTGATTCCTTAGCAGACAGCTCAAGATTACGAACACAAAATGGTGACGCGAGTCCAGACATCAAACACTCATAGAATGCCTCTTGCGAGTACCAAGTCTTCAGGCACAACTTTTCGACTTTGATCATTGCCAAACTGAGTACAGAGAGGAACGCTCGAGACATTGTTTCGCCAAAATTATTACCACCTTCGATAGTCATTTCTTTCCACTTTCGGGAATCATCCCTCAAAAGTCTCAGAAGGTCTTCAACTTTTCCATCATTGTCTCCTATCCTTCCAGAAATACTAATGATCACAAAGTTACTCGGAATATCGGTGTGGGCATTCCCTTGTAGAATTCGTGCATCACAATAAGATTCAGGAACAATCGAAATTTCCAAATCATTCTCGTCTTGATCTAAATCGGAATCAGAGTCCATGGATTCTATCGTCTCCATCATCCCACAAGCTCCCATTGCGAACAATGTCTTCTCCAAATCTTCCGTCCTCTTCGTCGACACTCTTCGCTCCGTCCGCCAACCGTGTACTTCACTGAAGCGACGCGCCGTAATCGACACGACGGAAATTGAGACTAAGGAAGAGCTAGAAACGCCCATACGTCTCCCGTCTTGCCGATCAAATATAAACGCAATATAAAACGCATACATAGACACACGATAGGGTACCAGGTACCAGGTACCAGGTACCGCGGCATCCTCAGTGTAACATGACGATTATTGACCCCAAAGATCTCTCCAACCTTTACTTTGGTGCAAATAAGAAAACAAACGCAGGAGAAGAAACTGCTGAATTCTTTGTTCACCCAAGCATTGCTATACAATCTGGAACTGAGTCAACGACGCCTTCGGATCATCATGGCACCAATATTGTCCATGGCCGAGGCATGGTGGCAACCAATGATATAGCGGCAGGAGAGTGTATATTTATCACTCCTCCAACCGTTGGAATGGACTGTCATGCTATGGAATCGAAATTTAAATCGGGTACCAACGTGGCCTTGGAGGACCTTGCAATGGAAGAGTTGATAGATAAAATGATGAAAGATATCAACTCGAAACAGGATGGCGACACCAAAGTGAATGCTTGCATCAACAGTTTTTTGTGTCTCATGGGATCGACCAAAGACACTAAAAAAAAAGTGACGATACAAATGTTGAATGGAAAAGATGACACCGACCATTGGTCGGCAGAAGAATTGAAAGATCTCAGCAGGAAAGATATGAAGACTATACTCTTGAAGAATGGTATGTCATCGGACAACAAGAGCAAGTGCAGGTTCTTTTTCACGAAATGTTTTTCTGAAAGAATATTGTTGTTTGTGTTTTGTCTCTCTCTTTTGTCTATAGCATTTGGTCCAGACTTTATCATGTACGACAGGATACAAGCCCAATGGTCGTCGAACCTTTCATACACGCCGCCAAACATATTGGGAGTCTTTCCATTGGCGGCCATGATCAATCATTCGTGCACTCCCAATGCAGTCCGAACCTTTTCGAATAGTTGTATGGTAGCTCATGCTTGTCAAACCATTCCAGCTGGCAAGGAAATAATGTGGAGTTACATTCCTCCCACACAAGTCATGGCCGATCGACGAAGGGCGCTGAAAAAGAGGCATGGCTTCTTGTGCAAATGCGAACGGTGCATGATTGAAGCCAAGGAATTGCGGAAGGATCTATTGCCAACGAATCTGAAACAAGCGCTAGAGGAGGCAAACAAGTGGAACGAGGGCATGCTCGACATGTCTCAAATCAGTGACGAGACTTCCAAACGACAATTGTGCGCAGCTGCCATTCATTTGGAAGAGACCATATTTAGTTCCAAAAGTTTGTCCAACGAAGTCAAACGTCATGTACGAGTGGGATACACCAATCTGCACATCAATTACTTCAATACTATGTTGACGACGGCTGCCAACAGAAAGCAACCACAACAACAGCAGAATGTGCAAGATTTGGTCTTGCAGTCGGCAACCCAGTTACACTTTGCCTACTGTTCGAGCAACAATACCAGCACCGAACATCTTTCCGTGCTACATCTATGTTACGAGCTTGCCTCTAGTAGCAAGAACAATAATAACAATGCCAAATTTTGGACCGAAGCCATCAAACGAGCGCACTTGACGCGGTATGGGTCCCTCGGGTCGAATTTGACATCGATACGAAACTGCATGGTTCATACAAGAACGGTACTACGACAACGAGACGGATATCTTCAAGTGCAATTCAACTTTTTGTAATTGGGGGGCGGAGGTACCTCCGATGGGCATACTTGTAGTTCATCACTAATGGAAAATTCTGGGTACTGGCTTCAACTCTAGGACTACAATTCGAAGATGAGAAACAGCCAGATTCCTTCCTTTCCTTTTTCCAAAACCATTAGTCGACTTCTCCTGTGGTTTCTTTGTACCAGTACCATTGATTGTCCATGTTCTAAGGTCGATCCATCGCCTGCTTGGCTTTTGCCCTTTTCTTTTCTGTTTGTGCCAAGAGTCATTACAGTAACAATCCAAAAATGACACCAAGCATCACACCGATGTATACCTATAGCAAAGCACGCTCACGAGTAGGATCTTATTTACCATGATGAGTGAATCTATGTCCCAATGATGATCTTGAAAGAAGCAAGAATGAATTGCATCGTCCCTAAAAAAATATGATTGGATGAAAAAAAGCCATGGGTCGTAACCACGTTCGAATGGTGATGATTATTTGTTGCTTCCCGACAATTTGTAGGATATTTTGTAGGCGTAGACTGTTTTCTGGCTATAGCTCGTCATATGCGCACAGTGCCATGAGTTTTCCCCTGTTACCTTCAACGATTGATTCAATACGGCAGAGGATCATGATTAGTGGCGACCTTCGTGGTTTCGAAGTAGTGCTTCAGCGCGTTGTGATCGATTGGGACTGGCACAAGGATGGTACTCCAGTTTATTGTTTGTTCATGGCATGCACATAGGACTATCACTTTTGCGCAGACAGTCTCAACATCATAGCCGAGCCATTCTAATGGAAACTTCAAATACCATTCGACGGCATCCATTATTATGGTCAGGCTTCTATCACTCACTCACTGACTCTTTCACTCCACGAAAACCGATTGCACCATTTGAAATGCCCAAAATCTGGATGCCACAGCTTTGGAATAGTCACCCACTAGATCTTTCATGGGCTTATTGGTCAGTTCATATCCGACTTCTTCCAGAATATCTGGTGGAATGAACCGAGATGTCTTGAAAAAGGTCATGTTCCAACTTGGAGAGCGTCTTGGATAGTTACTGGAAATCCTTAGAAATGGATCGACATACCAAACATCACGACATTTATGATTCGGGTCGTGCATGACCACAGGCTCGTGTACTTGTCTTTGTCCAGTTCCATGACTGACGCTGTTGCTGTTGCGCCCTAGGGACCATAGCCACGATGAAATGCTGTATCCTTGCTCAAATATCGCCCTGGACATGCCCAATTCGTACCGACCAATCAAATCCATCTTGTCTGTCATGGTCATTGCATCATTACCTTTCATGCAATCGTAAATGGCCCCCGAGTTTCGAACAATTTCCAATCCTCTTGGATCGAGCGCAAAGGCCATGCTTTGAAGGTGCGCGGAAAAGCCATCCCGATGGCGACAATTGGCCGAAAGGCCCGACATTTTGACGCGATCGTTGAGCAGGGATGTAAAAAAGGTGGTCCAAGGCAAGTCACTAGACCACCACAAGGGTCCCACCACTCCACAATTCAAATAGACAAAGTAATCGTATGGGGTCAAATCGAAGTTATCAGCATCATTCAAAACCAAATGAATGGACCCCAAATCATAACAGGTGTCTTGTCGTTGGACCACTCGAAGGGCCTTTGGACCGCATTCGTTCATGAGATGTTGAAATTGTTGGTTTTGTGTGGTATAATGATGGTAGGTTTCCTCACTGAGTGTGATAATGGTGTCATGATGATGATGGTGACGATGATGTTGACTGGAACAATCGACACCCTTGTGGGCCAAAAAGTAATCAAAATTGCGAAGGTAGAGTTCATTCTTTCCTGTACTTCGATCGAGACTGGTCGGACCAGTATAAACTACGATGGTTCGCTCTTGTTCATCTTTGTTGTAGTTTGAATGCGCCTTTTGTTGTTGTTGTTGTTGTTGTTGTTGTTGTTGCTTATTTTGTAGTATTTGACGACCAATGTTCATGCTGGTCGGATCACTGATCCAAATACCATCCGAGTATTGCAACAGCGCATGGATGAATAGCACAGCGATTGGAACGACGAAGACTAGAAAGTATGTTTTCGGATTCGATTGCTGCAAGTCCATCCGATGGAACTCTGTCATCGGCGTTTACTGGCCTGCTGAATCATCGTCATCGTCAAGACGACGCCAGGGTGAGCTCAAAACTGAGCTAGTTGAACCATTTGAGTCCACCTAGTCGAATATGCTACACTGCCTGCCAGCCAGGCCAGCGCCAGACCAGGCCAGCCAGCTCTTGCACCTTGCACCTCATATGTACCATACCGGTACGTGTGCTGGCTTACTATGCCTTACTAGTACACCACAAGATGGTGGAGCAGGAAAACTACAATGCTGCACTCAAGAGAGTATATTAGCTACGACTTAAACATCTCAAGGCTCTCTCCGTGACCTTTATTTCTACTTCTTCTTCCCCTGCTGCTGCTTGAGGAGGAAGAGCTGAAGGTACTACGTACTTTTACCCATCAAACTATCATTCACAAGTGTATAGTTGTTTGGCACTAGCGACTTCGACTCCGAGGAGTGCTCTGGTGTGAGCTCTACCTGGTACCGGTATGTAATCAGTAATACCAACTCCATCGCCATCTCCTTGTTTTTGTCGATTGGTTGCGGTTCAGTCATTTTCATTCCGTTGTGCGGCCATGCACGCGCAAACGGAACGTATTTATTTTTCTCCAGCCCCGCCACCCGCAGAATTTTTCCACCTCTTCTCTAAAAGCACAAAGGTTTCTTTCACCTTTTCATCACCATAGTTCGTTTTCCAAATTTCAAATTCTGGTTGCAGTAACGTGGCTTATATTCATGATGAACAGAATGAAAGTCATACTCGGTCTAGCAGTATGGACCCTGTGCCTACAACTGTCGTCGGTAGTTGCTTTAGAGGCCGCAGACACACCATCCAGCACACTACGCAGCCGCAATGATGTTATGAACAACATCCACAATAATCGCAACCACAATGAGAATGATGATAATGCTAGTCTCATTCCACATCGTCTCATCTTCACCTACAAGAACAACATGCTGGAAACCAAATATCCCACTGACCTATACAACAACGTGTTGAATACAATTCAAGTATATGCGGACGAATGGAACAAGGCAGTGGAGGAGATGGATGTCATGTTCATTGACGATGCCATGTGCTTGGAACTCATTCCAAAGGTGGAACCTCGTCTATTGAAATACTTCCAACTAGAACCATTGGGATCCTTCAAGGCTGATATTTGTCGAGTGGCTGCACTGTACCTATATGGCGGCTACTATTTTGATGTGGACATTCAAGCCTTGAAAGCGCTACAGCCAAATCCAGACACGGACTTCATCACATCCACTTGCGGGAACAATCAATTCTTCCAAGCAGTCATGGCCTTGTCTCGTCAACACCCATTGGCAAGAGCCACTCTAGACTCAATGTTAGATGACTGGTATTATATTCCCTCTGTTGTGCAAAATCTTACAATGGCCCGTGTAGATGCCAGTGTTTCCATGGGCAAGGAATACAATGAAGCACGAGGCAACTATCTGAGCCAGTATTTCAACATGTCCCATGAAATCAAACCCATGCTCGGTACTGCCACATTGCGCATGGCGTATGACCGCCACAGAAACTTGACGTCGGCATGGATTCTAGACGAACTGGACAATGTGGACACGCCCCTGTATCCAGACTTGAAACGAGAAGAAACTGGATGGGGCTGCAACTACATGGTGCACGATACTCCTTCCAAGGTTCCGTATTTCTTTTCACGATGCATCGGGACCGATGGCTGTCCGCGTTACAAACCTCAGGGGTTGACGCTCATGAGGCGATCCGCGATTGGAAACGCCATGGCGCGTCGACGCTCTCGGATCACTTCCAATTTCAACAGTGGTGGTCAACGATTGCCGCGGTCATACGCTGGGGAAGCTACCACCAGTAGTGGGAGTACTCCGCTTTGGTGGAGAAAACGCAAACGCCCTTCATTGACCTTGTCCAGGGTCTCGGACAAGACCTCGGAGCGATCGAGCACGTTGCTGGCGGTCCTCATGTGCTTATTGCTGATTTTCTGGTCGGCGATCATGGTGGCAGCGATGCAGAAAAATCCATTTGGGCAATCAGGCGGGAAAAAGAACTGTTAACTGTATATATTTGTTGTTGTTGTTGTTGTTGTTGTGAAGAAAAAACATGGTTAATTGTTTCGAATGCTTGCATCTGCTACTCTGGATTGACTGGTGGCTGGAAATGAGAAAACGCCGACGTTATACCACTCCAACAGGTAGGCGGAATCGGTGGGTTCAACCTTTGGCCCCTTGAGCAGCACACAGTGGACACTTTTTGGGATTTGTTGTTGGTAGTTCCAACGCTTCCAGTAGGGCCAGCAGCAGTCCCTAAGATATTCTGATACTCGGCGACTCGATGAGGACTGACTCATACATACATGTGATATCGTACTATCGTGAAACATAACACGTATAAGTTTCAGTACAATTTTGTTCAATGCTCTCTGTGCTTTGCATTGTAGCGTCAATTCGGTTCGCTGGCTACTTGTACCAGGTACTAGAGAATCAATCATGGTGAATGGCAGGGACAAATTCAAAATCAGAACTCAGAATTCTAGGTCGGACGAGTCAACCGAACTGCTGCCGACTATTTTATCAATCTATCAACGGACTCGCACAGACCTCGCAATCATCGCAAAATGCAAATATTGAATATTATGGTGACCGCAAAATTCAAACTGCTAGACACTTTAATGCTTGGCATGTTTTCCGGATAGGATCCAACTGCGAGACGTAGAACATGAAATCTACGCTAAGATTTGTTTTATGGTCTCTGTTCATACAGTTGTTGACCTTGGCTGACACTACGTCTGTAATTCCCAAACGTCTCATCTTCACCTTCGCGACCAACATGCTGGAGACCAAACATCCGATAGACTTGTACAACAATGTGCTGAATACGATTCACGAATATTCAAGAGCTTGGAGTATACCGGCCGAGGAAATGGATATCATGTTCATAGACGACCCTCTTTGCCTAAAGTTAATTCCACAGGTGGAACCTCGCCTATTGGAATACTTCAAGCTCGAACCCAAGGGGTCCTTCAAAGCTGACATTTGTCGGGTTGCAGCACTGCATTTATATGGAGGCTACTACTTTGATGTCGACATTCAAGTCTTGAAAGCGCTACAGCCGAATCCAGACACAGACTTTATTACTTCGACTTGCGGCAACCATCAATTCTTCCAAGCAGTCATGGCGTTGGCTCCCGAGCATCCCTTGGCGAGAGCAACCCTAGACTCGATGCTAGATGACTGGTATCAAATACCTACCGTCATGGAATATTTCTCCAACAGGTCCCTAAACGCGAACTTTTCTATGGGGGAGGAATACATTAAAAAGCGAGAAGAGTATCTGGGTCGGTTTTTCAACATGTCGCATGAAATCAAGCCCATGCTCGGTACTGCTACTTTGCGTTTGGCGTACGATCGTCACAGGAAGTCAGTGACTCCATGGATTCTGGATGAACTTGATAACGCGGACAATACCTTGTACCCAGAGTTGAAACGAGAAGATACGGGATGGGGATGTAACTACATGGTCCACGATGGTTCTAAGATGGAACCATATTTCTATTCAAGATGCATGGGGACAGAAGGGTGCCCACATTCCAAGCCATGGGCGATGCCTATGAAACGTGGCACGTTGTTGGTTTTCCTTCTGTGCCTGCTACTAATGGTCTGGTTGTCCCTTGCCTTGAGTCAGCTGCCAAAGCTTCCACCAGTGGGAAACGGAGCGAAGAAGTACTACTAGTCGTCGTGGGAGTGGCACTGGATGCTCGCAATTTTTGGATGCAAAGCGTTATTAATAGATTTCTGGATATTGCTGGAGTATGAGCAAGATTTACTGCAGAGACACCAATTCACCCTAACAAGTCGGAAAGACCTGACGATTTGAAGCAATCGGTTTCGCAGTTTTTCACCTCGGCTACCTTTACAAAATCTCTAGGTGTTTGTCGGCTTCCACACTAGAACGATTCCAAGTGCCACTGCCAAAAATTGAAGCGCTATCAAATTATGAAGCTACTATATTGGTAGATAATATTCCAACGTATTCTTCACAAAGGTAAAACTTCACAAACACTCACTCAAACCCAGTTAATGTAGCAGCCCAACCCCGGTTTCCGTCGGTACCAGGTACAACGCCCACATGCAGTACTCATTATACGTCTAACATCATATTTATACGGGTTAATGTAGCAGCACTTCCCTGAGTGTATTCGAATTCTTTGTTTATTTACAGAGTCCTCGTTTTCACGCCAATTCTCCACACCAATGTCGCAAATTGATACATTTGATCCCGCCCGATGTAAGGTCGTGCGTCGTACTGCTATTAATGTATATAAAAAGGTAGGTTTGGTAGTCCCTGGTAGTGTTTACGGCACTGATATTGAAGCGATTGAAGACGAAGCCGACTTCCACCCCCACGATGCAGTTTTCGGATAGACCACGCAGTCCAACCTTCAAAAAAAAAGTTTACTCCAGCAGGCATGGTGCCATATTTTGCACAGAAACTTTCACAATTTTTTATGAATTATTGTTACACAATGGCAGCAGCAAGCTTCGAAGACAACCTACTGTCACTTGTCACGAACTGCCCTGTCACCACATATGACTTTGTGGAATTCCTTAAAATATGATCGATTCTACTAAAAGAACTCTGATTCAGAGTGTACATAGATCTAGGAAAGATAGAGGACAAAAATATCGCCTGGAAAAGGACATGCGGTACCAGGTACCAGTACCAGTACCATCCTTGCCAGTATACCCCTACCTATATCTGTTTTTCGAATCACAGCAGGAGTCAATCTAATCCAACCAATCATCATCCAAGAATGAATGTTTAAACGGTTCGATTTGAATTTGAATATATTTTTAAAGTGTACGTTCCTGGTTCGTACGTGTACCGGTGAACTGTACAATTTGCCAAGTCGTACCAGGTACTGTACAGTAAAAATTTACTATTCCTCGTCCATGCGAAAGATATGTTCATCAGATTGGCTATGGGAAGATGCAACAAGACCCGAGGTCCATGCTTGCTCCTAATGGCTGCCGTAGTGATATCATTGTTGATGGCATCATCTGCGGCATGGTCCAAACAAGCAATCGAAGCGATATCTTCAAGCCTTTTGGTCAAAGATTACTCGACTTCACTTTCGGATATCAGGGAGAGCTCCGATGCGTGTCAAGACGCCTGTCTTTGGAAATCAGGCATCAATGGATCGTGGGTACAAGACTTCGATTTTGCCCGAGATTATGGGCAGTATGAGGAACCATGGGTCATCGAAGAAGGGCCCTTTCAGAGATGTACTGCTGGCGCATTCCAACCTTCGGAGGATGCTCCATTTCCTTGGAGGACCAGCTGGAGATGGGTCGATCATGAGTCAGATTGCCAAGTTGACATTTTGACTTTGGACAAGTTTTGCAAGGTTTTGCAGAGATTAAATGTCAAACGAATACTCTTCTTTGGTGACTCACTCACTGATGCAATGTACAACAGTTTCGCAAATAAAATTGGTCATGCCAATTTTCGACTTAACCCAGACGACCAACGGAATGGTTCCATGATTTGTCCAGGTGGAGGAGTCGACGGTGCTGATCCTGGTCGTGATAGGAGAATTCCAGTGTTTGGCAAGAAGTTGCCTATCGTCCCACGAAATACAACCCGAAAGATGATCGCTTTTGATCATGAGGTTCGTCACTTTTTTGACAGCTCAGCTCCAGATCGGGTCTTGGCAATCTTCAATATAGGAGCACACTATCACGGCGTGAATGACTATCGAAAAGATCTGGATGCTATGCTAAATCTCTTGTCGAATATGAACCGATCCCAGGATCTGTACATCTTTCGTGCTACTAGTCCCGGTCATGAAGGATGCTTACCATTGACTCGCGAATTCGATTGGAAGGTTGGGGCTCGGATTGTACCTCTTGCCAAGTTTGAAGACTACAAAGTTACGGTCGGGCACCGGCATCATTGGGACAAGTTTGAAGGTTACAATCATTACACGAAACAAATTTTGCTCGAGCATAACCGAAAGCGTTTGGATCCAATCTATCACTATTTGGACATTTTCAATATGACGGCGCTCCGGAATGATGCTCATCCTGCTCCGCGAGATTGTCTGCATTTTCAGGCTCCTGGTCCTATCGACTGGTGGAATCATTTACTATTTACCTATTTATCACGATTATCAGAAGATGGCCAGCAGCAAGGAAAAGGATCTATGAAGGAGATTACAACCAATTGTCGACGGTCCTACTTCTGATCTGATCGAGGGTTTGCACCGGATTTGGACTCGAGAAGTCAAAACAGGCTCTATTGAAGTACCTTACAAAAACGCATGACACGATGGCTCAACAGGTTTTAGCTTTCACCTCATTGGAAGTTACGTGTCATTCGCTTTCAGTTCCCTCATAGAAGTGTTGCCACAAATAATGACTGCAAAGGTACGGTATTCGGAAAGCGCTTGGAATTCGCGGTGCGCCTTTCGTCGTACCAAGACACTCCCCTGTTATTGTGTATACGTCTAGCATAATGTTTATGAGTTAATGTAGTAGCACTTGCCTGAGTGTAGGGATTCGAATCCTTTGTTCATTTGCAGAATCCTCGTTTTCACGCCAGTGCTCCACACCAATGCCGCAAAACGATGCAATTGATCCCGCTCGCCGATGTAAGGTCGCGCGACGTACCAGCAGGACTGCTATCAACGTATTTTGTAGGTTTGGTAGCACCCAGTGGTACCTATGGTTAGTGTTTACCGGTACGGCACTGGGTATCTGATATTGAAGGCGATTGATGGCGAAGCGACTTTCCCCGCCACGCGTACCAGTACAACAGTTGCTCCGATTTTCGGGTAACCACAATCCAAGATCGAAAATTTACTCCATCATGCATACCGGTACCAGTATGTACCGGTAATGCACAGACTCTTTCACATTATTTTGTTGAATTATTGTTTCACAATGCTCTTCACTGACAACAACAAGCTTCGAAACAATAGCTACAGCTATCCAAGTGCTTCCGGAGACGGCCTACTCTCACTTGTGAAGTGCCCTTTCGTCCTCCCTGCTTTAGAAATGACAGTCTCATCTTCTTCCGTTTTTTGGACACCACCACTTTCTTTTGAGAATCCCTTCGATGATCTAAGCATGAAGCCTATGCCACTCAGATCACAAGTCCAAGTGACAAACGTGCAAGATGTTCCTGGCGAAGAAAGCACAGCTCGCTTTCGCCCACATCAAGAGAAACAATGGCAAGCTCAGTTCCGAAAGCTGGTCCAGTTCAAGCTTGTGAATGGACACTGCTGTGTTCCTCATTCCTACTCATCGGATCCTATCCTTGCTCGATGGGTCAAGAGACAGCGATATCAATACAAGAAGTTTCACGACTGCGACCCCACCTCCACCATGACGACCCGCCGCATTCAGGAGCTTGAATCCATCGGTTCCAACTGTTGAAATCTTTGGGTTTTGTCTTCGACATCCAAAAAGCCAGAAAGTTTGCGAATGCTGGTACCTATTGAAGGAAAAGCCAGAAGCGCACTTTGCTGAAGCCTCATTTTGAAACAATTTTTATTAATATACCTAGAACCATACTATTTTTTGAAATAGAGAATCATGAAGGACGTAGGACTTATTCAAAAAGGGTAACTGGCGGTGGTAGAGACCGACCATTGGCCGTGGTCTACCCCCTACCGGTATTATCCTGTTTCCTGCTACACTATTATCATATCGCATCATCACTACAGCATCTTACGTAGTTGCACCACGACCTTACATATGTGCTGGGTATCATATCTATTGAGTGTAGTTAAACGTATCACCTTAATCCCGGCTTTAGTCGGTACCTGGTACCGTATCAGGTACGGTAATATGACAGAGGCAGTGTTGACGTCGAATATCATCTTCACATGGGTGAATGTAGAAGCGTACTAGAAGGAACAACCGAATGCCCAAACCCGAGATGACACTACTATGCATTTCAAAGTATTTTCGGAAGTTCTTGGTTCTTTCCCGGAGTTTTTGTCGTCACACCATCACATCATACCGGTAATATATAAAATAGCACGACAAGATTCAAAATTTCTTTGTGGAAACCTTGTACTAAAATAGCAGTAACTTTTACCATGATGTGTGGTGACGGAAAATATGTTTACAAACGATCCGCCAATTAACGATCGCAGTATTATGATGGTGGGCTTTAACTGCTTCATTGAACTTGAAGGCGAAGCGACAGAGGAACTGCTTCTTTCTCCGCTGCGTATCAAAACCGGAACCCGTACCAGTACTAGGTACATGTACAGAGTGTTCTTTCTAGTTTTCGGATAAAATACTGTAGACAGTACACCACAGCATACCATTTTGGACCGAAACTGCTGTCACAATTTTTTCTCCCTTCGGTTTAAACTGTTTTCCAACGATGTTCGCTGACAACAACAAGCTTCGAAACGATAGCTACGGCTATCCAGGTGCTCCCGGAGATGGCCTGCTGTCACTTGTGAACTGCCCTTTCCCTGCTTTCGAAATTACATTCTCTTCTTCTTCCGTTTCTTCGACACCGCCACTTTCCTTTGAGAATCCCTTTGATGATATAAGCATGGAGCCTTTGCCGCTCAGATCTCACAACCAAAGGCCAAGTGAGGACTGCCTTTCGTCTTCCACCATGAATCCGAACGTACCGACAGCCGAAGCCAACCTGTTGTGCGAGAGTCTGATTGACATGCTGCACCCCCTGATGATGGATCTTGTTGGATCCAAAAGAAGCTCCGAAGATCTCGTCTCCAACATAGTGCAAGGCCCATGCAAGCGCCAACGGACCAGCCATGTGCAAGATTTTCCTGGCGAAGAAAGCACAGCTCGCTTTCGCCCATATCAAGAGAAACAATGGCAAGCTCAGTTCCGAAAGCTGGTCCAGTTCAAGCTTGTGAATGGACACTGCTGTGTTCCTCATTCCTACTCATCGGATCCTATCCTTGCTCGATGGGTCAAGAGACAGCGATATCAATACAAGAAGTTTCGCGACTGCGACCCCACCTCCACCATGACGACCCGCCGCATTCAGGAGCTTGAATCCATCGGATTTGTATGGCACTCTCATGCATCAGCATGGCAGGAGAAGGTGAACGATCTCATGGCCTTCAAACAAAGAACAGGTCATTGCAACGTCCCCTCGCATTATGCAGAGAATGCTGCACTGTCCACATGGGTGAAGTGTCAACGTCGCCAATACAAACTTTACGTCTCGGGGTCTACATCTTCGACCATGACTTTGGAACGATTCCAACTGTTGAAATCTTTGGGTTTTGTCTTCGACATCCAAAAAGCCAGAAAGTTTGCGAATGCTGGTACCTATTGAAGGAAAAGCCAGAAGCGCACTTTGCTGAAGCCTCATTTTGAAACAGTTTTATTAAAATATATCTAGAACCATACTATTTTTTGAAACAGAGAATCATGTAGGGCGTAGGATATATGCATTAAGGGTAGCTTTTGAAGAGGATTCGGTTGGCTGATCATGTTGTCATCCTCTCTACAAAACAGAATCTTTTAGATACTTTATCTTCGTGATTTTCTTGGAAATCTGTTCTTCTATTCTATTTATTCGTTCTCTCATTTGATTGGATAGCCGACCGACTCGACTAAAACAACATTTTTGATTATTTCGGGAACTTGCAAGTGGCACTAGCTAGTGTGTATTGATTTAAGAGACTAGCAAGAAGAATTGTAGATAGGGTTGCACTAGTATAAAGGTTTCACGCTGGTCAACTTATGCGTCGTCGCTCCTGTTTGCGATTGTTGTTGTTGGATTTGATGGACTGAAATCTAACGGTCTGACGTACATGTGTACCCTTTTGTAACGTTATTACGGGAGTGATTGAGTCACGAGTGGATAGCATGAATGAATGAATGAATCAATCAGTCGCATCATCTCCGAACAGCTTGCGGAACGCAGCTTGATTCTTTTCGATTGATTTATTCACTCGTCATCTCATCACGACTGACCCTTATTTCAATGCATCGGAAGGGTACTCATACCACGAAGGAGAAGAAACACAGCAGTAACACTTTTTCATCATGAGATCTTCTGAAGCACTTTTATTCCTTGGCTGCATAGCTACTCCTTCAGCTAGCTTCACTCCATCGTCAAGGCGCACGACTCACCTGAATGTAAGAAACAATTCTGATAGAAGGTGGTCGTCATCGTCCTCTATCGGCGCTGAACAAGAGGAAGATACTGTCACATTCGTATTGGATGATGGCTATGATCCCGCTGTTGCCTTTAACAAAGAGCCTCCTCTTGCGAACCTGGCGGTCAGCGACCTGGAGAAGGAATTCGCATCTGCGGTTCCTGATTTGGATGGAAATCCACTCACCGCAGCATATCTGGCCAAACACATGGGGATTGAAACTGTCGACTCTTACACTTGTCCTCAACAAGAAGTCTTTCGAGGCTTGATGTCAAATGGATGCCGCATTAACCTACAGCCAGGTGGAGAAACTGCCTTTTACAAGTGCATTGTGTTTGAACATCTCAGTCATGCCCAAGAAAAGCTCAAGCATTCTCCCTTCAAGCTCGCAAGAGATGCCCAATCCTACGAAGTCGTTGCAAACTTTCTAAAGTCCAAGGCGTGCCAAGCTGCAACCGAGACTACGGGAGTTATCATTCCAAAAAGCTTTCATTCCGACCTTCGACCGAATTCGGCAAACCCCATAGAAACCAAGTGTTCCTTCTTGTTGGAAGACTTGTCACCTGAACAGGGATGGTACCAACACTGGCTACTGTTAGACATGGCTGAAACTAAGGCTTCCCTCCAGACATTAGCCAAGATTCATGCCTTTTTCTGGCACGGATCAAACTTTTGGAAGGACCAGGAAGCAGGCCGCGAACTAGAAGCTGCCGTTTGGGAATCGGGAAGCTACGTCCAGCCCACGGCTCAGAATGCCGATCAGTGTTCGAATGTGGCCAAGGAATGGAAGATCAAACGCACCAAATTTGAAGAACACCTGTCCTCCATGGATTGTTGGGACAATCTGGGCGACCGACTGCAATCCGTAGCCACCGAGTGTGGTCGTCTGGCCCATCCCTTTGCCGATGATGACCTGAAAGAATCTTACCAAAAGTACAGAACTTTTACACATGGCGATCCCAAGCAAGCAAACTTTTTGTTTCGCCGGTCTGCCTCAAACGAGTTAGAAATTGGACTCATCGACTTTCAATGGGCTGGCTTTGGGTTGGCGGCGACTGACATCGCACATTTCATGACTTCAGCGGTCCATGCTAATCTTCTGGTAAACGGTGGAGAAGCCAATTTGTTAGAGTACTATTTTGACGAGTTACAGACGCATTTGGTAGAGTATGGGGCATATGACACGGCGGAAGATGCCGTCGAACAATTCAGTTACGAAACCTTTATGGATCAATACGAAGTTGGAGTCTTGGACCTTTGTCGGCTCGTGATTGCCTACACTTGGGACAGGTTTGATCAGGCAGTCGAGCCATACGACAAGGAAGGCTGCACTAGAACCATGAATAAGACTTCCTACAACAAGTCCATTCCGAATGCTATCTGGTTGGTTTCTCGGTGCGACGAAATCATGAAACTGCAGCAAATGAAAGTTGCCAAGATGATGCTACTAGGCCAATAGAAATTCAGGTCACTAAGCTTGATGGATGATGGCGTTGTGCCACTCCGATTGTATATACAAAGGGACAGCTATTAATATGCTCTGCTGCTACATAAGAAAATAAGAAAGAATCTATTCTATATTCTTACTGCCTCTCTGTGATTGCATCCAAGAACATGTCCTCGAGCTGTTGCCGTAGTCTTTCGCGATCCTTTGGATCAGCATCCCATACTATCTTGATCTTATTGCCAAGAGTAGGCTGCCGGACAAAAGAGCCAAACTTTTCAATGTGCTTGCTATCGACGTCTTTATTCTTTTGCTCACGTCGAGCTTTCAACAAGTCTTTGGCCCATTGCTGTTCCTCGCTTGTAGTGTCAGACCTTTGGATTAGCTCGAATGCCTTGAACGGAGGAATTTCGGATGTTCCATGCTTTTCAATAAACCTTAGCTTGTGTTCCAAATATACTGCTTCGAAAGCAATCTTGTTGGACCTTCCATTAGAGCCTTGGTTCTCATCTGTCTTTCGAGGTTTCCTAAGGTAGAGATTCAAGAGCCCAGTGTATTGCCGGGCCAAGACCGCGGGCAAGTAGGCCTGTTTCCAAAGCTCGTCAAGGACTTTGGCTTCAGGAGTTGTATATATGACATCGCCTGCAAACATTTCATAGGCGGTCATGTCGGACTTGCTGATGTATTTGATCATGCGAAGGTAGTCAATAAACGTGGCGTCGATCTCAATTGTAGTTGTTGTGACATTATTATCTGTTTCATCTTCTTCATTGTATTCGAAGGAAAAGGTAGAATGCCAAGACTCCTTCACCTTTTGCAACAAATAGCATTTTTGTGGGTGGAGCAGCAGGACTTTCACATCAAAGTCAGATTGATCCGAAGCAATCCCTTTCCCACTACTACCACACACAGCAATCTGCAAAATATTGGTCAGCCCACGTCCACTGTTGTTCAAGTGTTGACGCAGTTCCTTGACAACGCGGCAATGGATTTCTTCTTTAGAATCGATTGTCATTATCTTTTGAGTTTCTTTCGGCTGCGTGACGATGGGGTTTTCGTCGCATCTTCATGTTTTATGCTGATGCAGATGTTTCAAGTTTTGAGTTTTGAGTCCTGCAGTCATTGAAGCTGATGTGATTGTCGCACGTTTGGAATTCAGCGAGGAAGGGTATCAAAGCCAAAACTAAAGTAGTAATGTTTTTAACATTACAATTTGACAATTGATCATCATCTGAAGAAACTTTACCTGAGTTTGCATATTGTGCCTTGTCCTATGTATGGATCACTACTTATTCGGAATGTTTTCACTATCTATTATCAATTGTAACTGGAGGAATGGCGTGATACCGACATGGTCAAGCTGCTGGGCTGGACAAAATATGTCTGCATATCACCCTTCCCTTTGACTGGTAACTTCTCGTCACAAGCCGCTAACCATGTAGACCGACCTAGCTTCACTAGCTCATCAGCTGTGGATTGGGACACATGGATCTTGCCACTCATTCCATTGCTCTCCATCCTTGATGCTGTATTCACAGTATCTCCAAAGAGCTGGAACCTAGACTTTTGTCCGCGAAGAACACCTCCAGTAACTGGTCCACTGTGAAGACCTACACGCATCGACAAGTTTTCTGTATCCTCTCCTAATGAGTCCACCAATGAAAGAATCACATTTCTCATTTTTGCAAGACAATCGACAGAAAACTTTACCATGATCTCGGCATGTCCTGAAAGAAGAAAGCAAAAAGAAGCGTTAGTATGCTCCATTCGTCTCAGATCACATCAGAAGACAACTCCACACATACTTTCTTGCGGATTTGGAAGTCCAGTGACTGCCACGTAGCAGTCGCCGATAGTTTCGACTTTGAAGACACCTCGTTTGTTGGCAATGGTGTCAAACTCGCCATATAAAGCCTCCAGCAATTGAAATACCTCAACTGGAGTTCTAGTTGCACTCCACTTGGTGAATCCGACGATGTCAGCGAAGAAGATTGTGGTCCCAGGGTACTCGCTAGCAATGGCCTGCTTCTGGTCAACCACACCATTATTGTTACCTTCTGCTTCCCATGTTGCAGCCTTGCTTTTCGCTTCTTGTTCCTCATACAAGCGATCCCTGACAGCCTCGGGGAACAAGGAATGTACAAGCTTTCCGGACTGCAGTGCCGATTTCATGACCGCCTTCTGTCGTCTTTCTACCATAAAGTCGTATAAGAGAAAGAATGCAGCTGTGAACACAAAAACGGCAGCAAGAATGATTGCAAATAGTAGAGGCTCGGATGTTTCGTAGCGGTTTCGAAATTCATCAGACGGATATACTCGGATGCTGTAGTGACAACTAGGATCGTCATCCTGCCCAGCTGTTCCTGGTTCATAATCAAAGATCAAGTCAATGTTCGACTGTCGTGATAGATAATCATACTCGGAAGAATGAAGGTCACCGCGACCAACAAACCTAGCCTCGAGCCCATCAACTTGGTAGGTATACTGTTGCCCACATGTGTTTTCCAGGATGACATATATACCATCAGCACCGTTGGGCAAAAGGCCATTGAAGTATGTTCTCCAGTAGACGGTGGTAAAGAAAATGGCAACAACAGAGCGATCTTCGCCCAGTTTATCGTAGACTGTAGTGTATAAGTTTGAGAAATCGAGTAATATACTGTAAGCGCCCGGTAGTGCAACACGATTTCGTTTACCAGTACGACCAATATACTTACTCGGATATTGGAGAAAAGCAACTGGGTCATCTTGATATTCCCAATTATCAGCTTGTTGGAACCTGATGTATCTACCGACCTTTGGCGTACCCGGATCAGTGTAGTCAGAGCTGGCTCCAAATGCAGGTCTCCTGTTGGCAACGACATAATCCATGATCGGTCGGTGCTCCGGATCTCTGTACATGTTCTTGCTCGGCATTGTGCTGTTGGTAACCGGATGCATCGTCCACATAACAAAATATGGCCCAGGACCTTGATCAACAACTATCTCATCAGGGAAAGTATCTTTGTCCATTATTGTGGGTGGTATTGGTGCCGCGACGATGTCTGCTGGGTCCATGCCCATCGAGAACGCCATGCCATCTCGTTTCCAATCTTGATTTGCCACCGCATACTCCTCCCATTCAGTTCGTTGATCATCCGTGACTCTCACGAGCACTGATGACAGAAAAAGCGCTGCCATCTCATGAACCGCTTTCATTCGTCTTGTATATTCCGGCGGAGTGACGAAAGGCCAAGACTCATTTGCACTCACAGTCACATCGGAGAAGAAAAGGTCTATCGCTCCAAATCGTTGTTTCACCATGGACTCGAAGGAAACCACCAACTTGTCGACTAGTCCCTCGAAGTCTTTTTCAAAATTTTCTTGCTCACTATTGCGTCCGTCGATGTACACTCCTACACACACTGCAATCATAGCAAACATGAGGACAAACGCCACCAACAAACGCATTCGCCATACCCATTTGCTTTCATCTCTCGCGACAACTAAATCTGGTTGCGCTGATTCTACACGGTTTCCACCATCATTAGCCTCGCTTTCAGAAAAATCTGATACCTCCTTTTCAGAAGTATTAGCGACTGATGAACTGTAACCGTTTGGTTTATTTGCCAACATCATCGTGCTTTTGTGAGAAGTGCGTTTGCGAAACGTATGGTGGTATTAAATTACACTTGCGTGTGCCGCTATGAGTACCTGAAAATTTGAGAAGCAAAAAATTCTGACCCGAAAATTGGAGCATTTAAAGAGATGACTGCCTGCTGGCACTTAAGCAAATATCAAAGACACCCTAAGGAAGGAACCAAATGATGTCACTGAGGTCCCGTATTTAAAACAAAATGCTTGAAAGGTACAGAAGGGCTATTGAACAAAAATCTATCCATGAGTGTTCCATAGATATCAGAAGGACACAAGAAAGAGATGACAAGATACTGTATTCTATTCTTAATTCAACAATGTAATTTTGATTCATGGCAGTATCAACCCAAGCACATGATGGCAGGTTGTTTGTTCATAGCTAAGTGGGCTATTGCCTCATCGCGATCGTATCTGTTGGTTTGAAATGGAGCGACATGGTCTCTTGCAGTAGAGATAAAGCCTGCGGGTGCAAACAATGATTTGGACCCGGTACATTTGCAACAGACTTCCTCCTCTGAAAAGACCCAGTGCCAACGACAACAAGAAGAGCGGTACCAACAGATAATTTAAACCCGCAAACACAAAGAAAAAGCCAAGAAAACCGAAACTGCTGAAAGCTACAGCCAGGATTTGCAAAATTGGATGATTCAACAGAACTGCTGTAGCAACAGCAAGCAAGATAGACCCAACTGGTACCGAAATGAAAGTGTCAAACTCCAACTCGTCAAGATACATAATTTGGCTCCAGAACCACCAGCTAGCTGAGACTTGCAGAGAGTACAAAGCCCAAACCATCATTTCGTGAGAGGCATACTTCCGTATCCAAGCATTTCTCGAGCTAGTAGACACAAGGACGTGTAAACATACACCAGCCAGAAAAAGCAATATTAGCCCCGCCGCATTGGGGTCGAATAGAGCATGTATGAGCAGAGCAACTCCAGTCACGGCTGGTACAGTGCAAGCTGGGACCTCCAACTTGTATAGGTACCACGATAGGAATGCAAGGCACACCAGCGATACCGTAGTCCGAATCCAATCAAAATTGACACATGATCGATGTCGTCTACCATTGTTGCGTTCTTCGTAGTCTTCGTTAGTCGTGCTTTTGCGAAGTACAACTGCAGTCGTCATGGAATCGATATTGAACGAAGAAACCAATGTTGTCACCGTCGTATCGCCGCCACCACTCGATCTTCTTCGTCTATTTTTGGAAATGCTGCTGTAGGTGGCAACCCATAATTCATTTTCAGTGGCATAAATCTTTGCCCAGCCACTACCGCCTCCATAAATGTTTCGGGAATCGGTGTCGTCCAACGCTTTGAATCTTCCCACCTGTCCTGTAGCAGAATTTTGACACAAGACCTCGTCCTGCAAGCGACAAAGCGAGTTTTTGTGAAAGATGGTACACCACGCGTGGTACGGCGGCGTGGAAGGAAAGCCAAACAAAAGCGGTTGTGTTATATCATTAAACACATAGCCGCACTTTTCCTCGGAGTTTGCTGTTGGAGCCCATTCTTGGATATGGGCATTTGATGAGTAGAGGACGACACTGCTAGAGTGAGGGTCTTCTTTTGAATTTAGCATTACTAGCATTCCGGACCGAGAAATATCTGGCACTGCCTTTGCGAATACCACAGATCCATCTACCAGAGGAACAAACGGCAAACTCCGATTGAAATCAGCATCACCCGAGACCCAATTATGCTGCCAAGAGAAGCTGGCAATCCACTTTTGTACTCCACTCGGTAAAGATTCAAATTCTGGTAATGTTTCCAACGCCCAAAGCGAGCTCTCATCGTCCTCTTCGTGCATTAGCAAGTCATCACTTTGAAAGGGAGCGCTCACAAAACAGGTTCCTTTGGACATTAAATCTCGATTGGCGACTCCAAAGTGCAGCAGGAGAAACCCGGCACTCCCTTCCACAAACTGCCAGGTCGAAAGTGAACACAAGGCGTAAAGTAGACAGACGAAGAATGTGGCTTGGGGCGTCCAGCTCCTGCTACCACTTTGATGAAGGTTGCATCCAAACATGGAATCCACTCGTCTGGAAACCTCCATAATGTCTACCTGCCGGCTTCGATCTTCCTCCGAGTTCGTTTCCTCGTCGTCCCCACTGCTTGGACGATTATTATCTTGAGTACTACCGGAAGCGACAGTAATAGTAATATCAGCACGCTTCTCGAGTGCCTTTGCCCCATTCCAACAGATATTGGCGTTCCAAAGATTTTGAAAGAGGGAAATTGCCAGACCTACACTCAGTTGGCCCCGAATTTGAAATTGGGTTTCCCAGGTTGGATCGCCATGCCTTCCACTGTAGTGTCCAGCAATGTATTCCGTGGGAACATGGAGCAATACCAACACCAAAATGGAGCAGAAAACATTGGCTGCTGCGACTTTCATCGCATATCGAAACGGAAGGAACCATCGTTTTCCCTGTTCGTAGAAAGTTGCAACTTCGGGAACCGATTGTTCCTGTTCTGTCGTTGGAAGGAGAAGTGATGGATGGTGGTTATCTGGCTGACCTGTTGGCAGCAGCGGCTCGTTATCCTCCTCGTCTTCCATCATTGTTGCGTTGTGAGGTCAATACAAGCCAATAATGAAAGCGTCCCCCAACGTATGAATAGCTACCAGTACAGCACGTACCAGGGTACCTGGTATGGTACGGTACCAGATACCTAGATGGATCTTGGGACTTGAACAGACCGCGGATACTCATGCTCATTTGCTGTTTCAGATCTATCTTCCTGCACTGATTGAGCTTCTATTATTTTGTAAAGGCGCATTTATCATTTTATATAATGTACTGTATGTGTGACCGCATATGCACATCTTAAATACTCGTACATGTCTTGTTGCACCTCTTGGTTGCACCGTCCAATTTTTTACACAATGACATCGAAATAAGTGACGTCACAGCTTTCGCTTGCGAGAAAATTTTGAAATCCAAACATTGAACATAATACCCGTCATATCATTTATATCGCAGTGCAATGCTCATGATGAAGGGCATCCACACTGTAATACTTATTTTCCAGGCCAATCCTGTTTCGTAATCTTACCGCAGATATTCAATTTCAGCCAATCAACGGCCTTCGAGTGAGTCTGATATCATGCATGCTAATTACATATAATAATACATGCGTGTCCCACCACACACAAAATTCAGATTTGCAAGAATGAATCCCATCTATTGGGCATCACCATCACCATCGTGCATGATCCTGCAATCGCAAAACCCACTACAAGCAGACTATTACACAAGTGTACTTCAACTTTCATGTTCGGAACTTATTGATTACGCATTCTGTTTGGATGGACCCCTTTTTCAAACATAACACTGTTAACTCGACGACTGCCGCGACACCGAATTGGTCTGGCTGCTTGGTTGGACGAAATATGTCTGCATGTCACCCTTCCCCTTTATGGGTAGCTTCTCGTCACAAGCCACTAGCCATGAAGACCGACCTAATTTCACTAGCTCATCAGCTGTGGATTGGGACACATGGATCTTGCCACTCATTCCATTGCTCTCCATCCTTGACGCAGTATTCACAGTATCTCCAAAGAGCTGATACCTAGACTTTTGTCCGCGAAGAACACCCCCTGTGACTGGACCACTGTGCAGGCCTACACGCATGGCCAGGGCTGCCGTATCCTCTCCCAAGGTTGCCACCAGTGACAAAACTATATTTCTCATTTTTGCAAGACAGTCGACAGAAAACTTCACCATGATCTCTGCATGTTCTGAAAGAAGAAAGCAAAAAGAAGCGTTAGTGGTCTGCATTCATTTCAAGAAATGTCGAAGAAAAGTCGGACATATAGCTCCAAACATACTTTCTTGCGGATTTGGAAGTCCGGTGACTGCCACGTAGCAGTCGCCGATAGTCTCAACTTTGAAGACATCTCGCTTATTTGCGATGGTGTCAAACTCGCCATACAAAGCTTCCAATAGCTGAAACACCTCAACTGGTGTCCTAGTTGCACTCCATTTGGTGAAACCAACGAGGTCGGCGAAGAAGATGGTGGTATCGGGGTACTCGCTGGCAATGGCCTCCTTGTGGTTTTCACCTGGGTTCTTTTCTGCCTGCCATGTGGAAGACTTATTTTTTGCTTCTTGTTCTTCATACAAGCGGTCCCTGACAGCCGCTGGGAAGAGGGATTGTACGAGTTTTCCAGACTGAAGTGCCGATTTCATGACCGCTTTCTGTCGTCGTTCTACCATATAGTCGTATAAGAGAAAGACTGCAGCTGTGAACACAAAAACGGCAGCAAGAATGATTGCAAACAGCAAAGGCTCGGATGTCTCGTAGCGGTCTCGAAATTCGTCAGAAGGATACACTCGGATGCTGTAGTGACAACTAGGATCCTCATCCTGCTCTGCTGCGAAATCAAAGATCAAATCTATATCCGTCCCCTTCGACAGGTAATCATATTTGGGAGAATGAAGGTCACCGTGACCAAAGAATTTCGCTTCGAGCCCATCGACTTGGTAGGTATACTGCTGTCCACACGTGTTTTCGAGGATGACATAGATACCATCGGCTCCGTTTGGTAAAAGGCCGTCGAAGTAAGTTCTCCAGTAGACGATGGTGAAGAAAATGGCAACAACAGAGCGACCTCGGCCCAGTGTATCATAGACTGTAGTGTGAAAGTTCCACATTCGAGATGTCAAATGTAAATTCAAGTTGTTGCAACACATTCTCGTTTGCATACGACCGCACAAGACTTACTTGGAAATTGGACTACAGCAGTTGGGTCACCTTGATATTCCAAATCTGACGCTGCTCGGTATATATTGTATCTATCGTCCTTTGGCGTAGCTGGATCAACGTAGTCAAAGCTAGGTCCAAACGCAGGTCTCTTGTTGGCAATAACATAATCCATGTTTGCTCGGTGCTCTGAATCTCTGTAGAAGTTGTCATTCGTTGCTGTCCCGTTGTTGACAGGGTTCGTCATCCAGCTGACAAAATATGGTCCAGGACCTGCATCAATAACTCTCACATCATGGGTAGTATCTTTGTCCATTATTGTTGGCGACATTGGTGCCGCGACGATGTCAGCTGGGTCCATGCTCATCAAGAACGCCATGCCTTCTCTTTTCCAATCTTGATTTGCCGCCGTATACTCCTCCCATTCGGTTCGTTGATCATCCGTGACTCTCACGAGCATAATTGAATACAAAAGAGCTGCCATCTCATGCACCGCTGTGGCTCGTCTCGTATATTCCTGAGGAGTGACGAAAGGCCAAGTTTGGTTTGCAGTCACAGTAACACCAGAGACGAATATTTCGATGGCACCGAAGCGTTGTTTCGCGACGGACTCGAAGGAAATGACAAGCTTGTCGACGAGACCCTCGAAATCCCTTTCAAAGCTTTCTTGTTCATTCCTGCGTCCATTCAAGTATACTCCTACGCACACTGCAATCATAGCAGACATGAGGACAAATGCCACCAACAAACGAAGTCGCCATACCCATCTGCCTTCATCTTTCGCGACAACTAAATCTGGTTGCGCTGATTCTACGCGGTTTTCATCATAATTGGCCTCGCTTTCAGAAATATCTGATACCTCCTTTTCAGAAGTATTAGCGACTGATGAACTGTAACCGTTTGGTTTATTTGCCAACATCATCGTGCTTTTGTGAGAAGTGCGTTTGCGAAACGTATGGTGGTATTAAATAATCCACGAGTATCAAACCGATGCAATGAAAACACCAGATAGTCAATCCTCAATTCAACAATATGGTATACTAATTCATAGCAGTATCAAATTGTGTTAACGAGATCTCACAATACCTTTGTGTAACATATGTTCAATCGTTCAACATAAATACGAGAAAAGCTGGGAAAACCGACATTCAACATTGCGGAAGGAAGCTAGACATGATAGCCAGAATTTGCAAAATCGGATGATTGATTCAACAGAACTGCTGCAGTCATTTCAACGAAAAGAGCTCAAAAGTAGATGACAAAAGTTATCATTACGATCATTACTGATAGAGTATGCACCGAACAAGCTGACAATGACACTTGGTGGCAATCTATCAATGCCAAATACTCCGGGTGCACTAAGTTCCTGTTCACTCGGTGGCAATCTCACACTGAAATAGAATGGCCAACTCGCAGAGCTGAAGCGTCCTGTTCCATACATTTTTCAATGGCAAGAGTCACCTGCTCTTGATCACGATTGCAATATGCTGCCAAGTCAAAGCAAAAGGGCTGGGCCATACCCATGTAGTTGACTTCCACAACATGACTAGTATACAAACCCACGATAGGGAAGAAATGGATGTTGGCAAGCATATCGATACTCAAGTCCCGAAACGCAGCAGTGACAAATTGACCGTTTTTCGTGACAAAGATATAGCGATGGACATAGTCAATTCCCATCCCCACTGTATCACCAGGTCCAAAGGTGCTCACTAGGCCAATGTTCCGTCCAGAACCATGATACAAGCCACCATTGTCGCCATGGTATCCAAAACTGAGCTTGTCCCATCCCGGCAATTTAGAAACCCAGCGAGACGGGCTCGTAGTCAAGCCAATGCAAACACAGTCGTCTCTGAAAAGTGGTGGAGGGCAGTCCCATTGGCGTGTCCCGATTGCAATTTCAAAATAGGATACGAGGCGAGGTGACACGTTGATAGTGCTCTTGGGTCCGGCTTGATACCTGTAGGGACTTACGAAAGGTCTCCATTCGTAAATTAGCTCGTTCTCCAGAGTCGCCACTTCTTCGCCATCATCCATTAATGTGGTTTCAGTTACAGTTTCAATTTCTGATATTTGACATTTTGGTTTTGGTAGGGGAAGGTTGGCCCTGATGGAATAAACATAGCCAGTCACATTAAAAGAATATTCCAAGCGGGGGGTTTGTTTCGTGGATACGTCAAAAGTCGCCCCAGGGTGATAGAAATATTGGATCAAGCGTTGGGGGATTTCTTCCGGTGTCGTGGAGAGAAGTAGAGGAAGGTTGGTTTTGCCCAGACGTCCAACCGGAGATGGGAATGATTCTGAGGCAGAAATGCTACCGGGGAGTGGAACATCGTTCTTCAGGACAGGGTCCGTATGCATATCTTGTGGCAGTTTTCCCCAGCGAAGCTCAAATTGATAGAGCCACATCTGATAGGCTGTATCGGAGAGCAAAAGACAACGAAAGCTTCGATCGGTGGCCATCATCCGTCGCAACGAATCCAAGTCCAAAAACGAGAAGACATCGATTTGCGCGTCTGTTGACAAGCTTGAAAGTTTCATCGCTATTATCTCGACCTGATAAATGAGACAGTTCCGTACAGTGAAAGGATTTATCCGTATTCCATATAGATAGACCAAAAGAAGCAAGCCTGAGTGTTGCAATATATGGCGCGTCTGCTTTGGATATACAGTATGGCAATCGAATAGCTATCGTTGTTGCGTCGTCTGTATAGATCAGAAATTCTGCCTTTTTACGATAAACCGTATCCATGGAATCAGTCAGTCCTGTATACGCAGTCACGAGTGCGAATGTCACGGATTGGTCGAGTGAGTCATTATTTGCGCGACGATATCTGGCCGGCCGCCGGATGACTGACACCTGACACTCACTCGTCACTCACTATTCAGACTATCCGCCTGCCTTGTTGAGACAGATCAGATGTTTTGAGGGGGGAAAGTCCCGTGTGGAAAAGATGCCACGGGTCTTTCTATTAATTTGTTGCGAAAAGCTCGGATGTCCATTTTTTCAAGTGGACAATATTATTGGTCGGGTGTCCTGACTAATGCGGTCAGAAACGGCTAAGAGAAAAACACCTCGGTAAAACATGCACGATACCACATATGCGGTCCCGCACGTTTTTTTGTTGGGATGGAAAAACCTTTCGTGATTCTGAACCGCACACATTTTTGCCCAAACGAAGAATCTTTACAATGGAGGATAATAATAAGAAACCAAACGATCACACCGGTTGTTCAGACACTGTTGACAAGGATTTGTCATATGATTCTGAGAGCGAGGCTAATCATGATGAAAACCTTGCTGCGTCGGCACAACCAGATTTAGTTGTCGCGAACGATGAGAACAGATTGGTATGGCGACTACGTTTGCTGGTTGCTTTTGTCCTCATGACTGCTATGATTGCAGTGTGTGTAGGGGTATACTTGAATGGGCGCAATGATCAACAAGATAGCTTTGAGAAAGAATTTGCAGGCTTGGCAGACAAGCTCGTCATTTCGTTTGAATCTGTCGTGAAACAGCGCTTTGGTGCCATCGATATGTTCTTCTCTGGTTTGACTGCCTATAGCAACCAGACCGCTTGGCCACTTGTAACCCCTCCTGACTACACAAGACGTGCCTCAGAATTGCACGCAATGGCTGGGTTGTCCTTGTCGCTCTTGTTGCCGAGGATTGAAGCAAATCGTCGCACCGAATGGGAAGCGTATTCAAATGCCAATCAAGGTCATTTGCGAGAGGGTTTGGCGTACATGCAGGGCGTGGATGCAGCAGAAATAGACGTGACACCTATATTTCCTGTTATAATGGATCTTGAATCCAATCCAGGCTCATATGTTCCAGAGTCAGGGCCTGGTCCATATTACCCTATATGGATGATGCACCCTCCAAGCAATCCCTCCGGCATAAATGTCAACATTCATAGAAATTCTGAAAACACGGAAATTATGGACTTTGCTGTTGCCAACAAAAGGCCTGCTTTTGGATTAAGCGAAGACTACCTTGATCCTACTAGGCCAAGGGATGATAGGTACAATTCGTTTTCAAACACACCAAACTGGAACTATCAAGATGATGCATTTGCCATTGCTCAGTTTCCTGGTATGTTTCACGTTGCATAGACCTGCAGATCTCCGAAAAACAATATGCGATTTCTCACGTCATTCCTTTCATCTCACTCTGCCGCCATTCAGTATTTGATAAACTCGCGGGAGACCGTTCCGTTGTAGCGATTTTCTATACCATTATCTACTGGAGAACCTATTTCGATGGGCTTTTGCCCAAAGGTTCCAATGGTATCCACGTCATCCTAGAAAACACATGTGGCCAGCAGTACACTTACATCGTTGACGGCCTAGAAGCACAGTTTGAAGGTCACGGTGACCTCCATTCACCCGAGTATGACTACTTGCGACGAGAAACTAAAATCGATTTGATCCTTGATCGAGATCAAACTTTTGTTGACGAAGATCCTACTTGTCACTACAGCATCCGAGTGTATCCTTCTGACACGTTCCGCGACAGTTACGAAACCAACGAGCCTGCACTGTTTGCAATCGTTCTTGCTGTCGTTTTTGTGTTCACGGCTGCAGTTTTTCTCCTGTACGACTACATGGTAGAAAGACGACAGAAGGTGGTCATGAAATCGGCAATGCAGTCTGGAAAACTGGTACATTCCCTTTTTCCAGAAGCCGTCAGGGACCGTTTGTATGAGGACCAAGACCAAGAGGCAGCAAATAAGGCTGCTACATGGAAAACGGGAGCTAACGGAGGTGTGGTTGAGCGCAAGCAAGCCATTGCCAGCGAGTACCCCGAGACCACCATCTTCTTCGCAGACCTCGTCGGGTTCACCAAATGGAGTGCGACAAGAACGCCCGTTGAGGTGTTCGAACTGTTGGAAGCTTTGTATGGAGCGTTTGACACCATTGCCAACAAAAGAGGTGTCTTCAAGGTTGAGACCATCGGCGATTGCTACGTGGCGGTCACCGGACTCCCAAATCCGCAAGAAAGTACGTCTAGAGCTATCTTTCTTTTTCTCTGCCATCCAAATAATCAAGGATACTAACACTTTTGGTTGATTTCTTGTTTCAGAGCATGCGGAGATCATGGTGAGATTTTCTGTCGATTGCCTTGCAAAAATGAGAAATGTGGTTCTGTCACTGGTAGACTCCTTGGGAGATGATACAGCAAATCTGGCCATGCGTGTAGGTCTGCACAGTGGACCAGTCACCGGGGGTGTCCTTCGTGGACAGAAGTCTAGGTATCAGCTCTTTGGAGATACTGTGAATACTGCGTCAAGGATGGAGAGCAATGGAACAACTGGCATGATCCATGTGTCCCAATCCACAGCTGATGAGCTAGTGAAGCTAGGAAGGTCTTCGTGGCTAGTGGCTTGTGACGAAAAGTTGCCAATCAAGGGGAAAGGTGACATGCAGACATATTTCGTCCGGCCTACCAGCTTGACTACGTCGGTTTCGCGGCAGTCAACAAATTAGTATTGATAGAAAGGTCAGCGAGCCATGTATAATTTAGGATATTTTGTATGTTAATGGTAGGTCTGCAAAGTGGTCCCGTCACAGGGGGTGTTCTTCGAGGCCTCAAGTCTAGGTATCAACTCAATTTTAATCACAAAGTAGCGATTTATCGTTAGTTTATGTACTGGTCAATCTGTACAGAGCTGTATAGCAAAGTAGGAGCATCTGCAAGGGCGCCCAGGTAGTCCTTCTTGCGTTTTGCTTCTTGTAGTGTGCCTATTCAAAGGACCACCCGGGGGCTAGATTTGCGGATGGGATCAGGCATCCTTAGGCCATGAGCTTGCGCAACATGTGCAAAGCCTTCAAGTGACGGTGTCCACCAATCTTGGCACGCAAATGACGGCGTCCTCCGTGGTGGTGGCCATGATCTCCTCCGTGGTGGTGATCTCCATGGCGATGTCCATGCTTTCCATGTTTGCCATGATGACGATGCCCGTGGTGTCCATGATGCCAGCTGTGTCCTTCATGTTCCTTGTAGTAGGTGGCTTCCTTGGGTTCAGGATCCGCATGGACAACAACCTGACCGTCCTCCATGGCAACTCCGGCCAATCCTTCCAAGAACTTGCGAGCTTGCTTGCATTCATGATCATGACAGTCGCAGTTGTACAAGTCCTCCAAAAGGTTGTATTGCTCATCAATGAATTTTTGAGGAATAATGTGGCCAAGTCCTTGACCAGAAAGAACTTGCAAGTTTAGAGTCTTGCCATCTTCCATGGTGGTGAGCTTCAATACAGCTTCGGCCATGGTACCCATGGACTCGTCCATAGGTTGGATCTTGACCTTCAACTCTTGGTTCTCGGGGTCCCAATTGAGGGTCTTGGTAGCGACAAAGTATCGTCCCTTACCACCTGGCAAACCATCCGTGGGAATGCTGAGAGACACTTGGTATTCGTTTGCCTTCATTTCCGCAAAGGCATTTCCACGAAGACGTTCTTCAGACGCAAAGAAGCCATTGAGATCTTTTGCTGTGAGAACAAAGTCCTCGGGTACCTTTCCATATTGGATTGAATCCCAAAAGAAGCGAGCGCTATCCTCAAGCAAGGCCAACTCTTCCAATGGAACATCTTGCACGGGGAGTGCATTGGGTTCCGTTACAGTCCACTGTTGGACTTGATGGGAGACAAAGCGGTACCAGCGGTATCCAGCAATGGAAGCAACGGCGCCAAAGAGGAGGAATCCGACCAAGGCTACCTTGCAGATGACCTTGAGGCACTTCTTGACACAGCGTGCCTTCTTGCATTTGCCATGTTTGCAATTCTTCCAGTTCTTCCAGCGGCATTCCTTGTTCTTGTTCTTGACTGGGTAGACGGACTCTGCGGAGACCTCGAGGGGAGTCTCAATGTCCTCAAGGAGAGGGACCTTGGAGTTCGTATCGTCGTTATCCATGATGATGATGATGTTTGTTTTATTGTGAGTCCGGTTCGTGGATATCGAAAACCTTCATGGTATTTTTCTCCCGGAAAACCGAAAGGAATCTTGCGAAATTTGATTTCGAACAGTGTTCGATTGTGGCCATCACGAGTCAATGTAAGACATCGGTCGTTAATTAAAAGTAACATATGGCATTGGAGCTACTGTAGATACGTGTACCGTACAATCTCATTGAGAATGGTTTCGCAAATATGCAGAGAATTGATTTTAGGGGAACTTTTAGGGGCGAATACAATGTGTGAAACACAGATCCGGGTGTTTTCCGACTTTTTTCACCTCTATTACAAATTCTTTTGTATTTTCAATTTTCTACGCCTTGACAATAAGGCAACAAGGCACAAGTTGAGAGTCCAGTAAGGCGTCGATCAATTTGAAGGCAGTTCCTGTGATTGAGCCTGGTTGCTTGATACTTCATGCAACAAAGAAATAATGACATTGTTTTATTGTTACTTTACAATGCTATAGTTTTACAAATTTTAGTTCTTAAGCCATAAGTCTGCGAACCATGTGCAAAGCTCTCCAATGGTGACTGTGACCATGAGCCTTGGGACTACTTTCGCGCAAGACACGGTGTCCTCCATGGTGGTGGCCATGCTCTCCGTGGTGGTGACCATGCTTTCCATGATGACCATGGTGGTCATGGTGCCAGCTGTGTCCTTCGTGCTCCTTGTAGTAAGTAGCTTCCTTGGGATCAGTGTCAGCATGAACGACAACCTGTCCTTCCTCCATGGAAACTCCAGCCAAACCTTCCAAGAACTTACGGGCGTGCTTGCAGTCATCATCATGACAGTCGCAAGTGTACAAGTCTTCCAAGAGGTTGTAGTGTTCCTCCAGGAAATCTGTGGGAATCTTGTGGTCAAAGGCTTTACCCTTAATGACCTGCAAGTTTAGAGTCTTGCCATCTTCCATGGTGGTGAGTTCGAATTCCGCATCGATCAATTGACCAATGGGGACTTCCACGTCCACGGCATCCATCTGGATGGTAAGACGGTTGGTCTCTGGGTGCCATTTGACGGTCTGGTAGGCATTGAAGAATCGTCCCTTACCGCCTGGCAAGCCATCCGTAGGCAGGCTGACAGACAGTTTGAGTTCGTTGTCCTCCATCTCGGCATACGCATGAGTGCGGAGGAAATCGGAAGCGGCGACAAAGCCATTGGTCTGTCTGTGGGTGAGGACAAAGTCTTGTGGAACGGCACCATTTTGGATGCTGTCCCAGAAGAGTTTGGCGTTGTCCTTCAAGACTTCTAGTTCGCCCATGGGAACCTCCTCACGGGGCGTATAGTAATTGGCCTGAGTGGAGGTGAATCGTTCCACCTCACGAGACATCCAGCGATACCAGCGGTAGCCAGCAATGGAAGCTACCGCAGAAAATAGAAGGAATGCGACGAAGACAACCTTCAAGACGGTCTTAAGGACCTTTTTGACACAGCGTGCCTTTTTGCATTTGCACTCCTTGTTCTTGTTCTTCTTTACAGGATAGATGGAGTCTGCGGAAACAATTGGAGTCTCAATGTCTTCAAGGAGAGGAATAAAGTCGGTGGATTCTTTCTCCATTGTGATGTTTTGTGTTTTGGTGGTAGTAAGTTGTTGTTGACTGCTTGTTCAAATTATGATCCTTTCCTGGACAGCACAATGATGCAATGAATACAACGTATCGTATCTTGGCAATAATCAATCGTAGTAAGTGTGAAAGAAGTTTTACAGAAACCGCGTGTTCATCGTATCCCGCGGAACATCGAGGAGTTTCCGTGAGGTCACTTCCACGAATTAGCGTGGATCGGGCGAGTCAAAAGTGATTAACCGTCTGGCCGCTGCACAAAGAATGAATGAATGAATCAATCTCATGTTCAATCAAGAGTATAGGTTCAATGTCTCATGTTCCACTTGGACGCTTGACTTATGCTGGAGCTTGGCGGCGTATACCACTTTGTAGCAGAAACAACAAACCAAGCTTCAATAGAAATTGTAGTCGTTCAAAATTGAATGCAGCTATACAGTATAATGAGGGGGGAGATAAATCTTCCTTTACGTGTAGATATGCTGGGTTGGAGTTGGGGTGGAGCTGATAAGTTGCTCACGAATAGCAACTTCCGCAGGATTCTCATTGTTGATTGATGATTCGCTCACAAGAAACATGTATTTCTAATTCTGGTGCTGTCCCTAGAATTGAACCTGCTTTCATCACTGTATGAGATGTTAGCAGTCCATCAGCTTTCTAATTGTTTCCCCATCGTAGCTCTTCACGCACTCCACGTGTATGAAATAATTATCAATAGACGAATCCATGTCCCGCATCCTCTTGTTGTTGTTGTTCTTTTTAGATGTAAATGTACAATTATTGGCTTGAAAAATATGTAATGTATGTAGGTACCGTATGTAAACTTCAGCACAAGAACATGGATGTCTTGTTGCTGCTCAACCTCATGATCGGCTAACCTTGCGCACGTGCCTTGTTGTTGATCTTGGAGCGGACGATTGTCCCAGAGACGGAGATGCCGATGGAGGGAATCCCACCATCGAGTGTGCATCATCTTGCATCGTATCTGCTCTACGAGACGGAGTGCCACGAGTAGCTTGAGTAGCTGAAGTGTACCGGTTGGGTGTGGATGGCATAATGCTGGCAATAGAAGAATCCACAACTTCGTTTGCGACATCCATTTCGTATTCGAACTCTTGTCCAGCGCAATGGAAAAAATCGCGGTAGGGGTTTAGCAAGGATGGCATTTTGATATCAAAAGTTCTAGAAGGTGAAACGGTTTGTTGATTGATTGGTCTTGTTTGAGATGATCGATTGATGTGTGAATCTTATTTTGGAACGATCGCTTTTGGTCTGTTTTTTTCTGTGAAAGTGGAGGGAAGATCTCTGACGCGAGAAAAACCAGAACTTTGGCACGTGCGGTTCTCATTCAAAACTAACGTTGCGATCCGTACGTTACTTTGGAGCCAAAAACGAACGTAAAAGCGTATATATGAGTATGCCAGCCCGCCCGTGCCCACTGTTGAATACAACAGATACAACAGTGATCGTGGATATTTACTTTTATGTCCAATTTTACGACGTTGGTGTGACACCTTCACCTTTTTGCGTATGTTTTTTGGCTTCTTTCCAACTGCTCAATCGTCAGGCCAATCGTTGTAACGGCTCCACGAATTCTCGAATGAATGAATCAATCATCCGACCATCCAATGTTTTCGAATGAATGAATCATCCGACCAATAGCATCCATCCTTCGATCCATCATCGTCAGTACACCGAAGCACAGTGTGACATCCAATAACTCGTATTGATGATTCCACTCGATTGATTAATTGCAAACCAATGTCGATCCTCTTTTGCATTGTCTCAATGCTCGGCATGATGGCCTGCCAGTGTACAGGTCATCAACTTCGCCACCAATCACGGGGATTATCCCGGGGCTACGATTCTAGACTATTGCTACCAACCACTAAAAATCATGCAAATCATGAGCCTTCTTGCACTATTCCACGCCGAGAGTTTTCTTCACTGCTGGTTGGAGCAGCCGCATTGTCCACATCAAACGCTATCTTGGGGACTTTGCCAGCTCAAGCAGCAACTGGAAACCTTGCCTCCAAACTTTCCCAACGAGACCCCGCCGCCCTGGCCAACTCCATTTTCAATATCCCACCACAAACTCAAGTGTACCCTGACTTTATGCACGGAACCTGGAAGATCAAGTGCAATTACGCTGGTTTTTTGTTTCCTTCCAAAAAGATATCTCGCGAAAAGCTAATCAGCAATGCCCAGATACCTGGTTTTCAAAAGTGTTCAATAGTTGCTCTTTCCGACATTGGAAAAGATTCCTTTGACTATACCCTGTCCATTGATCCAACATCTGGATTGGAAGATCGGATTCAAACTCTAACGACTCAGGTCAATAGCAACTTGGGCTACGATGCCGTGGCGGCGGTCAAATACAATGCCAAATCCAATCCAAACCGAATATCCATTGACTTTGACGAGTATCGCACCATCAACGCGGAACGTGTGGAACTCTTTGCCAATGGACGGGAATCCGAATGGATCCCAGAGACGAAAACTTTTGTGTGTAGCGAGTATCTCCGGCAGGTGACCTTTGGGACTGGATCGAGTGTGGGTATCCCACGACAAGTTGCCACCAATTATGCACATTTCTGGACCTGGAAGCAAGACAGTGAAGACCCAAATGTTATCTCTGGCAATTTGCTGACGGCTGCTTACTTGGATCCTCAAGACAGCATGTTCTTTGACGAGCCTTCAAAGCCCGTTGCTGTTTATAGTCACGTGTTAAAGGGAGTAAAGGCATAGAAAGGCATGGCAAGTGATATGATTATATATATGTGATCGAGACACTCGGATCTTGGGACAATAGTGGGAACAGCAACAAAACGGAAGAACGAATATCCGTCCGCACTCAAACGTAGAGCACATACTCCTCAAACGGCTTGTTGCTGGCCCACAACTGCCAGTTCCGCCAACCAATCAACAGGTTGTTTGATTCAAACACTTCTCGTTTCTGAGCTAGTCGTATTATGACGAGCTCGAGCTATAAAAAATAGAGAATATAATTTTTAAAAAGCAAGCTTACAATAGGATTCTGATACACTGATCGATAAGATGAAAACAGTTACTTGAAACCCACATTAGAGTTCTAGGTTCTCTTCGGTTTCTCACTGAATGAAGATATGAATCCATTGAATCAATGGGGAGTCAGTGCTTGTGACACCTTTTTAGTACGTTCTTTGGATTCTCTCCAACTGTTCCCAAAGTCAGCCAGTCCTTGTAACGGCTCCCTCCGACACCAAGGCATTTCCCCTTGCATGATATCTTTTGCAAATCTATCACCCAAGTTGGAGGTGACTATATCCTATACCCTTTGTGGTTGAAAGAGTCTTGTGTAGTAGTATCATGCATTTGGTGTCCGGTGATGCAGAAAGAATTGATAGCTTAGAATATCTTAGACTACAACGACGACTATCCATCACGCCATTCCTTATAGCTGGTAGATACATATATAGACTGCTAGACTTCCTTGTATACCAATATGAATTCTTCTTCGTTCCCCCACGGATGTTGAGGATAGGGGATGATCGACTACAAAAGTTAGGGTTACAAACAACGAAATAATGTGCTACAGAAGTGAGTTTTGAGTGATTCATTCATGCAATTCTATGTATTGGTTTATATGTATTCTTGTATCCCTTCTTTGCAGCGCATTAGCCTCACTTATTGTGAATCATCATCATCATCATCAAGCCATAACTACTATGATGTGATGAGACTGTTTCTAGACGGCGTTGACTGCGAGCTCTTTCTTCGAGGTGTGCTAGTTGTGGATACCGTCGTCCTAGGAGGCGTACTCGCGTGTGACAGAGATTGACGAACTTCCGTCGATCGAGAACTGGTCGATCGCATGGAATCGTCTCGTTTCTCCTCATGGGTATTGTTCATCTCATCGTCAAAGGAGATTGGGACACTGGCAGTGCCATTGAAGAGTGGGGAAGCTCCGTAGCGCTGGATCGTGTCCTGGCGCACCTCTACCATGCTTTCCTTCGATGGCATGGAATACAAGGCTGGGTTCGACGTCATGCTGCTGGTCATGGCAACTTCCATCATGGTGACATCATCATCGTTGAATTCTTCACCAGCGCAGTGAAAGAAGCCTAGAAATGGTTCAAGTAGAGTTTCGAAAGTCATGGTAGGTATTGTTGTTTTGTTTCTTGTTTGGTGTTGTGTAATTGTGAGGTGTTTCGTCTTTTGTGTCTCGTGTTTGGCGATTAGCAGTTGGCTTTGGTTTGCTTTTTATGTGAGTGTTTCAATCAGAAGCCCGATATTTTAATACTGTGCTGCCGACAACTAATCGTGTTGTTTTTGAAGTGATCCAAAATCAGGTCGTTCTTTTTTGTGAATTTAGTACGAGGTCCGTACAACAAGTACCAGGTACACGTTAATCGTGCAAACGTAAGGTCGGATGTTCTCCAAATCTACCTAGAAGAACCATCGCGGCGACCTCGAAAAAAACGCGGGAAAGAAAATAATCACGCTCACGAAATTGGCATGCTCCATGGTAAACCAGCAGCATGTCTACGTCACTCCGGTACTGTACTGTACCGTATTATTGGGCCCACCTAATCACTCAAATGCGACACTGACGCGTTCACTTTTTCAAGCATGCTACAGTATCCTTGCAGAGAATCTCTAATTTAAGCTGTAATGAAGCGATGTCGGTGATTATCATCAATCTTCAAAACAGGTTGTTGCTCTACTAAATTAGTATATAGTAATAGCAGTAGTAGTATGTGAATGCAGTTGCATGCAGCAATCCTAGTCTCGACTCAGTTCATCCTTTGAACCATGGCATACCGGTAGAAGTAACAGCGCCAGTAAGGCACTGTACCATCAATCCAAGAGTCATCTGGTCTGGGAGATAATTACTTCAATATCCCGTAAGCAGTGGTGTCAATCGTAACGTGACTGACTATGCGGTTGAATGATCATGAGTCAGTCAGTCCCGAGCCGATCGATTGATTGATTCTGATCGGAAATGAAAACCACCCACCCAACCGAAACAGTCCAGATGCCAGATGCCAGATTCCTCAACGCATCTCCTCTCCATCCCAATACTGCACCGTATCAAACAGCTCAACTCAAATGAAAATGCCGAATGCGTCCACCACCAATCACTCCTTTCTTCACATACACACTTGGAAGTTCACTCTATGTTCCATTAACATGTCGGTGTAATAGTCTGACTTTACCTGAAACCAGAGGGCCAAACTTTTTGCTGCCTCGCGATGTGGTGGCATCGTTGATGCGTGTGCGGGAGATGGAATTGCAACGCGATGATGGAAATGATGATGACAATGACAACCTCTTTTGGGAAGTAAAGACAATTGATTCATTAGTGGAAGGAAAACAAAAGTTGCCATCGCTATTGGGCAAAAACAAAGTCCAAGAGTATCCTGATGGAAACCAGCATGTCGTCCATCCCAAAGTACCAGATCTGATGGAGGAAATTCGTCTTCAAATGGAGAACAACGACGTCGACAAGACCTCAACAACGAAAATCACCTCTGTTGTGATTGCAGGAGAAGGAGAGCCGACCTTGCGCTTGAATGATCTTTTGTCTCTGACCGAACAGCTGTCATCCAGCTCCTGGTTCTCTGAATCATCATCATCATCATCCAGCATACGTCTCACCACCAATGGACTGATCCCATCGCAGCAGGCTTCATCGATATCGAACGGCAAACAAGAAAGTAATGTGCCCCAGCTGCTTCAATCACATGGTGTCTCTCATGTTAGCGTTGCTCTCATGTCGGCGGATCCTCTTCAATATGAGGCTCTCATGCAACCCTTGTTGTTGGTGGAGGAGGATAATGCCCATTCGCAAGTTTGTCGATTCATTCAGCAAGCAGCTGATACAAATGGTCTCGAAGTCGAAGTGACTGCTGTGGATCGTCCAGAGGTGAACAAGGAAACACTCGAATCGCTGGCAAAGTCTCTTTCAGTCGAAAACCCAGTTCGATGGCGACCATACTTTGAGTAGTACTAGTAGTAGTACTAGTAGTAGTAGTAGTAGTAATGGACGGCGCGAATGGAAGAAGGAAGCATACACCTCAGTATACCATGTGGGATAGAATGATGAAGCTAAGTGTGAGCGGGCAAATAGGCCACGCGTAGGCTAGTGCTGCCTGTGGATCAAGAATAACATCATGTCTCTCAGCCAGCATTCATTCAGCACCAAAGAGATGAAACTGAAACTCTCATTAGAGTACATTACCTAACAGTTTTGCATATGGTATCAAATCCTGCTTAGCGCCTTCCTACGAAATACTACTGGTGCCTGGTGCCTTCTTCCTTCCACTTAAAATTGTACGTCTGCATTTGAGAACTTCGCTAGTACATGTTCCATGGTCGACCGAGTCGAACTGAGTCCGTTGAGAATGCTTTATTTTGGAAAATCATCGACGTACCGGTATGAGAATAGAAGGCAGATATTGAAGATTTGCCAAAACCCAAAAAGGTCTGATCTGCAGAAATAAGACTACAGGCAGTAAACTAAAGTGCAACCATGAACAATTTTTTGAAGGCTTTGTCACCTAAAAACAAGTCTAAAAATGAAGAGAAACCAAAAGAGATGAGCAAAGCATTGAAAAAGGCTTTGATACTCCTGCAGGAATCATCTCCGGAACAACATTTCTTGTTGAAAGATTTGGTATCGGCAGACTTGGGCCAATCGCACTTGTTGGATCCTTTTGAGGCTATTGTCGACGACGATGATAAGTTTTCCACCAAACTCAAGGCAATGATGAGTCAATTGGAAGAACTGGATGGTGCCTACCCAGGAGGACTCAAGGAATACGTCCACAAGGCCAAGAAACTGTTGGCCAATTCGAAGGCTGGATTGAATCCGTTGGCTGGTTGGGCTCCCAGTGTTCCAGCTGGAGAGAAGTTTGAATTGGGAACAGAGGAATATAAATCTACTGAAGCTTTGGGAATGGAAACTCTCGGAAAGGTTGGCTTTGTTCTCGTCGCTGGGGGGTTGGGTGAACGATTGGGATACAATGGAACAAAGGTGCGCGAAACTGAAAACAATACAATCGGCAATGAAACATATATCCATAGATTCTTACGCTCACGCTACTTTCGATTTTGTTTCTGCAGATCGGATTGCCAATCGAGACGACGACAAACTCCACCTATTTGCAATATTGTGAGTATTATTTTTGTTGGCTTGGTATTGTTCTGTCTTTTGTCGTCGTCACTATCTGACAATATTGTTGTTGTTAATGTTGACCCATAGACGTTGACTACATAAAGGCCGTCCAAAGCAAGTATGCCAAAGGTGGTCTCCTTCCACTTTGCATCATGGTCTCGAATGATACAAAGAAGCCAACCATTCGACTTCTTGCAGAAAACAACAACTTTGGTTTGGTTCCAGAGCAACTCTTCATTGTCGAGCAAGGAGCTGGAGTGCCTGCTCTTTCGGACAACAATGCCAAGTTTGCCACAGATTCTGACGATCCATTCACGTTGTCCACTAAGCCACATGGGCACGGAGACATTCATTCCTTGCTTTACAAGGAAGGAGTTATTAGCAAATGGAACGAAAAATTTGACCTGGATTACATGGTTCTATTTCAGGTACGTTTTACCATTCGTGTGCAGAGTAGAATGCAATAGGTTCCCTTTGCTTGTCGGCATGTGATATTCGTTTCCACCCATACTCACTTCTATCGATGATTTCGCTATTCAGGACACTAATGGACTAGCATTCCACACTCTTCCTTTGATGCTTGGTGTTTCCAAGAAGAATGGGTTCGTCATGAACTCTCTTGCTGTCCCACGAAAGGCCAAGCAAGCCGTTGGGGGAATCGCCAAGCTGACTAATACTTCGTCGGGTGCTGTACGGTAAGTGATCTCGGCATGCGCACATATGTCGTTCTCTTCTCTTGCTCGTTGACTCAACGCTGCTTTTTGAATGAATCAATCGATTCGGTTTCCTTGGGTTTCCGTTGCCACAGAACCATCAATGTCGAGTACAATCAACTAGATCCTCTTTTGAGATCGACTAAAAAATTCCAAAAGGGAGATGTCAACGACGCCTCAGGATTTTCTCCTTTCCCCGGAAATATCAACCAGCTGGTCTTCCAAATGGAGGGTTACTCCAAAGTTTTGGAAAGGACCAAAGGTATCATGCCTGATTTTGTTAATCCAAAGTACAAGGACGAGTCCAAAACCGTCTTCAAGAAACCCACTCGTTTGGAGTGTATGATGCAAGACTTCCCCACCGTGATGGAAGGAGGTGAAACCGCTGGATTCACCCAAATCGGACCGGAGCTGTGCTTTTCACCGGTCAAAAACTCGGTTCCGGATGGCGTCAATTTGCAAGCAAAGGGGACGCCGGCAGGTACAGCCGCGACTGGAGAAGCTGACCAATACGCTGCTACTCGTATTATGCTGCGCTCCATTGGTTGCACCGTCGAAGATGCAGAAGAAGTTAGCTTCAATGGTATCAAGGTCATTCCTGGACCTTCGATCGTCATAAAAGCCAAGGTGGCTTGCTGTCCTGGCGAATTGAAATCAGTATTTCCTTCTCCGGAGAAAATTAAGATTAGTTCGCGGTCCACGCTTGTCATTGGAGGCACTGGTGTCACGATCGAAAGCTTGGATTTGGACGGAACACTTGTGGTGAACAAAACGGGAAAGAAAATAGCAAACATGAAAGTGAAGAATGATGGCTGGGTTAAAGTTCCCGTCAAAGACCACGATGACGAAAAAATCCGAATGCGGGGTTTTGTTATTGAAAAGAAAGGAGGCAGCTATATTGGGACTGATGACAGCGATGACTGTTTTACAGACACAGACTGTATGAGCGGCTGCATCATTGCGTAAACGAGATAACGTATAGAATAATGACAGGATATCAAGTATGCATCAAAAAGTTGTCCATTAATGGCAAAATATGGTGTATGAAAAAACTAGCTCCTTGAATTGCTCCTACTCCTTCTGCCCGTATTTGACGATCCGCCGAAGTTGATTTCGCCAGAACTGTCGTCGCTGCTTCCCAACTGTTCCACCACTTTCGCGAGATCAACACTGTGTAGGGATATCGATCTACTGTGGTTGCTGTTGTTGTGACTGTCACGAATCAAACTGAATTCCGAGCTCTTGCTGTTGCTATCCCTATTTCTGTCTTTGTCCTTCAAGCGATCCAACGGTCTGAGCAAGAAATTTGCAGCACTCTTTCTCGCATCGCTGATGCCTAAAAGACTAGGTCTCTGCCTCTGCCTGCCAGAGGATCGTCGTTTCGCTTTCGGCACCCAAACTTCATCATCCTTCCCCTCGACCACACCAGATTTCGACCCCTCGTTTACCCAGTAAGTGTGAATATTTCCCTTTCCCTTGATTGGAATCTTGCCTCGAGATCTCAACGGGAGCTCGGGAGCCTGTTTCGAAAGAAGCTCAGCAGCGGCAGATGAGCAGTGAATTCGATTTGCTTTTGAATTGCTTTCCATCCTCGATGCTGTATTAACTGTAAATCCATTGGTGACAACAAACAAGACAATGAAAGACGTGAGCTTAGCTTCCAAAAAGATTCAAAGCAGTCAAATCAAGAAAGAGAAGCCAAAGAAGTTCCTTTCAATGCAATGCTCACCTGAGTCCCCGAAAAGACAAAATCTTAGATTGCGTGTCCCAACAACATCAGCGACCACGGATCCTGAATGAAAGCCTACTCGAATTCGTATATATCCCTTTGACTCGTCATCCGTGTCAACTATGGTTTCGTTTGCTTCTTTGATGGCTTCAATTGCAAATTCTGCAATACGCTTTGCATGATCACTCTCCTGCTCTTTGACCAAGTTTGTGACGGCCATGTAGGCGTCCCCAATTGTTTCCACCTTAAATACATCGTATTTTCGAGAAAGCGCATCAAACTTTGTGTAAAGACGATTCAATAAGTCGGCGACTTTCCGAGGCTCCAGTTCCGCAGAAAGCTGAGTGAAGCCCACAATGTCCGAAAAGAAAATTGTCACCATGTCATGATGCTCCGCCTCGATAGCTCGGCCCTCACGAAGCGCTTGTGCGACATGTTTGGGAAAGATATCGTAAAGAGATATCGATGTTGTCCTTTGACCAAAATGCGATGATCCTCCACCTTTTGCAACAAGATCGTCGCTGTCAAGACGCTGTAATCTCAAATCAATCTCCTCAAAAGTTGGCCTTCGATCGATGTTCTCCTGCACAGAGTCTTTCATCAAAGATTCGATTTGAGCCGGCATATTGTTTGGAGTGGGAGGCCGTTTATGCACCAGTTCATCTGCCACTAAGTTCAGGACAGTCGCGGGATCTTCGCCATCGTATGGATCTTTTCTCGAATAAGCTTCGTACAAGATGATTCCAAACGAGTAAACGTCAGTTGCTGTCGTATTCACGCAATCCCCACGCAGGAGCTCTGGAGCCATCCAGTATGGAGTGCCAGTGCAACCGGAGCTGTTAATATCTTGTGAAAGCCCAAAATCTGAAACTTTTGCTCTGAACCTGCTATCCACCAATATATTGGCCTGTAGACACAAGCAATGGTGAGAGGATGGGACGAACAATTCCAAGAAAAGCCTCTAACCGGAGATTCTACTTACGGCCTTAAGATCCCCGTGAATAACTTGTGGAAAAGATGCATGAAGGAAACGCATTCCCTGGGATACGTCTTGCAAGATATGAAGCATAACACTGCTTTCGATGAACATGGTTTCATTGTGCAATACATCGTAGAAAGATCCCAACTCCATATATTCCAAAACGAGCATAGGCTCCATCCCATGCTCTACAACGGCACCTGTATAAAAAGTAGGAAAGTTTGGTCAGATGTTATGCCGAGCAATGGGCAGTGGACATTTGTCATCTGACTCACCCATTACCGTCGCAATGCACGAGTGTCGTAGCTTGGACAAATACCTCATTTCCCTCATGAAAGTCTTGCGTAACTGTCGCCTTGTCCCTTCCCCAGCAGAGTTTCGTCCATTTGATGACATTTTCAATGGGTTACTCCCCTCTCTCACACTTCCCGTCATCGTTAGAATGTGTGGCATTGAATTTTCCCCAACGGACTTCATGCCAATATTATCGGTCACGTTTTCCACATCCTTGTCACCCTCCTTGTCACTCTCCTTAAGCTCGCCCAAAGTAGTTTTTTCGGTCGAATCGGTTCTAACGGAATTTCGGAAGCGACGCTTATTATTCTCTCGAAAGCGAGGAGGTAGGACCCGCTTTACCGCGACGTGCGTGCCCCGATACTCGGCCTTAAGAATCAGCCCAAAACCTCCTCTTCCAATGATTTCTGGAGGGTCATCAAAATAGAGCTCCTCTGACTTGATGTACCAGAGCGTGTCGCTTTGTTTTCGCTTTCGTTCAAAAAACAAGTATACCAAGACGACTGCCAACAATCCAAGCCCAACTGGCACCATAATTCGTATCACCCATTCAATGGGGTCAGCGGTTGGTGCAAGCATGGTATTGACATCCGGTGGAGCAACATTAGTACCATCATTGAAGATGTACTCTCGGACCTGCCCCCATTCCCCGTTTTGGTACTTATCCGTAGTAAACTCCCCAAATGTCACGCTTCCTCCAACTTCTTCCGATAGATAATTCAAAATTTGATAGGTTGCCCCGATTGGATCCCGAGTGCCAGTGGTGGTGTTGAAGGCCACTTTTCCACTAACTCCAGTGAAGGACCCATCCGAAAGGTGATCAAAATGGGTTTGTCCCCTCAGCGTGTTCCCGGACATGGCGCTACAAGCGGCTAAGCCAAGTGCAATTGTAGCCTCATAGAACAATCCGGTATAGGTACTTTGAAGTGCAGTGCTCAAGAAGGTATCATCGTCGATGAAAGGTGGACTGGATCCATACTGAGGAGCGTTGTATTGTGGGAAAAGGGAGCCAAGATATTCCAAATCTTCAGGGTTCTTCAATTTTTCCAATTCGGAAACAAAACTGTCATAGGCTGGATCGCCCGGTAGGCCACCAGCGACTTCGAGCATCCCCACTCCATTGTACGCTTTATGCAAGGCAGAACCTGGTTCAAAGCTTCTCCCTTTCAACGTCCCAACAAAACTGTCACCAAAGAACCAACTGTGAGTTCCATCTCCCGCTACCCCCAATTCATGTGCTGCGACCATGAGGTTATCGTGTACTTCATTCGTGAACGCAAGACAAAAAACGTAGGTGAAACCACTTTGCAGGAGTGCTTCTGCAGCCCGTCTCTCATCACCGTCCAACAGTGGAATGGCCAAAATCTCCATGTCTGGAGCATAAATTCGGGCAGCTCTTCGGAACGCGATTACAAAGCCATTTCCAAAGGAATCATTGACATGGACTATCGCAAATCGTTTCACATTCAGGACATCATGAAAGTACTTGAGCATCGGAACAGCATTGTCAGCATCAGACGGAATCGTTCTAGCAAATAAACTATGCTGACCAACGTTGTCAAGTTCTTGACTGGTAGATGACCCTGACACTTGTGGATACCCAAACAAACTGGTTACAATGGAGGTTGGTTGCGAATTGGACGAAGAATATGCCCCCACAAATGCACATGGCTTAGGTTCAGGTGATCCCTCATTTCGTCCAATTTGATCGACGATATGCTCCAGTGCGACTCCACTATTCAGTTGTGTGTCCGAAAAAGACACTGTGAACTTAATGTTGCAACGCTCGCTGAGGCCATCCAAAATAGGAATCACGCTTCCGTCTCCTACATTCATCTGATGCGCTGCAAGGGCAATTCCAACAGCAAACTCAAAGGCAAACCTCTGGGGAACAAAATCACCAAAGGTGAAGGGAAGTAGGGTACTTAAATGACAAATAGGCACACTGCTTGAGTTTGTTGTTTGGACGATATCAATATTGCTGTCATCCTCACGGAGGATTCCGCCAGTTCTAGATGCCTGGAGTCTTGCAGCATCTAGTTCCCTCAAGGAAGTAAGCACAGAACTGCTGCTCATGGTGGTGATGATGTCACGGAGACTTCAGCAGCGAGTATTCGTTGATCAATGACAAGAATACAGTCCGTGCTTTAGAAGGTTGAATGTTTGTACCGGTACGATAGATGATTCGGATTCGTTATTGTACCTATGCGATACTGCGAGCTTTCGCACCTTCAGAACGAGGAGGTAAAAAGGAGGTGGTACTTTTTAGTCTTGAGGACTGCTTGCGTCCAAGCTATTTTTCAACCATCCTGCACCCGGTATTCGGAAGTTATATAAAATTGGACCTGTTAAATAAGAAGGGTCTTTTGGACTTGAAGAACAAATTCATTTGATAGCGCGCCGCCAATGCATAATAATGGAAAGAAGCAGTGTTGTATCCTGCATGAACAAGGCGGATTGCAATGCTGGCAGGGTGTCATGCCCTCATCCTGGCACAGCATGTCATTGTCTATAATCCAATAGCTCATAGCCAGTAGCATAACTTTGATTCTATTTTCAACGTAGTTTTAGGCTGACATTTCTTGCGTTTCACTGAGTGCTGATAGGGATTGATCATCGATAGAAGCATCCATTTCTTGTTGATCGTCCTTTTCTTCATCCGATGACGCCGTAGTAGCAGTTAGATCTGGTGAGCCAAGATCAGTGTTGTTGTGATCAACTCCGCAATCAGTCTGCCTCTCCAAATCTAGTGCTGACGCTGAGCTTGACTCGATCAGTGACTCGTCTGTACCTCCAGCTGGATATTCTCCGTTTGAGGGAACTGTTTCGGATTCGTTCTTTGATTCAACCATACATGATATGCTGCCGCTGTTCGTTGGGATGTCAAGCTGCCATTGACAGTCACAACTTGTGGTTTCGTCATCCCCTTCAAATGATGAGAGCTGTTTTTCAAACGAGCGCTGGTTTTTAGAATTCGTGAATTGAGTGGCACTTTGCTGCTGGCACTCGGGATTCTGCAAAATTGAGGAGCCAGCGTTTGCATCAGCTTCATCTTTCAAAGGCAACGTTTCGGCATCCGATGAGCCTTGTGGGTCTACTTCCAGAGAATTCGTTTCATCTGGTCCATCCGTCGTCGACGACATGGTGCTTTCTCCCGCCAATCGTTCCGCCAATGCCTTCCTTTGGTCCTCGATTTTTGATCCAGGAACAAACCAAGCGCGGCAAATGGGACACCGCTTCTTTCCCTTGACTAGCCATGGCAGTATACAATCGTAATGAAAGGCATGATTGCACCGCAGGTCAGACCATACCACTTTGTCGCCGATTTGATATGCCGAAAAACAAATGGTACAGTTGGCTTCAACCGATCGACAGTTTCCTTCTCCGTCTTTTATTGGAAGCCTCAAGCATACTTCCTCGTTTTCTTCTTCGTTGTCCTCGCTATCTGATGATTTTCCTTCCATGTTAGACTGTCCTACCATTGCTTCATCCCCCAATTCCTGAATGTCGAGCGAACTACTCGAAAACTTTCGATTGATCGCCGTGAGATTTTCTTTCAGTATTGTGTTGCCATTTTCATCCGTTCCTTGAGCATAGAAGAAGTCAGATTCTTCCACAGTCTATTTCCAAAATGGATATCAAAGCAGGCGCATGGATGTTTTGGAAATAAGATTGTTTGTGTCGAACATGGTGATCATGAAACAGGTGAGACGACGAGTTTCAAGAGTTCAATCGGTCGTTTCCGTCCACACAAAGATCATCACTTACCATTGTATATGGTACAAGGTACGCCTCGTACCATTCCCTCCGTTCCTTTCTCCTTGCTTCCAGATCGGCTTCCTGATTTTCAGAATCGAGCTGTCGTTGGACTTCTTCGGCGTAGACTCGGTCTCTATCAACTTGCGCTTGATGACTTCGAAAAAGGTGAAAGACTGGACAAAAGTCCACACCGTACCTTCGAACATAATACTCGCGAATGCAGAGAATGACGACGATTACCGCCACCAGCGTCGAGACGAAGGTAAATTCAAATGACCAATCATCACCAGTGATGAGGACTTCTCCTTCTTCCCCCATTGGAATTGTCTCTGTCGAGTTACTGTCTTGCAAAGAACGGAGGTACATGGTTGTTTTCAAACTTGAGTGCAATTCTCTGAACGTAGATCTTGGGGTCAGCAGTCGTTTGCAATGATGGTTAGGAGGTCTTGTTGGCTTTTTGTTCTGTACAATTTGATGAGATTTGTGGGAATTTTCGTTTTCAACACGTGAGGCCGACCTCATTCATTGGTCGATCAGAGTGACGTGGTGTCGCAGAGGGACATGACAAATGTCATCAAAAAAGGGAACCAAACGGTGAAGATGCTAGGAACCGGTACTATACAGTACATTGCATGTAATATATCATTGAATGCCAATTTTCAACCGTGCGGTCAACTCTTAGCAGCTACTGATTTCGGATCCATCCTAGTGCTACTAACCTTCGAAACGATGTTCTATCATATCATATCACATCACATCACAAATAAAATAATAAGTGGCTGGCACGAACGACTCCTCCTTGCTGTTGGCTGGGCTATAGTATTACCTTTAGATATCATTTGTCAAGCCATGTTGGTACCTGGTACCTGATAGTCCCTTTTCTGAGATTTTCAGTGTCATTCTCCACCGCAAGTATCCAACTTACCGTACCCACTTGATTCAGTTTATGTCCCTTTTTCAAACCGTCAAAATCCCTTTTACATGGGTGGGTTCTTGCATACCAGTACCTCTGCACTCCTCACTTTATTGACTTCTGAAGAAATGTCAGAAGCTATTGCATGCATAATGTGATAAAGTTGTAGGTAACACAAATAATAGTGACTAACTGTATAACATCTTTTTTCTACTGTAAGAATCAGAAAACCAATGGACGTGACAAATATCTAAGCTTGCAAGATCAAGGCAGAGACTCCCAAAATAACGAGGGTGGCCATTGACACCTGGTTGGCACCAGATTGAGTGGCAGGGACAGCTGGTGCAGAAGTTGGTCGACGAGTAGGACCCGGAGTTGGGTCAGGTGTTGGGAAAGGAGTTGGTGGCCTGGTGACAGTTGGGACTCTGGTAGGAGGCATGGTGGGGGCCGGACAACAGCTCTCAGATGCAATGTTGAGGATAGTAGTGCAAGCAGAATCATTGGCAGAGATGTATTGCGTCAAAGTCTGTGCCTGTCCGCAAGTGGTGACGGCATTGCTGAAATCAGATGGGAAGGCTTGGTTGACATCAACGGAGCTTCCGTCACAGAACTTGCAAGAGTTGGAGTCGGCTCGGACATCACCACAGCAGAAGGCAGAGTAGTCAATTCCAGCATTGATGGTAGCAACAACGGCACTGCAGTTAGCGTTAGATGCAGCAGCGGCAAGGGCCTCCTTCTGTCCACAGGTCGCGTCGTTGGTTCCAGGAAGCAATGCAGCGTTGAGGCTTCCAATTGCAGAGGATCCACCAGGACACAAAGAGCATTGAGCAGCAGCGCCATCAAGAAGCAATGCGCAGGCGAGGAAGTAGAGAGTAGTCTTCATGTTGTTTGTTGTTGGCAGGGTTAGTCTTGTGTGTGTGTATGAGAAGACAAAAGGGCTTGCAAAAGATGTGTGTAGTGAAAAACAAGCCTGCCATTCGGAAGGTTTGAATTTGAAGCACGACGCCGGGTCAACTTCCGAGCACCTTTGTAACAGCCAATAAAACGGACGAAGTTGAGACGAGCTGAAACATGTATGTACGTCTGTACGTCTGTACGTCAAGTCTGTATCTTGCGGGTACGTGTACCGGTACAATATTCGTTCAATAAATATGTACGGGTACCGACTTTCTCGTTCCAACGAATGATGATTATGGTAGCGAAGTAGTTACTAATAGCCATCTATCATCAGATTTACAAGACGCATGGAAATCGCAAGGGCAGCTGCTCCATCTAATTGAGGCACGATAAGTCTATGGTTTATATATTACGTCTAAAAATGTACTTTTGTTTTTCAAGAAACAGGAGATCGTCGTGTTTCGATAAACATGGTGGTGGTGCAGTACCGCCACTGCTACCCGTCATCAACTTTAGATGATATATGACATTACAAGGGCAACAGCTCCAAGAAGCATCATAGACCTAGAAGAAGCACCACTTGCTTCATCGTCTGGCTGTGACCCTTCGGCAGCATTGATGGCAGGATTGCCTTCTCCCTCCTGTGTGGTGGTTCCCACTGGAGGTTCCGTGGGTGCAGGGGACTTAGTTGGGGAGGCAGTGGGTGGTGTAGTGGGACGTTTGGTTGGGGATTCAGTTGGTGGAGCACGTTCGCAACATGAGATAGCGGCTTCTTGTAGAATATTACATGCTGGTCCTGCTTCGGCATAGAACGAAGCCAACTTGAGCTCTCCGCAAGTTCCAACCAAGTTATTTCCGGGAGTTTGAATTTCGTCTTGCATGATAATGTAACCATCCTTGCACACATCGCAAGTTTCTTTTTCTGGAGTTGGGACATCAGAACAGCAAAAGGCAGAGTAGTCAAAGTAGAAGTTGACACTGAGCGACATTGCGGTACAAGCAGCATTTGGAATTCGGTTCAAATCGGATTCGACCTTCCCACAAGTGGAGGTCCCGAGCTTGGCATTGGGGTCAGTGATGGAACCAGATCCACCGGGACAGAGGGAGCATGTTTGTGCGGCAGCAGCCTCAATAAGAAGAATGATGGCAAAGATGTTGAAAAGAACCTTCATGTTGACTGGCGTGGATTGGATTTTTGATATTATTGTCTGGTTTTGACGAAACTGGAACTATTTTGTGAGGCTTACAGGAACGAGGCGCACAAATGCAAAAATGTGAGTTGGAGGTCGCGAGAGAATTGCACATGTTCGAAATATTTTTTTGGTTTATGTAAGAAGGCGTTGGACGTAACAGCGTGCGCTAAAGAACCATCTTGGTTCTGCTCTGTGACCCTTCGCGCAGCTCGTTGTCATTCTAGTCAAAAAGGAATCTGGCATTCGAAAAAAGCCGCAAAATAGCTTTTACTTCAAAATTCCATCATTGAAACCGTACATTCCACCTGAAACCTGGCCGCTTCAAAAGTCAGGGTTGCAAGAACAATAAAGATTTGAGATTCATCGATCCCCTTGTCACATATCGTATTATCATCAATATGACAGACGAAGCAACCAAGGGCATGGAGAAACTTGGAATTGCTCCTCCGAAAGGAACAGCCAAGCGTGACGCTATGCGCGCCAATGAAATTGCCGTCCAAAAGCAGTGGGAAGAAGAGAAGGCCTTTGAAGTGGGTCCCTCCGACGATAAGGACAAGGAAACCTTTATGGTCACCTTTCCATACCCTTATTCCAACGGTCACCTGCACATTGGTCACGCATTTTCCTTGACCAAGGCTATTTTCAGAGCTCAATATGAACGTCACCAAGGCAAGCAGGTCTTGTTTCCATTTGCATTTCACTGTACGGGAATGCCAATTCAAGCGGTAGGTTATATTTACGTTGATTACGTTCGGTGGAGATTTCTGAATTGCATTGAAGGGTCATTTCTCATTCAATTTTATCTTCATCTCTCCTTACCATCACAAACATTAGGCTGCCAACAAATTGAAATCTGAAATTGAACAATTCGGAACTCCACCACAATTCCCTGAAGACGATCCAGCAATCCGTGCCAAGATGGAAGCCGAGATGCAAGCCGCTGCAGAAGCCAAGGCCGCCAAAGCTGCCGCTGGTGGCAATAAGGCCAAGGGAGCAAAGACAAAACTTGTTCAAAAAACTGGAACTGGTATTGTCCGACAATGGAATATCCTTGCAAAGATGGTTCCCACTGAAGAAATCCCACAATTCGTTGACCCATACCATTGGCTTTCTTACTTCCCACCCATTGGTGTCGATCACTTGAAAAAGTTCGGTGTTGGTGTGGACTGGAGAAGAGCATTCATCACAACTGCAGTCAATCCTTACTACGACGCCTTTATCCGGTGGCAATTCGAAACTCTGAAGTCCAAGGGAAAGATTCTGTTCGGAAAACGCAACAATGTTTACTCATTGGTCGATGGACAAGTTTGTGCTGACCACGACCGATCTGAAGGTGAAGGTGTTGGACCTCAAGAATATGTCTTGATCAAGATCAAGGTCTTGCCTGTGGAAGACGAGACCAGACATGCCAAGATGAAGAAGCTCTTGGATACCTGCGGCGGCAAGTCAGTGTACCTTGTCCCAGCTACCCTTCGACCCGAAACCATGTATGGGCAAACAAACTGTTTCGTCTTGCCTACTGGGGAGTATGGTGCTTACCAAGTCGATGCTACCAACGAAGTATTCATCATGAGTGCTAGATCCGCACGTGGTCTTTCTTGCCAAGTCTACAAGGACAACCAAGGATACACGAACGAGTTTGGAAAGATCACCTGTCTGGAAACTTTCTCTGGTGACGAACTCTTGGGTCTTCCATTGAAGGCGCCTATGGCCAAATACGACAAGGTTTACACTTTGCCTTTGTTATCCATTAGTATGTCGAAGGGAACTGGTGTTGTCACATCCGTTCCAAGTGACGCCCCTGATGATTACGTTGCCCTCCAAGAATTGCAAAACAAGGAAGCATTCCGTGCCAAGTTTGGCCTTACCGATGAGATGGTCGTGCCCTTCGAAGTTGTTCCTATCATCAAGATTGAAGGCTACGGTGACGCGTCCGCTGTTTTCATGTGCAACAAGTTGAAGATCAAGTCTAGTGGCGACAAGGCCAAGTTGACCAAGGCTAAGGATGAGACATACCTCAAGGGCTTCACAATGGGCATTATGCAAGTTGGAAAATATGCCGGGAAGAAGGTCAGCGACGTCAAGCCTATCATCAAGCAAGAAATGATCGATTCTGGCGATGCTTGCCTTTATTTTGAACCAGAAAGCAAGGTTGTCAGTCGTACCAATGACGAGTGTGTCGTTGCTTCTACTGATCAATGGTATTTGGCATACGGTGAAGAATCATGGACTGCTGCAGTCAAGAAGCACGTCCTGAATGCCGACACTTTCAATGCTTATGACGATAACGCTTTGGGAAGATACGAATACACTGCCGGCTGGTTGAAGGAGTGGGCGTGCACCCGTCAATTCGGATTGGGAACATACCTTCCATGGGACCCTGAGTGGGTGATTGAGAGTTTGTCTGACAGTACGATCTACATGGCATACTACACCATCGCCCACCACTTGCAAGGAGCTGATAACTTGAATGGGGACCAAGCCAAGTCTCCCGAAAATATTGACCCCAAGAAGTTGACCACTGCTGTGTTTGACTACATCTTCCGCAAAGGACCCATGCCTGCTGATTGTGGAATCGCTGAAGAATCCTTAAACAAGATGAAATCAGAGTTCCGTTACTGGTACCCAATGGATCTTCGTGTCAGTGCTAAGGACTTGATTCCCAACCACTTGACGATGGCTTTGTTTAACCACGCTGCAATCTGGGAGGATGAGCCAGAACTCATGCCAAAGGGTTACTACTGCAATGGTCACGTTTTGGTCGACGGAGAGAAGATGAGTAAATCGAAGGGAAACTTCCTCATGATGAATGAAACTGTCGAGAACTTTACGGTGGATGGTACTCGTTTTGCATGCGCAGATGCTGGAGATTCTTTGGATGATGCCAACTTCAGTCGCGAAACTGCTGACCATGCCATTCTCTCTTTAACGAACGAGGAAGGCTGGATCACCGAAACAATGGCATCTTCGGACCTTCGCACGGGCGGCGAGTTGAACTTTATGGATAACGTGTTGCAGAACGAGACCAACCGCTTGATCATTGCCACTGGTACCGCATTCGCTGGAATGCAATTCCGCGAAGGAATACAATATGGATGGTACGAAATGCTGATGGCAAGGGCAGAATATCGAAGTTGGTGCCAGGACAGTGGCGTATCCATGCACAAGGATGTCATTCAAAAGTGGGCCGAAGCCCTTATTATCTTGATCTGTCCCGTCTGTCCTCACTGGTAAGTTCCGTCGTGATTTATGTTGGAAAGCGACTGCATGGTGAAATCTTACTCACATGTTTGTCCATGCAGGTCTGAAGCTCTTTGGAAAAAGCTTGGAAAGGAAGGCTTGGCTGTCAAAGCACCTTGGCCAGTGGCAGATGAGGAAGACAAGTTGCTAACACGACAGGCCGGACTCCTCCGAGACAGTTTGAAGCAATTCCGAAGTCAAGTTGGAAAGGCTAAGAAGGGATGGAAGACCGCTTCTATCATTGTTGCCGACACGTACCCAGACTGGAAGATCGAAACACTCCAGTGGATGCAAGAACAATACTCTGATGATACTGGGTTCCCTGCTACATTTATGAAGGACCTGAAAGCGTGGACAGGTGCCAATGTTAGCGACAAGAAAATGATCAAATTCACAATGCAATTTGCTTCGTTCATGAAGAACGAAGCGGCTGAAGTCGGAAGGGTTGCCTTGGATACTCAGTTGCCGTTTGATCAATCCGCAATTTTTGAAGGAAGTATGCAATACTTGAAAGCACAATTGGAAATTCCCGAGATTGACATTCTCAAGATTGAATCTGCTGCTGATGTGCCTGAACGTGTCTCAGGATTAGTCACTCCCGGCAAGCCTTATTTGTGGGTCCGTTAAGATCCTTCTGCTTCGTCGTTTCGTCTTGGGGAAATTGGAAAATAATCACAATGAGATAGGTATGATATCAACGAATTATTCTTGTTTTGAGTAGGTTTTGACGCTACTAGTACTCTATGAACGAGCTCAAATATTTTTAGTATTCGAAAACTATTATTAACAAGGCATGCGAGTCAAGGAAAGGTGACAAGGGAGAAGCAAATACCTTGGGACTTAGAAGTTAGCCGTCTGAGCATCATCTGAAGTCCACCAGTAATATTGTTCGGCTTCCCCTTGCACTGGTGTTGGCACCTTCAACCTACCATCCGTTCGCATCCGATGATGCCGTTAGCATGCCATGCTTCGTTTTCTTCGAGTACGTTTAGCGCTGCGGATGAAGAATCGTCGACATACGGATTAGTGGTGCACCGAATTCGGCGCAACAGTCACTGCTCTACTTTGTTCCATGCTTCAACCGCAAATATCGAAATAGAGCGCCCACTTTCAATAGCGCCACATCATCGGTGACTGGAACCCACCTGTTGCCATCTTGTTTCAGAAAAAGGCCTCCATTGCCCCTAACGATATCAATGATTTCTTGAGCAACAGTTTTCTTTGCCCCTTTTTGCGCCCTTTCGTACTTCTTTGTACCGATCTGCTACAAACTGTTGCAGCTTTTTGTTGCCACGGTGGATCTGAAATGGGGTGCCCTTGCCCAACAAAACGTCCTCGCAAAATGGAACAGCAATCGCGGTTGGAGTAGGATATCTCAAGCGCTCCTGCCGCCGTTGTTGCTCCAGTCTCTTATGATCTTTGATACGATCAGTAATCTCGCCTTTGTTGTTCACGGGTAGGGAAGATGGGTCGATTCCATATCCACGTAATTCTTCTAAACATTCGAGGATCGTGCCTGTATGAATCAAAAGACCAAATGAGCAAAGATTCGAATCAAGTCGACCCATACTAGGCTCGTAAAGTTAGGGAACCAAATCACGTACCACAACAATGTACACGACATCTAACTCGGCTCTGCTTGTTGAGTGCAGTCTTTACGATTGCATTGTGAGCTTCCCATGCTTCCTTAGTGTAGCATAGATGGATAGCCGAGACCCACAAGGGAAATGCTTCAATTTGCTTTGGCAACTTCCAGACAAGATCAGGATTATCTGAACTCGTTCCCTGGATTTCAGTTCCAAACTGGATAGTGACATTTACAAGGCCACGTCGTTGTATCTCTGTGTCACGGTATGCTGCCATCGTGTTATAAAAGCCCTTACGAAGCTACAGCTGGTTGGATTGAGACATCAACAAAGTATCGTAGCATATCGAATCTAGACTTCTGAACTTACACACGAGTCCGTCTTGTACGTTTTCTTCACCATAACAACAATAGCGATGACTCTCCCGCTCCTATCATACGCGTCCAAGAATCTTCCATTTGAAAGGTGGAGAATTTCCATTTCATCCATATCTAAATCATCTTGAGTAATGTCTCTTACAAGCTTATCCTGACCAAACAAGGCCAATTTCATTTGAAAGTGACGGACAAATCGAAGCGCTGCTTTTTGACAATCAAACTTCTCGCATCGAAGAAACGCAAGTCGAAAGTCTCTATCCTGGGTATATTTTGGATTTAGTCGTTCCGCAATGTTATACGCTTTCTTGTCAGGTAGAATATCGATCTCGTGTTGCAATCCCCACAAACTGTTGTGAATAAGTTCTGGGGTTTCCTCTACACAGTCGTCTGGTATCCCATGGACGTCATTGTACACCTTTTCTCGATCATCGACTGATAGCTTTGCCATTTGAGATGCAATCAAGGAATCAGCACTTTTGGGATCAGAAGCATTGTGCGGAACTGGTCCTGAAAATACTTCTGCACTCTTGCTCTAATCCTCATCAAGATCTGGCGTGGCATCAGAGTCTGTAAAATCCTCTTGATTGAGAGAAGAGAAATCATCCCACAGAGAGTCATTCCACATTTTTACTCATGTCGATGGACTACGCTGCTCGAAGAAAACTCGTTGTATTTTTTATACAATAGTACGGTACCTAGTCCCATCGAATGAGAAACTCAATAAAACTTGTAAAATAATTTTGAAATTGCACTGTACTCGTAGGTGTTGGCGCCAGTCCGTCTGTCTGTCTGTCTGCTCAAACCATTTTTCGAAAATCCAAAGTTTTCCATAATATCTACTCTATGTATAGTTCAAGATGAAGTGTCTCTCTTTTCTCATTGCATCAGCCGTTTGCTGTACTTCGCAAGTCAATGCGTTCCAAATTCAACAGCGAAACATCGGCAATTCACACAAATTGCAAATGTCTGCGGTGGAAGCAGATACCGACTCTCAGATTTCGAAAGCCAAGTCCATCCTGTATTCCGCTGCAGACACAAAGGCAGAGGACAGTGATGCTGTCGTCGGAGCGCTATTGGATCTTGAAAAGTTGATGAGAATTAAGAATAAGGAAGACGATCAACAAATGCAAAAGACTTTTGAAGCACTCTCGGGAAACGGTGGTGGTTCTTGGCGTTTGATCTTCACAACTGGAACAGTGAACACTCAGGAGAGAACCGGAAGAATCAACTACTTCCCCATTAAGGCTACTCAATCTTTCAACGCTGCCGAGGATCCGTGGTTGATTGAGAACGGTTTGTATGCAGGAGAATTCCCTTTAGTAAAGTTCAAAGGTGACTTCACCTGGATGGCTTCTCAGAAGAGTGGTGTGACCAAGGTTGAGTTTGATTTCAGTAGCATCAAGTTGTTCAACACCTGGGACATCAAGCTTGGGTCCGGAGAGGCTGCCAGTTTGGGAGCTAAATCTGGTCTTGGAAGTGAAGGAAACGTCCAACTCGAAAAGAAGGGTAAAAGAGCCTTCTTCAACTGGATTTCAGCGGACGAAAAAATCGCAACAGCACGTGGAGGTGGTGGAGGTCTAGCTCTGTGGAAGCGTGTTGACTACGAAGGTGGGAAGTAAGCAGCTACGAGGCAAATCTTTCACATAAATAGACCATCAATGATCAAAACAACGGGACAGAATATGATGAAATGATTAATATGAGGTTGAATTGATGAAAAAGCAACGGTACAGTAGGACTACGACAGAAAAAATTGCAAATTAGAAACCGTTAAATAGATTGAGCTATGCCTTAGATGTAAACCAGCGAGATGAATGAATCTAATTTAACTAATATGATTTTAACCCACCAATTGCACGGGAGGAGTTCTTCTTCGCTTTGTTGACCAACGATTTCAGCTCATTTGTTGGAGCTAAATAACATCGTTGTCGGTCCACTGGATCTGCGCGAGATAAAATGCCAATGACTTTGCCTTCATCGTTCACGCATGGACCCCCAGAATGTCCACTAATTGTTGGGCACATGATGACAATCTCTTCTCGTGGCGAGAAGCCATTTGCTCCGCAGGATGAATCGTCATCACTTTCGGAATTGTCATCTTCCAACATCTTGAATTGTTTGCAAATATACCCTTTTGCAAAGTCTGCTGAGCGATTTACGTGCTTCCCTTGCTCCAATCGACCTTCGCCCCCTTGGTTATATCCCAAGATACGAATTGTCTCTTCAAGTTCGTACCGTCTTGTGAGTTTCAGTGCCGGAAGGTTCTCGTTGGCAATGCAATTTTCCATGCTGATCTCAGACTGTTGACCAAGTAACGTCTCATTATCAACATCGTCTGCCATCCTGCTTGTTATTCTGAGTACACAAGCATCCACATTGTGGATATCTTCGGCCACAATTTCGGCGAAATATCGAAAGCAGGCATTGCTGGAATCTTCGCCTTCGCGAATGATTCCAATCACAGCCTTGGCGTTGGCCAATCCAAAATATGGAATTCCAAAGTTTGGTCCAGCCTCCATTTGGAAGAGAATGTGACCAGCAGTAATGACAAGACCAAGCTTTCTGTCCACAAAGAATCCAGAGCCAACGTTTCGTATGACATTTGATTCGCAATCCCATAGTCCGACAACCACAACAGAAGGAAGCAGATCTGTCACACTCTTCTTAGGCATATCAGTCGTTGGATGATTTGACACCTCCAACTTGGGAGTAGGCATTTTTGGGATACCACTAATCAAATTGCTGTCGACGCGATGCCCCTTCATGCATCTGACAACCGTTCCAGCCGCTGCCCGTACACTGTCCCAACTCCAAGTGCTGGCGCTGCTAGGATGCACATGCCCCAAACATTCGGGGCAAACAACTTGTCGGTCCACATTGGTGCAGTGGGCCACGCTGGCCTTGATCGAATCCATGACGATACCATACCCGCCTTTCCACAATTTGCGTCCGTGGTGACCGATTTGTCCTTTTCCACTGACAATCAAACGTTGCATCCTTGCGCCCATGGCGTCAGACGAAACACAGAGAGGCGAAGACTGATCTGTAATCGAGACAAAAATCTCGACAGTTGATTCACGAATTTCATTCCCTTCTGGGAACACACATCCAATCTTGACCAAAAGATTGGACTTCCAACAATTGACTTGGTGGATGCGAATTCCACCAATAGCATCTCCATCATGCAAACCAATGAAGTCATCAGCAGTGTTCTGGCTGAAAGGATATGACTGGGCTCGGTTAAGATGATTGCTAGGAGGCTTCAAATCTCCAGATGGGGTGGATGCAAGAATGTGGGTGAACTCATAAAGGTCACGCAACAGAGCCACAGTCACTTGCTCCATGAGATCGACTGGAGCCCCGTCGCGGAATAACCATGAATGACAAAGGGTGGTCATGTAAGCCTCGCTGGACTTGTAGGTCCACACACTTTTGGCGTCCCCCTTTGCAAGAAGCGATGGGACAAAGTAAACATGGTCTGTGACCGCGAACCGATCGATGTCCAAGGGCAAGAAGATGCCAGTGTGAACAAGCAGAGTCTCCAAGAATTCAAACATGGTAGCAGACGTCGTTGAATGTGCTGAGAATTGAGCAGATCTGTCCGCGGCTTCTCGCATAAAACTCATGGACTGCCACAGCATTTCCGTATCCGACGAAGATAGCAGCGGGCAACTGGAGGAACCACCGGACAAAGTCTGGATGGCATGGTTCTCTGGAAATTGCTGGTTGCTATACAGCAGCTGCATGTTCATAAACCTTCTTGTTTCATTCAATTCCCGATGCAAATCGTTTCTTAGAATGCATGACAATGCACTGACAAGCCACCTTCGTGACAAAATAACAAACTGTGTCAGGACATTGTTTGCATCAAAGTCTGCAGCGCTAATATTAGCCGAATTTCCAAAATAGAACAATTCTCCAACAGAGGACAAGAATTCTAATGCCTCCATGACTTCGCGCACTGACAAGATTTCTTCGGAAGGTAGCTCCGACATGAGCAAATCCAAAGAAACCAGCTTCTGGTCCGCCTCCTTCAGCCGTTTCGATGTTTCCAGCACAAGGACTGTTCCCTTAGGCACGGGTGTGCCCACGTGATCAAATACCGAATGATCCACATCATTGGCAATAGCCACAATGGTCTCTTCCAGCAAATCAATTCCCATATCGGTATCTAATGATACACAATGGACAGTTTCAGCTCCGGACAAAACCTTGGGTGGAGCGTATCGTCCCTCCATGTTCTTGTCAGTATGATCCAACAACAAGGTTTGCAAGACATCACACCGCCGCTTGGTTTCATGTGGCGACATGTTGGCTGGCACCAAGGCTACGGGAAGAACGGCCGAATGAGCGCCTCGTTCGGCAATGCAGTCCACCCAAGACAAGACCCGTTCTTCAATGTCTGTTTGCAAGTTACGATCAGCTTGGCGATTGGCTTCTTCCCGAATGTAGGCATTGCTCGTGTCCGGAAATTCGTCATCCTCATCGGAAGAATCAGAGTCCGACGAGTCAATATGAGCTTGCCGATAAGTCTTTTCATTGTCGGCTGCCAAATCCCATACCAACAAGTACAAAGATCGATCCGAAAAGAAGAGCGACTGGGTTCCTGGGTGCGCTCCAAAGTTGGTATTGTAGGGATCTGATTGATCCGTTCCATTTCCACGAACCGTCCAAATACTAAAGAAAGGCAACGATGAGATATTTTTTCCACCACACATACACACAAACAAAAAGTTTTCCAATCATAAATAATACTCACGTAAACTTGGCATTCTGATCATTGTCGGGTGTCCAAGAATGGACATCCACTCCCAATGTATTGGTTCGTTTCCGTGACGAGGCCTTCTTCTTTTGAGTCTTGTTCCGTAAGGTCCGTGTCAATCCTTGCTTGTCCACCGACTCGGCTCCCACCATGACAATTTTGAGAATATCATTGTGCACATTGGCACCATCGTCCAAGGTGGCCATGGAAAGTGGAACACTGCCACCATCCGATTTGCCTTGGGAGATACTTTTTCGGATGCCACCTGGAGGCTTGATGCAAAAGGAATCCAACACGGAATTCTCCAAATCCCTGGCATATTCTCCTGCCCTCAGGAGCATACTCTCCACATTGGGGGCATCCAACTTGTCCACCTTGAAATCGGCATCCTTGGGTACCATACTTCGGGGATAATACGAATGATTTTTCTTCTTTTCATCGTCGTCATCGTAGTACTTGTCATAATCGTCCATTCGATCTTCGATATAGGCTTCTGCCACGCAGGCATCCATGACACCCGCCACTTCTACCGCTGCCAATTGATCGGCATTGCCCACAAAACTAGCTTCAGCCGCAATACTGGCATTCCTTGTAAAGGATGATGATGATGTAGTTGGCATCATGGCTGCGACGGCTGCTGCTGCCGCCGCTGCCGAGGATGCTTCTTCCATCATGGATGGAGGCATGCTGGCCACTGGCATGCTGGCCACGGACATGGGCATGTTATCCGGTAGTGGAATGGAGGCCACCGACGAGGATGGATTGTATTCTGGAGTGGCAGTAGATGCTACCGAAGCCACCGACGTCATGCTGTCCAAAGTGGTGGGTGGTGCCAAGGCAATTGAAGCTTCTGGTGGAGTTGGCTGCTCTGATGGTGGTTGTTGCTCGTAGGATTTCTTCAAATGTTTGTCTTGCTTTTTCAACTTTTTCAATTCGAATCGATTCTTCTTTTTCTTCTTTTCACTCTTTTTATCGGGTTTGTGCCGAGTAGGAGATGGTGCCAAGGTTGTACCACCATTGATAGTATTAGTAGTAGTATTAGTATACGATGACGATGCTGCCGACTGATCATCTTCAAATCGATTCCCATAGGCGGCCGTTCCGGCTGCAGCAGCTGCTGCCACGCCTCCTGGATTTGCACTTGCATTGGCAGGCGCAAATACAATGGAATCATCATCGTCTGAAATCATCAATTGCCGACTTGACGTTGGCCGACTCCCATTGGAGGACGCCCCGCTGACCGATTGTCTATATTCATCTTGGGCCATATTCTTGGTGGATCGTCGACTCTTTTTCTTGATCCATTTCTTAATGCCCCGCATGGAGCGGGTCATTTTGCCACTTTTGCGATAATCCTTGCGTTCCGACGCGGTACCAGAGAACCGAGGGTTGGCAAAGCGATCCGTGTGACGGTGATCGTAGGAAGAATCCGTGTAATACGATGCTTGATCCATATCACTGGGAGGATAATACTGTTGTTGGTTGGATTGCTGCTGCTGATTGGAACCCTGTTGTTGTTGTTGTTGCTGCTGCTGCTGCTGTTGTTGACTGGATTGTGGATACCAAGAATTGAATTCTTGTGCCATGCGATGGTGAATATTGTTTTCGGAATGACTAAACTGACGTTCGGCTTGTGCTGGTGCTGGCAAGGGTGCTTCATGACTAGACGGTATGGCTACCAGATCGCCATCAATGAGGACAAATTCTTGATCCATATTGTTGTTGTTGGAACTCGAGTCCGCAATGGAAGAAGGTGGCTGTTGTTGTTCCATACTAGGGTCACTTCGTAGTGACATAGTATCGTGATGATGGTGATGATGGTGATGGCCATCGTTAATGTTGGGAATGTGACTTCGAATTTCATTGACCGAGGTTCGGACCAAATTGGAAACAAAGGTTGCCACCGGATAGGCACCTCCTCGGCCACTGGGAGTCACACTTGCATCTTCGCTCGTTTCGTTCAAGACTACTGCCGGTGCCACAACGGGAAGCGGACTGCCAATGCTTGTGTTTGTGGTTGCCCCTTGCTGTGATCGTGATTGCCGTGGGGGCGCATTCCCATTCCCACTGTCCCATTCTCTCAGCAAGCTAGAACCTCGTTCAATGACAGTTTGCATCGTACTGGCAGCTGCTTCAACAATATTGGCAGGCCCAGTAGACGCGGTGGAAGGCGTACGAGGCATGGGATCGGCGATACTAGGAACATTGGGAACATTGGGAACATCGGCATCAGTGGAGATTACCGAAATCTCAGCGCTTTCGTCCGCGGCATTCTGTGGAATTGTCGTTTCAATTTCAGTTTCAGTTTCAGTTGCAGCCGTACTTGTCGTTTCCGTTGTTGCGGTAGAAGTACCAGTCGCAGGGGCAGCAGCAGCAGGAACTCGAGGTTCCGCTGGTAATTTCTGATCCATTTGTTCTAGTAGAGCTTGGTGCTCCTGTTCTCGTCGTTGCTCTTGTTGCTCTAATTGTTCTTCTAGTTGTTGCAAGAGTGGGAGCTGCCCTGCTGTTCCTGCTTCTGCCTCTTGGGAAGGCTGTGGTTCCATGTCTATTGTATTGTACTGCATTCAATTGGATGTTGGATGGATCTACAGTACTGTAGCAATCGTAAGTACTGGAGCAAAGTAGGATAACGCTTGTGTACCTACAACCTGATGATGAGTTACAAGAATATACACCCACCCACTGACAGAGAAGGAACCGTTATTGTTTTCGAAAAAAGACGTATTAGGCCCAAAGAAGTCGGTCGTGCAGAATCCGTACTTTTTCTAGGTACACCGAAAGGTCGCTCCTTCTTTCGAGGGTGGAAAACTCGATCGTGAGTGCATGGAACGACTTCGAAGTCACCCTTGGCTTCCAGGAGTCAGTTAACGCCGGCCGGCCAGTCCCCAATTGCAGACGTGCATCCGGGGTACTTTCAGAGTTGTGCAAACGGGAGCTGCCGTCTCTTCATTCTCACAAAAGCTATTACTCTCATAAAATACACTCAAGACAAAAGAAAATAGTATGATGACTTCAACTCTGACCAACGACACTAGAATGAACGGTCCCCAACAATATCAATACGATGATTATGACTATGACTATGATTATGATCACTATGAAGACTCGTACGATGCCTATGATGACTTTAGTGCTGGCGGAGGAGCAGGAGCTTCTTCTTCTCCTGGTGCCTCGTTGAAACGGCAACAGCCCAAACAAGGAAAATCGGGAGGGTCCATCTATTCTTCCAAGCACATTCGGGCGAAGGAAGCTCTGCAACGGCGGGGAGGAGGAGGATCCAAACAAAGTAAAAGAAAGTAACATCATGATGGTGCTGGTGGGCAAAGAACAATAAGAACGAGAGTTATAATATTATCCCAGATTATAACATATTTTATAAACTATGAGATGATAAAACAAACCAAATATCTTTTTCATCTTTGCATTTTAATAGATAGTTCTGGAACTAGCATAGTAATGGGGCATTGCGAGACTAATCCAAACAGGAAGGCCCGTTGTTCCCAGTTGTCGTCAAACCGAGGCGAGTCTTCATCGGCACAAAGGCGAGGATCGAGGAGGTTGTCCATCCAAACTTCCAGGGCGTCGTGATTGTTGTGGCACATATGCAGCAGAACGATTTTTGCCCCCCACACTTATCTGAGACTTTCAACAACGAGCCACCAGTGTTGGATTCTATTCACAGATTATCTTATTCTGTACACAGTCAGGTGTCGACTCAATATTGCTTGGGCCAACGCAAAGCTCCATTTCGTCGCGAAGATACTACATACCGAGGTAATGATTTGCTACTTTTATACTTCTTTTTGGTTTTGCGAAACTTTCTCATCCCTCTTCTTTTTGATTTTGCGAAACTTTCTCATCCCTCGCAACTACAGCCTTTTCATCTGTACCACGCTTCTTGTTATCATCCCCACCCCCTGTAGCAACAAAAAGCGGTTTGATGGAAACTCCACCATTGCTGAATGCTGTCGCTGTTGAAAAGGCATTGAAAACATTGCTTTGTTGAAGCACAGAAGGAGTTGGAAGTTTGATAGCATTTGAAGAACCAAATTGGAATTTTGGAGCGCTCGAGGAAACTCCGGGAGGCTTGATGTCTAAAAATGCACCTGCAAAGGAAGCCTCTCTTTGATTTGAGTGGGCAACAGGCTGATCTCCAGGTCCAACGCTCGAGGCAGAAACTTGAAGCGATTCACCTGAATCCGGAAAATTTAGCACAACATTTGTTGCAGGAACAAAATGTCCTCGATCGTCTGTTGTGCTATCAACTCTATCGTTGACTATGAGAGACTGCTTTTGGCTTTCATTGGCAGAATTGAAGCTGGGGCCGGCTACAGAAGCTCCCGAGACATCTATTGCTTTCGGTTTGACTGAGGTCTCCGAAAGGTGGTTAGCCTCATCTGCAACCTTGGTCCGTTTTGCAGATGGCTCATCTCTCCTTGTTGCAATATGAACAACATCCTGCGTTTTTCGTAAAGCCTCTTGCTTCATTTGCATATCAATCATCAGTTTTCGCTTCCTTTCCATTAGTTTCTCCTTCATGCTGAGCTCTTTCTGTTCCCCCAAAAATTCGCGGGTAATCGGCGACGGTTTCTCTGAGTCGGCCTTCGGCGATGATTTTCCATCATCCTTTGACAACTGCAAACTTTTTTCCAAAGCGTTTTTGCGTTTGATTCCGTCCGCCGCCATCGAAGCGTTCACTTCTGAATTGTTGTCCTCCAAAGAAACATTATTTGGCATGGAACTGTCATCATTGGTTTTATCCTGCAAAGTTGACCCATCTGGCTCACTGGGACCAAACACAAAGCCACCAAGTGGAACATTCGTAATTACCTTCTTCGTTTTTGGAACGGCAGCACCGTCGACCCTGTCCTTTGTTTCAGGCTTGTCTGTTGGATCCTTCTCATGCATTTCACCGGCAATTCTTGCGTGCGGGACCGAGTGTGCAATCAATTTAGGTTGGGTATCTACCTTCGCCTCGTCAGAATCTCTCTCCTGCGCTCTTGCTTGCTCTAGCTGACCATGAAGCAGTGCTTCCTTCTTCTTGCAATCATTAATCACTTTTTGAAACTGCCTTAGCCGCTCACGCAGCTTCTCGTTCATTTCGTTTGCTCCAAAGAGAAGCTTTTTCCCATTATTTCTTTCTTCCTCCAACTCCGAAATTTTCTTTTTGAGCTCTTCCAGATCCTTCAGCTTATTTCCCTTGTACAATTCTGCCATATTGTCTTTTTCTTCTGTCAGTTCCGAAATCATCCTTTTCTGTTTCTCTACAAGTTGTTTGTTCTGTTGGAGTTCTTTGCTTGCCCTGCCTGCGAGTTGCCTGATCCGCTTGCTCTCATCTTCGGCTTCAACTTTCTTTCGTACTAAATCATCAAGCTCTGTTCTCATCTTCCCCAACTCCTTCACCACTTTTTGGTGTTCTATAGGGTCGATCTAGAAATGACATGCAGTATGATGAGTGATCTATGTCTGCATGATAAACAAAACAATACGAAACATACTTGATTGAATTGCGTCACAAGAGCTTGTACCCGTCCCTTCCAGTCGTCCACTTCCCGCCTTAGGCTCTCTCTCTCTGCATCGAGCCCAGCGTTTCTTGCTTCCAAGTCCCGCTGGTTCATTTGGATTGGGATGGATGCCTGTTTTAAAGCTTCAAGATCAGCGCTTAGAGTCATAATCTTTTGCTGGCAAGCTTTTATCTCTTCTCTCAAGTGAGCGTTGCTTTCCTCTAAAAGCTGGCAACGGCTTTCTGAGTCATCCAATTTGGACTTTAGGCTGTTTTCGTCAATTGATCCAGTAAACTCTTCACTTTGACGCATTTCAATCCTTACATGGTCAAGACTCTGTCTTGCAACCTCAGCAGCAGCGCGATCTCTCTCTGCTTCGCGACGAGCAGCATCTAGCTGAACTTGAATGACTTCCTTCTCTGATCGTAGAAATTTAATTACTTCGCGAAGCTCAGAAATCGTCTTTTGCAGTTCAACATCTGTGCTGCTTGAAAGAAAGTTGTTATTAGCAGACATGGCATCCCCTTTGATGTTTTGAATCTGGTCTCCAATTTTCTCAAGTTGCTCGTGCAAGATGACGTTCTGAGTTCGGGCTTCTTCAAGTACCTTTTCTTGATCCTTAACCCGCACTTCCAGATCTGCTTTTTCTCGAGCGACAATGGCCTTCTCCTCCGAGAGCTCAATGCCTAGGTTTTGCAACTTAATCTCTGCCATGGAACGCGCTCTACGATGGTTTTCTGCTTCCTCCCTTGCTGTCCTAAGGTGCGTTCTTGCTTGCGAGTGAAGGTTCAATTCTCGCTCGTAGTTTTTCTGCTGTGCGTGTGAGAAACTAAACATTGAAGGAAAAAATTCACTAGAATACTCACCTGGGAAATGGAAGCATCCAGTCGTAGCTGAGCAACTTCAGACTCGAGTTCCTTGCATTGGAGGTGTGCGTTCTCGGCATCGCTTCGAAGTTTGGCTATTCGCGATTCAGCTTCAATCAGTTTTGATTTTCCATCTTGGACTGCCTTTTCTCTTTGTTCTCGTTGACTCGACAGATCTCTTGTGAGATCGGCGACGACCTGCTTCATCTTTTCCAGTTCTGCGTTAGCAACTGTGAGTTGGTCATCAAGAGTTGATAGCTCGTCAGATCGTGCTGTGCTTGCAATCTTCAGAGCATTCGTCATTTCAAGAACCGCATCCTCGCTGCCTTTCGACACCTCCTTCAATTCGACAACTATCTTTTTCAAGCTCTCGTTCTCCTCCTTTGCAATTTTGTATTTCTCCGTCAAGGATTCAACCTGCATTCGAAGTTCGTTTACGGGATTCCGGCTGTCCGCCGGGCCTAACTTCTCCTGAGCTTCAATGAGATCGGACTTGAGAGATTGGATCAATTCCTCTAACTGTTTGTTCACTGCGATAGTCTCGAGAAGTTTCCTGTTTGCCTGCAGAGCTTCTTTCGCTGCCTCTTTTCTCGTGTCTTCGGCTGACATCAGACGAATTCCTTGATCATTTACTTCCTCCTTCAGTCGACGAAGCTCTGATGCATGTTCTTCTTCTCGATCAGAAAGCTTCTTTGAAACTATCCTCAATTCGCTCTTGTACGACTCTTCAATTCCTGTATTCCTAGCAGCCAACGTTGTCTCGATGCGCTGAATCGAGTTTCCGAGGGAGACTTGTGATGTCAACTCCATTCGGAGCTGCTTCGCTTCATTCGACGCTCTTTCCTCAGCTTTCCTGGCCGTTTCAGTCTGTGACTCTGCAACCCGAAGTTTCACCTTCGTCTTCAACCGCTTCACGTTAGTTCGCATCCAAAACTGAAAACAAAAAAGGTATTATGCAACATTCAACTTAGACGCACCTGTTCAAGTTCACTTTCAATCAAGGCACATTCCGAATTCGCCTTGGAAAGTGCATCCTGAAGGCTGTGATTGATGAGCTGCAATTTATTCTTCGCAGCAGTTATCTCTGAGATTTCTTCCCGAAGCCGTAGCGATGTGTTTTCAGTTCGCATCATCTTACTCTTGTGATATGCTGAATCGGCACTAGACTTTGCAGCATTGGCCATGGCAGTTGATAACTGACTTTGTAATTTGTCGACCGTGTTTGAAAGGTCCTCGTTGAGTGCTTCGTATCGGCTGAGGCGTTCTAGCATCGCTAGTGAGTCTTGCTTTGAAGAATCAAGCTTCTTTGTAGCAATTTCTAGTTTTTCTTCAATTTTTTGTTTAGATTCCTCGAGTTCCTTGCTCCGTTCCCCGTGTTTGTGTAAAATCGCCAAAGATGCTTCTTCGGGAGAGGCGCTATCCTGGTTCTTTACTAGAGCGCGGAATAAATCACGCTGTTCAACAATTTGTTCTACCATGACCTCCTGTCGCTTCCTATCGTCGATCAACTCATGTACTTCTTTTTCGAGACGTGCAGCTTTTTCTTGCCAAGGATTCTGTCGTATTTCCTGTTCTAAATCCATCACCTTCACTGTTAGCTGGCGGTGTTCAGAGAGCAGCCGTTGGTTTGTGGACTGCATTTCAATCACCGATGCAGGAATCGAATCCACTCCTCCATCAATGGCGGTGCGAGCCGCCAAAAGTGACTGGACTTGCTTCGCTAGTTCAATGGAGTCGAGCTCCAAGTCTTTGTTCTGCGACTGTAGTCCTCGTACCTCCGCCTCCAACTCAGAATAACGCAAGCGGGACTCTTCTGCTTCTTCCAGAGCGCTTTGCAATCGATTCTTGTATTCTAATTGGCGCTCAACTGCTACCTCGTATTCTTTGCGCTGCCGAAGAAGTTCTGGTGCCTTTGCTCTAATGTCTGCTTCAATTCGAGTCACTCTGATCTCTGCTTGCTTTCGGAGCAAACTTTCTTTTCGGAGTTCATCTTCAGTGCTAGCAATTCGGGAATATAAGTCAGTTAGGCTGAGATGTTCCACCGTGTTTTTGTCAATGGCTTTTCTCTTCTTCGTAGAACTTGCTGCGTCGCCAAGGAGAAGGGAATTTTCAGCTTGCTCGCAGCGACGTCTTGCCTGTTCCAGCTGTCCTTTCGAATCGGTGAGCTGTTTTGCAAAGCTTTTTGCTTGTTCCTCTAGCATTGCATCCATTTTGCTTTGTAACTCCTCCTCTCTTTCATGCAAATCAGAGTTGCCCTGCTGCTGTCCATCTGTCGCAAATCGTTTCAACCCGTCAAGTTGTCGGCAAACAGAGTCATATTTATTGTTCAGGCGATCAATCTTTTGCTTTTGTATTGCCACTAGTTTCTTCGACGCCGCAGCTGATTGCTCACTTTCTAATGCCTTGTTGGAGGCTTCTTGCCGAACTTTCTGAAGCTCCTTTTCAGTGTCATCAATCTTAGATTGAGCAACTTGCAAACGCTGTCGTAATGAAGCGGAGTTTCGACTTTGCTTCTCGTTCTCTCCAGAAGCCTCGTCCAATTGTCGTTGAAGTTTCTCGACAACTTGAGCATGCGATGAGCGAAGAGAAAGAAGGTGGTCGGTTTTGGATTTCAGCTCTTGCTCCAACCAGGCGGAGTGCGAAGAGAGTGATCCCATCTCGGTCGTTAGCCTCTGGACCTCATACCGCAATGGTACTATCTCAGTGTTATCCAATTTCACTTGAGCCTCCGTTTCATTCAAATTCGATTTGTAGTCTCTGTTTTCTGTATGCAAGCGACTGGTGAAGGGTTTAATCAGAGAAACGGATGAGCAACAAAGACAACGAAGAATTTCAGCTGCAATCAAACTAGCCAAACTTACCCGATTTCATCTCTCAGGGCATCAGACTCTCGCTGCAGCCGATCAAATCGTGCGTCCTTTTCCTTTTCCGACAATCGCGCTGACTCAAGAGCTGAAGCACATTGTTGATAATCCTTTTGCACCGCTCCTAGCTTCATAGATTCAGATCGCAAAGATACCTCCAACTCATCAATTTTTAATTGCATCGTTTTCAGCTCATTACTTTGCTTCACATTCTCCTTCAACGCAATCACTAAGTCGTCTTCCAACTTGACCGCTTGTTTTTCAACATCCTCCATCGCTGCCTGCAAGACTATTTGCTGCGAGGCTTCGTGAGCCACAGACCAGGATTCATTGTTCGCTTTTGTAGTGCCAGACATCGTCCTGAAAGCCAAACACTACAAACCATCATGTAGCGATTTGGCACCGGGATTACAACCGTAGAACAACAGGAAAACTTGATCGGCGATGCTGGCTCGCCATTAGTGGTGCTTCCTGATCGATTTAGTCAATCAATTATTTGAGACCTCCACGTGGAATGAATGAATGAATGAATAGACATTCAAAAGGTCGAGCTAGTCGGAAATAAAACGACCAAATTTGGGTCGTATTTTAAGGTTCCGCACGATGTGACAAAAAAATGTAACTAAATAAATAGCTTAATTGTTGACACCCGAACACCAAACCCCACCGTCCATCTCAGTTTTCACGTGCACACCTGCAAAGTAGTAAGCAAAGCTGCCCTGGGAAAAGAAGACGGGCCACTTTGTATCTTGGGCAAACACTTGCGCTGAGTGGACGATGCAAACAAGGAACGGAAGGACGGTGTCATCTAAGTAGATGCACCACGTGCGACTTGGTGCGACATTCAAACTCCTACGTACTTCACCGACCAACACGATTTCTCCCTATGTTTGGTCTTGCCACGATTCAGACATAGGAAAGGTTTTTGGCAAGGTGTCTTGGGTCTTTGACAACTCCCTCGTAAAAGAAAAAGCAACAAAAACACCCACCGAGCACACAAATGTCCCACCACAATCAACAAAAAACTTCACGATTCAAATGCAAGACGCCAAGCTTACTCAGATGCTCTTGACCACCATGGTCACCAGCAATAACATTAACTATGCCATGACTGCCTTTTACAACAACAACAACAACAACAACAACATCGCAAGTCCTTCTAATGGAACTACTAGCCAAGAACAACATGCCGCCATTACGATTGGAGCAATCAAAGGAACTTTATTTGGTTTCCTCATCATATTGATCATCTCCTTGTTACTCACAATATGGCGCCGCCAACAACGAAACGGCAAAGATTATTCTGATCACTATCATCATCATGACGAGGACTATGCCAGCCTCGAATCCATTTCTCATGATGATGACGACGAATCACAGCATACCTTTACTGTTTCACCAACACGGTATCATCATCATCTAGGAAAGAACGGAGGAATGGAGATGGATTCCATTGGTGGCTATTGGGAGGAGGGAGACCACCACCACCAACACAACCACCACTCGTCATCAACCACCAAACATAGCCTCCGACTCGCACTCAAGAAACATCAAGGCTTGGGCTCCGGATGGGAAGACTCGGGGGAACGATATAGTTACCGAGTGGCCTGCAAACACGATGATGATGATCATGATCATGATCATGTGGATATTCATTATGAATCCAAAGTGTGCGACCGCAATCGGTAGGAAATCAGTATCCCCGAGCAAAGGAGGTGGAGATACGACCAAAGAAAGATCATGATCATGGAATGTCTCTTGTTCCTGTTGTTGCTTGTGACCGCCAGATCTCCTGATCCTATTTCTTGGATCGGATTTCGCGTCATATGTGGCTTCGATGAAGCCGTCGCGAGCCACACCAGGTACCTTGCGTACAAAAAAAGATCAGGCTCGAGGGAACACCAGCTGTTGCTGAAAGAAACCAGAAACTTGGACACGAAGAGTTTGATGCGCAGCAATGTAGATAGACAATATGCTATTGAATAGAACGTATATAAGGGTACCTTTTAACATGTTTCAATGATGCAATAGCAGTTTATACCTTTCCCATCTATCAGCACCACCATGATCATACTTCAATATTGCGCACATCACTCAACCATAGCATTCGAAATCGTAGTACTGATACATCATGATTGATACCTATCGATCCCAAGACCCAGCTAGGGTAGATACAATAAGAACTCCAGCGTTCGTTTCTTTGTGTCATCGTGTCTGGAGAAGGCAGACTAGAGAGACTGTTTTACAGTATACCGTAGCAACCTTCTCAATTCTGGCAAGCAGTTTGAAGATTCTTTTCTCACTGGGTACAAAACGTGGTTAATTGTACCACGATTCCATAAATAAGGATTCATGTCAAGTTGAGCGAAATAAATCAGCGACCATAAATAAAGTGTGAATCATCGTGATTTGCATCTTTTTCAAAAAACCAGTGAAATAAACGAAATTCCAAGCATCGCCACATAATTTGTTTTGTCTTGCAAAAAGAAGTCAAGATGACCGAGGAAACAAGAGAAGAACGTGTCGCTCGCCGCTCCCGAGAGGAACAAGAAGCAAAGCGCAAAGTACGAGAAGGTCGCAGCCAATCCACAAAATGGGCTGGTGCGAGTTCAGGTTCTATGTCTTCTCGCGCTTCCAAAGAACTAGCCGAAATGGAACAAGAGGCCAAACGACGTGGTGCCAGGTCATCCAGATCATCTACTACCCAATCAAGAACAAGACGCCGTTCGTTGGAGGATGCTGAAGCCAAGCAAAGAGCTCGTGGTGGAGGCTCTACCCTTAATCGTCGCTCCACTCACAGCACAACAGGCAGTCGCCGAGAGAGTGAAGACCGAGAAGCCAAGCGCCGGGCACGAGGGGGCTCTAACCGTAGTGTCCCCACACCAGGAGCCCACAGTGCTTCCAACAGTTCTTCGGACCGCACCAGCCGCAAGAGTGAAAGCCATCGTCGCCGCAGCACGAATGGCCGATCCTCTCGCTCCCCAAGACGATCAGAGGCTGACCGAGAAGCCAAACGTCGCGCCAGAGAAGGAAGGCAGTCGACTCCAACTCCCGGTGCTAGTAGTGCTAGAAATTTGGGTTCTACTCCTGAGTCGGCTTCTGTCCAAGCCAACAACGAGTCGGGGCTGTCGAATTGCAAGCATTAGCCGTTGAGGAAATGGAGGACGAACGGATGATGAAATTGGAAAAAGCCAACCAGAAACTACAGAAGCAAGTGGAGAATATGGCTCGAGGAGTCCAAACAGTCGAAGCTCCTGATAATCTCTCTATCCCAGCTGGTACAACGATGGAAGCCCAATCGGAAGACGAGGATGAAGAGGAACCTGAAGGAAAGTCCAAGAACAGTCGCATCTATTGGATTGTCTTCCTTATTCTTGTACTTGTCGGAGGGGGCGCTGGAGCTGCCGTAGCACTTGGTGGTTCTTCAGATGCAGCTCCAGAACCTGGAATAACTGCTACTGATCTTGGCGTCAACGCCACTACTGGGGATCCAGATGGTCCCATGGTCAGCACTGGTGCCCCTTCTGACAGTCCATCCGAAAGTCCCACAGTTGGATTCCGATTCGAACCACCCAAACCAGATGACTGTGCAGCAATGGCGGAAGGAATTACTGTTTCAGATCAAAGCGATTTGACTCCAAGGAATTATACAGTGACTTTGTCCGTTGTCATGAACAATGACGACAGTGTTGCCACTTTGGAATCCAGATTGCAAAAAGGTCTGCAAGAAGTATTGATCCCCAAGCTGGCTGGCTGTGACAGTATCAATCGCCGCAGATTGAACATCGATCCATTTGCGATCGGAAATGGTCGCGCTGATGTCACATGCGTTGCTACCGCCTGCGCCGATTCCTCGACGATTGGAAGTTGCTACAATTGTCTCATGATACTTGGTGTGGACTTGAAGGACGATAGCATCAATAATCTTGATCTATTTGGAAAGATTGGGACAGAGTTGGACAGCGATACCTTGATCTCGGACTTGGGTGTCGATGATCTTGTTGGCGAACTGACCGCTTCGGGGATTGTTGCAGGCACACCAACCGTCCCTCCGAGTGCGGCACCCTCGGCAATGCCCAGTCTAGAATGCTCTGGACAGCCATCTTCTCAACCAACTGGCATGCCTACCAGCAAGCCGACCGTAATGCCAGTGGTTGCACCCACGGCTACTCCCACCATCGCACCAACCACTTCGCCTCCTACCAAGCAACCGACTCCAGGACCCACCAGTTCTCCAACACCATCACCTACTCCCGGTCCCACACAGCCGCCAACACCTTCTCCAACTCCTCCACCAACCCAGCTTCCTACTCCTGGTCCAACACCGCCACCAACACCCCCTCCTACTCCTCCACCAACAGTGAATTGCCCATCCGTCCAAAGTCTTTTCGAGGGATTAGCATTTCAGACCCAAAACTCTCACACAACTTCAATCGATTACAGTCTGGGATGTAGTACATATGTCATTCCTATCTATGCTCTCATTGTGGGGACAGATGGTTGTCATACATGCGCTGGTGTCCTGCTTCCCGAGCAGTTCTATGATGCCTGTGCCTATGGATCCAATGGTACTCCTGTTACCTTTCAACTCGAGAATGGCGCTGCAGAAGGACAAACAGTCTATTACGGCTATACCAGTGAATTCGGCGAGTCCACCGTTCTCCAATCTTGCCAGTCACTAATGACTTATACTGGTCCTGCCAATACGGATGACTATACAGATGACTTTACCGATGATTCCATTGGCGGCAGCGGCTTTTTTAAAAATGAAGAAGGATGAAACCACCAGGAAACTGATTGTTGACTTAGAATCAAATACATTATAATGCACAGAATTCATGTTTTAATCCATCCGATCAAAGCAATTGCTTGTCCAAGACTTCGCGGTACCGGTACCAGATAGCTGATCCAAATGATGATTCCTTCTGCCATGATCATCATGCATCAAATATGAATGAATGAATCGCCTTGGTCGAATTTATTTTGCCCTCATAACCTGAAATCCGGTACTGCATCCTTGACTGACTGCATTACCGGTACAAGTACCTGGTACTTGTACTCGGTACCAGTAGGTCGTTATTGAGTCATGATCAGATGGCAGTCATGAGTGACCAAACGTGCAAGGTTTCAAATCGTGTTTCGAACAAACCAAACCAACTCCAAAGTCACAAAATCAATCCACAAGAATACCTACACACACCACAGAAACAGAAAACATGTCGACATCCACAAGCAACACAAGAATAAACTTTTCTTACCCTCAACATTCGAGCAAATGGTGCGACAATGATGAAGATTATGACTACTGTGACGAGTATGATGATTATGACGATTTCAACATTGGACCAACCACCACCGCATCATCCATCGCGAGTCGGCGGCAACAGCCAAAGCAAGGCAAGTCGGGTGGATCAATCTATTCTGCCAAACACATCCGTGCGAAAGAAGCGATGCAAAAGAGAGCCCGTCAAACTCCTCGACGCAAGTAAATATAGAGTAGCTACGAAGATGGAATACTACTGTGTGATGGGTCTCTAGGCCTAGCAGAAACCAGAATTTTTGTAAAAATAAAAATGATGCATTTACAAAACGAAAGCATTTCATTTGCTTCTTTTTTTACTTCTATTTAGATGCACTATCAAAGAAAGGTACCACCGTCATGCAGAATAGGATAAACATGAAAGCTCCATTCGGTCGTCCAGTTCCTCTGTTTCCGGCACTCGTTGTTGATTGCGGAGGATTGACAAGGTCCATGGCAGTATTCAAGAGATCCACCATTATATCTTGAGCCGCATCATCATCATTGCCATTTGTATTCGTCAAAACCAACGCATAAATACCGGATTCGGGAAACAGAATTACTTGAGTCTGCGAACCAGCTTCAAATCCAGCGTGGGCAACCGCGTTCTCCCAACTGAAACGACTTGCTGGCTCCGCAAGCCACGGGTCGGAAAAAAGTTTCTTGAGAAGCTCCCAAGCAATTCCAAATTCACAATCATTGAAGGCTACGTCCTTCTCGGCACAACTGACACCTGATAATCCTTGTTCTTCCGTCCAAAGCGTTGGAGCCCCATAGTTCAACATTGAGTCCAGATATAGCGATAGATCCTTTGCGGTGGTTCGAAGGGAGCCACTTGCATAGTCAATGAAACAATAGTGTTCCAAATCTTCAAACTGATCCCCAGGTGGCAAGGTAGAGTTGTCTTCCAAGAAGATGTTCTGCCCCTTGCCCAAATAGTCAATTGGCATAGTCTCCTGAACCCCACTAGGCAAGTCTTCTCTGAACCACGCAGTATTTGTCATGCCTAGAGGGTCAAAAATGTTCTCTTTGCAGTAGGCTGGGAAGGTCTTTCCGGTGGCATGTTCCACCAGCGCAGCAATGTACCCAATCGCAAAATTACTGTAGAGGGTCTGAGTCCCTGGCGCAAAGTCTTCCCAGACAGTGCCATTCACAGCGTCAAACCAGTTGAAACCTACTTCGAATCCAGCTCCCACTGTCGTTTCGGTCTCCTTATTGATCATGATATCTCGGTAGAAGCCAACGACATCAGACAGGGGACAAGTAGGATTTCCAACCGCCGCTCCGTAGTAAGCTCCGGTTGGTCCATAGTTGGGACTCATACCATTGATATCCGGAATTTCTTCTCTCAAAGAGGACTGATGGGTCACCAACATTCTCCAAGTCACTGGCGTATTGACATGCTTGGGATTGCGGCATGCCGAAGGATCATAGTCCCCTGGCAAGACATTACAAATATCGTCGTCCAAGGCAATCACATTCTGAGAAACTAGCTTCAAGACCGCGGCACCCGCAAATACTTTGGAAACGGAAGCAATCATGAACACTGTATCATTGGTGACATCTTTGGCACCACTTGTACTGGATACTTTTCCATAGGAACGGATGATGGGCTCGGTCATGAATTCCTTGTTGAAGTATGCCACAGAAGCACCGATTACTGGACGTCGAAGGAAACGTAGAAGCATCAGTGACAAGTGCGTTGTTGAAAAGGAGCATATGCAGACGACCATTTGTTGTCAACAATCCACCAAGTGTTAACATTCGTTCGACACGTACCGTGTTCGTCGTCCATTTGACCAAGCATGGCATCATCAAGGATATCAGCATTTGCACGAAACAAATTCGATGCCGAAAGGCAGAAAAATACTAGGCTCTTTAGATTCAGCTTCATGGTGATGATTATTTGTTAGGCTCCACAATGGAATACCAAGGTTTGACAGTCGAGACACGTGCGCCTGAATGACAACTACAGACTTTGCCATAGACATCTCGCCAAAAAAGATGCCATGAAATAATTCGGAACTCGGAAGATTCTCACGTGACGTCACGGGCAATCTTGGCAAAACGCAAATACTATTGTACCGTAGTATAGAGGAGGATAATGAAAACAGTACCAGGTACAGTACCAACCAGGTGCAGTACAGTAACCCTAAAAGAGTATTGAAGATGAACTATGACATTTCTACTAAAATGTTTTGAATCTTTTTCCAGATCGGAATTGTGAAGATTCCATATATGGATACGCTTTTAGACAGCAGACGTAACGACTGAAGATGATCCTGCGTTTCGGAGTCCTCCTACTGGGGCTGTCTTGCCAGCCTTTGGTGGATTGCAGCACTTGGGCTCTGTTGGTGGGGGTGGAGGACCCTCTTTGAATCCAACTGCTTCTAGCCACTAATGGGTAAAGAAAACGGAGAAAGATTGGTCAGAAAAGATTGGTCAGAAAGAATAGAGGTTGCTGGGCGAAACTGCAAATTGATGAACCTTTGCAATTGAAAGTGCCACTTACCCATGCTGGATATCCAACCATCTGAGACAATCCTCCATGAGAATCGTCTTCATTGACAAATCCACTGGCATACTTGAACATGATTTCATCTGATAATTGCCACAATGACGACACGATACTAGCCGCATTGTCCATAATTGCTGATTCCACAACAGCAAAGTCTTCTTGATCGTCCTTACTCATTTGATAATCAGACTCCAATTGCTTCATGAGATCAATCGACTTTCTTTCTAGGGAAATTTGTCTTGTTTGCAAATCTTGAATGGCGTAGCTCCATTTGAGATTGGCAATATTGTGAGCATAGCAGGCAGCCCAAAAGGCGGATTCGCGAGAAAAGACACCCTGATATCCAGTCGAAAAGGACTTTGGAATAGAGTCCAGTTGCACGACAAAGGGAGTGAAAACTGTTCCCAAAGCAGACGCTGGACCAAACCACAAGACTCCACCCAAAGATGATCCCTTCTTGGATTGGACGACATAAGTATCCGATGTTCGGTACAAGCCTATGGCACGCTCCCAGTTGCCACCGACTTGTTTTTCTCCCGAACCCGCCTTCCACCGATCTGGACTTCCAAAGGGACCAGCAGCCAAGTTTCCTGCTGCGCTCAAGTCAAATGGAGTATTCTGATAGGTGTATCGATGATAACGGAATAGATCCTCTACTGAAATGGGTTGATCCGGAACCGTCCACACGGGATAGACAGGATCCGATTGCAAATCAACATAGTCGGCTGGAAAGTTGCAGGAGGGACAGGCCAAATGGTAGGCACCCCACATGCGACGACCCGAATAGAACTTGTGGGAATATTCCCCATCGCTATAAACCTTGGTAAAATCCAAGAGTCCATCTTCTTCACTCCACCAATTGTACTCCTTGGCAACTTGGTGGACGCTCTTGCTCATGAGAAAGTATTCGTCATCATTTGGATCTACTTGACGAATGACAAACATGTTGGCCAATACCGCAAATCCATTGTCTGGAACTCGTTGCGCTGCCCAAATGCAAGATTTGCCAGTGGGATCGGGCAAAATGTGAAATATCCAAGCTTCTTCCGTATCGGAAACTGCCAAAGATTCAGAAGTCCCTTCGAATTCTCCAGCGCCATAAAATCCATATTCCTCTGCCAAGGAACCCATCATTTGCACTGCTTCTCGTGCTGTAGTCGCTCGTTCCATGGCAATGTGGGTCAGCTCGTCCACGCTCAAGAGTGCGGTGCCATTCGGTGCACCCAATGGAATGGCGCCAAAGACTCCGGAACAAGTCGATTCCCCAATACCCAATTGCTTGTCGTTCAAGGCACCATAGGTTTCCTCCAAATAGGCAAAGGTTGATGATGAGACTTGTTGTGGAATGTACCCAATCGGCTCAAAGGATGTTTGGCCATCCGTGGGATAATATTCCGGAACTTGGCGGTCGTGGCCAACGTAGCGAGGATAGTCTTCGGGTGAGAAAAAGACTGGACGCTGTGTGCCTTTGACGGAACTAGATGCTGGAACCTTTACCAAACGTGGGTCAGTGTTAAACTCGCCGTCGTTGGAATGAGAGACCATAACGGAACCGTCGGCCGAGGCATCCTTTCCAACAATGAAAACGGTACATCCTGTAGCTTCCTTGCTGAGCAAGCAAAGCAACATTAGTAAAAGTGATTTCCCAACCATTGCTGGGTCAATTCGGTATTGAGAGCCCATGTTGACAAAAGGTTTGCGGCGATGGATTCTTCATTGATTATTGATCGATTGATTCATTCATTCTTGCTTGGAAGAATTCCGATTTCGCAGAGAGAGACTAAATAAGCTCGATCATCGCTAGTTGGTTGAGTGAGTCGCACTACTGTACTCCATTAAAATGTTAGACTTGCTTCTGGTATCACTATGAAGTGCCTGTAAAGAATATGCATTTTTCACAATATTACTTTATACATGTTTTCATCCCACATGAAACTTCTAAATTTTTCATCCCCTTTTGATTTTACCACTGCGACGACCCCATACGATACGCACCCTAGCGGGAGGGTTGTTCCAGATCTCAAGCTTCGGTGGCGTCTGGCTTGGTTGGATTTTCAACTAAAGTCGACGACGGCCCATGGGACTCGGCAATCACGACATCCCAACTGGGCATCATGGACAGGAGGGCAATGGCAATCAAAAAGTAGGCCACCAAATGGAGCAAACCATAATTGAGTGGAATTCCATTCTCATTCATCGCCGTAAAGATAAAAGGCGGACACCATGAAATGACAAGGGCGCAAAAGTTGTAAATACCTGCCATTTCAGTGGCTTGTTCTTGAGGAACCAAGACGGCAAAGAAGCCATTCTCGGTAGGATAGAACCAACCCAAGGCGATTCCCCAAAAGACTCCCATCACGTAGGTCATGATCTTGTCGTTCTCATCATTCAAAACAAAGACTCCAACCGTGGTAACGATGGAAAAGTAAAGCATGTTCAGACGCCATCCGGTATTAAAATTGGTCTTGTTGACCACATATTCGCACAAGATGGAACCTGGAATGGTGCAAACCAGCACGATCAAAAAGACGATACCCGTTTCCGTACCAGACATTTTCAATACTTCGTTCAGATAGGTCACGGCGCAAATGGTAAACGAATTGGCCCCAGCCTCTGCAAATACGAGTGCTAACAAGTACCATCGAATGCTGTTCTTGTAGTGGGAGTTGATGTGCTTGGCAGTTTGAAAGATTTGAGAAAATCCAGCCGAAAAAAGGGACTTTCCTTCGGGCAATGTGCGCTTGGCCTTGGACTTGGGCAATAGCTTGAACCATCCAATGGACCAGCAAACGAGGAGAATGACAGCATTGATTCCTTGGGATATTTGTGCTGTAAGAACATCACCAGAACCAATGCCAATACTGATTCCAATAATCAGAACCATAAAGGTTGCCTGGAAAGAGAACTGTGTAATGGTAATCTTGGGAGCAATGTTGCTCATTGCCTTTTCTCCCAATTGTTCAGCCATCTCGGGAAAGTACGCATACGTTGACGTAAGCATGAATTGGTAAATTGCTCCCGCAACGGACTGCAAAATGGCCATAATGAACCATGTCGAGCTGACCGTATAGACTTGAACGGCTTGAATCCCGATAATGAGAAAGGCGCAAATGGTTCCGAGCGCATGACGATGATCCGTAAAGTCGACAACGGCACCCATAAGTGGATTCAAAACGGCAGCAACGACATTGGATATGACCGCAATGTTGGTAATGAGACTCGATGGTTGAAACCCGTAAATCTTTTCATCACATTCGGTTGTCTTGCCATCTTCGTCCAAGCAACCTGCTTCTTGGCTTGCCAAGTACAACAGACTTGAAGAAATGAAAATGTTGGAGGCAATCACTGCGCCACGTCCAGCTGCAGTCTAATATTTGTTGTTGTTGTTGTTGTTGTTGTTGTTGTGGATATAAAGAAAGACAACCAATGCGGTGAGAACACTTGACAGTGACAATAAGAAGGCTTTCCAGTGCTTCATTCTGTCAGAAGTAGCACTTACAATGCCCATTCCACGAGCCACGCTGTTGCCAAGAAAGCCAGTGCATTTGCAGCAGTCACTATTTTCTTGTACTTCTTCCATTGGTGGTTCTTGTGGCATGTCGTTGTTTTGGTGGTATTTGTGTGTGTGTGTGTGTGCATTCAAATCTATCAACTTGCGAAAAAAAGAACGCTTGGAATGAATGAATCAATCAAAATCTTGAAACGGGAGTGATTATTTGACACTCGGATGTCGCAGTCTGTAGGTTTCACATCTGTACGTGTACTCGCACACGTGTAGAGTATACGTATTCGAACAAAACCGGCGATGTGTAGACCATGTCTACAGAGCATGTGTCTAGTAGTAGCTTGCAGGTCTGGGTCCTTAGGAAATCCATTCCTGCTGGACACAAGGATTATTATTAGTGATATCTGTAGAGTAGATAATGGATACGTCTGGTTGTTACTAGAGCAAAATTTTACGTACCAGGTAGATCTGCTATGCTGCGGCCTTTTGCAATCTTCCAAAAGCTTCCTTTCATCATCTTCCTCTATCACCCATCCTTTCGGGGAGCAATGGTGATCTTTTGTCCCGGCTTAAGATTCTTCAAACCCAACATCTCCAACATGTTTTCTTGTCGCTCCTGCTCCTTGGCTTGTAACTCCTGAATCCGATTGGCCCGGTCGTCGGCTCGTTTTGCCTTGCGAGCCTTTTCCCGGGCCAGAGCACCTTCAAAGCGATTGGCGTTATCGTCGCCGCCATACAGAGCGCTATCTGACAGTTCAATCCCAGCATCTTCTCTTGCACGAGATGCTCCATGGATGCGATCGCCCTGTTGCCGCTTCTTTTCCAACTGGCGTTCTCGAAAGTCTTTGGGGCCGCCTTGGAGTTCTTCTTCGACAGTTCGCACATGATTCCGGAGGCGCTTGTTGGCGGATCGTTCTTCTTGAATCTCTTCTGGGGTCTTGCGAGAAAAGGTAGGAGGTTCTACTGTTGTGGTTGGTTTGGGTGCAGCAGTTGGTTTGCACATGGCTGCACCTCCAGGAGGCGCCTTTGGTTCTGGTCCTTTGCTATTGTATTCTGTTTGCTGCCTAATACCTTGTTGAACGGTTTGAAGACCCTTCTTCTCTCGATCCGACAAGACATTGCTGAAACTCCAGGAATGTTTGGTGGTCTTGGTAGCTTCAATCACTTCTGTTGGTAACCTGTCGCCATAGTATTCTAGTTCCAGGTTCCCAGAGTTGTATTCCTTTGCAAAGCGTTCAAATGCTTCTTTCGATTCTTCCGATGTCATATCATTAAAGGCAACCCCTTCTTCACGATACAAGTACACCCAGAAATGTTCATGATACGAATAGTAATCTTCGACTGGATCAATCAACTTGTCTGGTTTTCTCCCCAAAGCTGGACCCAATGATTGCATCTTTGACTTGTCAGGACGTTTCGATTCTCTTTTCTTATCCTTTTTGTCCTTCTTTTCTTTCTTGTCCTTGAGCTTTCGTTTGTCGTCACTTCGACTGCTGATTTTCTTGTCGTTTCGTCGACTATCATGCTTTCGTCGTTTGCGATCATCATCTTCACTGGAAGAATAATCGCCATGGCGATGCTTCCTCTTTCGTCTTCGACGACGTTCTTCCTCCGAGTCATCGTCTCGTCGATGCTTGCGTTTCTTGTCGTGTCTCTTGCGCGATGAAGAGCCATCGTCCTCACGGCCGTGTTTGCTGCGTCGTCCGTGCCGCTTTTCATCATCATCTTCTTTCCGTTTGCTCTTATGTTTATCATCACGTCGGGAACGGTGCTTATGGCCGTCTCGACCCATGTTTTAGGATAGTTCAATGATGTAGCTATATGCGTCGATTTATAATAGTTGACCAGCTATAATCTTTTCACATCATCGTCGGATCGGTTCTATTTCCATCTCCGGAATGACGGACAGATGGAAGTATTGGAGACTTTGAAAGTACCTACAGGCATCCTCGACAATCGATCGTATGCTATCGTAGTATCCCCAACAATCGATCATCAGAGTATCATAAGAGTACCAAGTATTCATATGCAGTGTTTCATCTAAATTGCATTTCTATTATTATCGTCTTCTATCAAAGTCTTAAAACTAGTCAATCAAATGGATGACTTCACCATCATTGATTAGATTAGTACTGAGCTTCACAATGTAGCGCTGTCTTTTTTTAATGAATACCACGGAACCTGAAATTGAGGAATCTACAGTGGGTACTGCGTCAATGGAATATATAAAAGTGATTGCCTCAAAATGACTGCTACACTACAGTACGTTCACCCACGTCAAAAAGATGTATTAACCATTTTGAGGCACAACGAACAAACCCCACACAAGTTCATCCTCAGTCAGAACATAGGAGAGCAGTAAGTTTGTGGGGATTTGATCCACCCTTCACTGCGGTCATCTGTTTTTTCTGTATTCAATGTTGATGCCATCCATGGTCATGGTGCGTAGTAGTAGCAGTGTCCTCTAGTAGCAGCAAGAATTTACTGTAACTTCATCTCAGCACACTCTTCCAAAATTGAAATTTGTATTCACCGTTGGCTACAGGCCTTTCGGAACGCTGTTGGATTGGAGTGGTACGGTACTAGCAGAATTCAATGGTGTGGCTACTCGTCTTTCAGTAGTTTGCCACAAATATTAGTCATCCCATCACCTACTCCATTGGGCCTGTTCCATATCCAGTAGGGCAGAAGCAGTATTTGAGACTTTGAAAGTACCTATCATCATTCCGCCGTGGCGGTATGAGTATTAGGCACATCAATCGATCACAAAGAGTACGCACTGTTTCAGCTAAATTACATTTCTATTTCTATCGTTTTCTATCAATTTCACAAAACTTGTGAATCCAATGGTTTGCCTCACCATTCAATGATTACCGAGTTTCAGAACGTCGGCTTTCAGAATATCGGCTGTCTTTATTGGAATGATACGCACTTCCTCTGTTATTCAGCGAAGATCTGATCGATCGTATATCATCGTCTTGCATGACTCGAACAAGAGTCTGAAGTCTAGATTCTTTCGTTTGTCTTCGCAGCTGCAAATACCGAGGTCTGATGTAGATGAAGAAACTCCAAAATCCCATAGAAGGAGTAAAGATGGCTCGGAACACCATGAACAGATACAAATCCGCTTCCATTTCTGGTCCAGGTTCGCCTTCTGTGTAGCTGATAGCGGCTCGTAGAATCAGCGTCCACATGTATGCCAAGATGAAAGCAGCAGAGTAAAGAATCGATTGGGTACGAACCAACTGGACTTGCTTCTGTTGGTTTTCCACCTCGGCAATTTTTGTTTTCACTTTGGACGAAACAGCGGCAGTCTCCTCTATAGGCTTGTCCAAGTCCACAGAGCCATCCCTATTGCTGGCAACGTTAGGGTCCGCAACAAGACCGGAGGATAAATTCTGCTCGGCTCGGTCTTGACTGTTTTTCACGTACTGTCGCACAGTCCGTCGGACATAGCAATAGATGGTGAGATTGTTGGCTAGCACCAAGACCAATATGAACACGTAGGGGATTCCAATTAGTATGAGTGCCAAATTGGCGATGCATGCGGAATCACACGATTCGTTGGGTGCCAAATGGCAGCCAGCACCGATTTCTTGTTCCCCATACAAGTTTTCCCCCAAGGCGGCAAAGGCGGTACCGAGTGAATATAATATGATGAACCCATGCATAAAAGGTTCTATTCTTCTAGCAAAATATTCATCCTTGACACCAAATCGAACCACCATCAAGTAATACGTGCTTAAGGCACCGAAGTATAAGAAGCATCCGCAGCTGGCTTGAAATCCCCAACCCAAAAAGTTGCAGGTCGCTTCATTGCCCACGGCGAAACGCCGCCGACTGGTCTCTTTGTCCACAAGAAAGGACTGAAGTGGCACAAAAAGAGAAGAAAATACATCGTATGCACTCAGTCCAAAGAGTAATCTCCGATAGGGTGCACGATACTTCTTGCGATGTACCAGCCGAATAATGCAGACGGATCCAGCTATGCTGAGCAGGGATGGCAGAATTGGCAAAAAGGCAACGACTGCTTCCTGTTCTGGAGAGAGCGATGAGGATACAGCAATGGTAGTCGTATTCGATTCAGACCCTACCGCCAAGGTCGCGTTGTGTTCGAAAATGTTCTCCTCCATGCCATCCATGCTGGTAGCAGTGTCCTCTACAGGTAGCCTTATGGTATTGCAGTTGGCTGTCTTGTCCAAAATTGATAGATACCGTCACAGTTGGCCACAGCCGTTTCGGAGCACTGTTGGATCGGAGAAGTGATACAGTACCAAAATAGTTTGATTGCGTTACAATACCAGTACGGTACCAGGTACAGTACGTTGTATCGTTTGTATTATTGCACCTGAGAAAATAACACAAATCGTCCCAAAGCAAGTTCATTGGGCCTGTTGCATTTCAATGGATGAACAGTACCGGTAGTACAGTGTACTGTACGGTACAGTAAGAGTACACGTACACGTACAAGTGTACACGTACACGTACACGTACTGTAGTGACCGGCGGAAACGTATATACCCCCATATACGGTAACGTCTGTACGTCCTCTCACTGCATAAACATACTTTGTCGTGGGTAGAAGTCACTGGATATCGTTTGATGTTTCATCCCAAGACAATAAAATAATGCAGTGTATTTCACTCCAAGAACGCTGATGAGAGGAGCCATACACGGGAGGCACCCAGCCAACTCAGGGACGTACAGCCTCTGGAAGAATCACGATGCCTCAATCGATACCAGCTATTGTGCACGGTGACAGGACCTTGGGGCACATCCTCTTCGACTCCTTTTCGAGCTACATCAAGGCAAGAGGAAGAAGAAGTTCTTCCCAAAATAGGCGATGATTCTGGCAAGGGCCTACATGGCACATCCTTCAACGCCCTGCCCCGGCAATGAGACGGCGATGAAAATTATCCTTCCAGTATGGTGAATGAGATGAAGTAACAATGCCCAGGCATATCTTGGAAAGACCTAAAATAGTTTGATAGAAATCATGATGATTGTGATGTTTTTCTATTTTTCGTTGTTTGGGCGTGAAGTAGTGCACGAGGCCCTCCATTGGTTGACATGTAGGATTCCAAAATACACCAAGACGGCTGTCGACCCGATACTTCAAGGAGAGAATACGCCGGCTAGAAGGGGGGAAATGGATATTTTGGTTATCGTCCTCGAGGTTGCTTCTATAGGAAGGGCCGACATGGATCATTAAAAACTGCTAGTTGCGTTTATAGTAAACGGTTTACAATCAATTAATATGCTACATTATAATATATAGTCCTTCGGCTATGAAGTCATTCATTCTAGGAGCAACAAAACTCGAACAACGGTATGATTGCCGCTCCAGCACATCCCTGCTTATTGTCGTGACAGAAGCCGCTACTAGTGTTCTGTCCTCAGTCCAATTCTGGATTTATGATCAGAAGCTTTCTTTCACATCTCTTCTGGGTATCTCTGCTGGATCCAATGGGACATGGTAAAAGGCGAGATGTCAAACATTCATCGGTTTGACAACATACCCGCAATCTAGACCAACAGCAATAAGCGCCTGCTGCAGTGATCTTCTCAGCAGAAACGATAGACATCGAATCAAATTACCGATAACCCCATGGACCAGCCAGCGCAGAACAATGTTGATTGTTGATTCAGGTGATGAAGAAGTGGTGTCGAATCTGGAAGATATGCCATCCAGTATGTTCTTCACAAAAGAGCGCCAACATAATACTCCTTGCGGTCCTTTGTCCTCATTATGGCGCCAGATTACAATGAACTGGTTGCTCTGTAGTGCCCAGGATGCGGAGACCTCGTCCAGATACGTCCAGTGGCTGATTGATATGTGTGACAATAACACAAGAGGATTCATTCCAGCCATATCAAACGCCACCAAGAGTGGGCAAATGTGAATGTGCTGGAAGCAAAGGTGAATCGGTGGCACTTGAAGGATCGGGAGCGCACCGTTGCAAGTCTATTAGAGGGTGGTTTGACGAAAGCGATGCCGATGTCACCAGTCCAACCCGTACAGGTTTTGCAGGAGCCATGTTTGAGAAAATTCCACACGAAGTCCGAGATGTTGCCATCTAAAACTTACATTTACATCAGCACCTTTGCTCTTCTTTCATTTCCTTTCATTTCTCTCGTTTGTTTTGTATCCATCGACGGTGATGTTTTCGTTTGTTGTGGGCAATCTGGTGTTATTTGAGGAACGTGTATTTTCCAATATTCTCAACCAGGGATATCCCGCAGTTTTCTGTGAAGCCAGCTTTTTTCTTTTTTTGGAGAGTCGATGTGGTCATTTTCACCCTCTTCTGCACGAAACTTCAAAAATCGACTTTCACTTATTGCCTGCCAGAAAGAAACTTCTACGACAAGGAATTTTATAAATGTTCACAATGCCGTTAAGTATTCAACTTCATTCGCCAGATAAAATTTTAAAGTTTGTTTTATTTTTACAGCAATTGCGGAACATCTGTAATGACCCCAAAAAAACCTGTAAATTTTTCACAGAAGTTTCGGAACATCTGTGAAAAATTCACAGAGATTTCGGAACATCTGTGAAAAATTCACAGAATTTTTGACCCAGACGACCAAGCATTGCTTGCGCACACCATTAACCGTTTTTTCCTCTACCGAAATTGTATGGTGCTTTTACGAAAGGGCATGCGTGCACGCATGTCAGCTGAACCTCTGTTGAAACTTCACGGCAATTTCGGAACATCTGTGAAGACCCTTAAAAAACCTGTGAAAAATTCACAGAGATTTCGGAACATCTGTTGGTCATTCACAGAGATTTCGGAACATCTGTGAAAAATTCACAGAAAATTTAACGAACTACGACCAAAACGCGACGATCACCGACCAAGAATGAATTCCACGAGCAGTGATGATGTCGGATCACAGATCCCCGTGCAGAAGGAGTGAGCAAGCCGGTCAGGCCCCGATTCCAGTTCAGATTCACACCAAAATGCGGAATATCCCAGACGATAGAAAATTTACAGACTTTTTGACTCAGACGACCGTGGAAAAAAGTCTACGACTAGTTTTACATAGTGAAGCCATAAATGTTATATTCCTGGCTGAACCCACCATTCGCCACAATTTCGACATTTCGGAACATCTGTGAAGACCCTTAAAAAACCTGTGAAAAATTCACAGAAGTTTCGGAACATCTGTGAAAAATTCACAGAATTTTTGACCCAGACGACCAAGCATTGCTTGCGAACAACATTAACCGTTTTTTCCTCTACGGAAGTTGTGTGGTGCTTTTACGAAAGGGCATGCGTGCACGCATGTCAGCTGAACCTCTGTTGAAACTTCACGGCAATTTCGGAACATCTGTGAAGACCCTTAAAAAACCTGTGAAAAATTCACAGAGATTTCGGAACATCTGTTGGTCATTCACAGAGATTTCGGAACATCTGTGAAAAATTCACAGAAAATTTAACGAACTACGACCAAAACGCGACGATCACCGACCAAGAATGAATTCCACGAGCAGTGATGATGTCGGATCACAGATCCCCGTGCAGAAGGAGTGAGCAAGCCGGTCAGGCCCCGATTCCAGTTCAGATTCACACCAAAATGCGGAATATCCCAGACGATAGAAAATTTACAGACTTTTTGACTCAGACGACCGTGGAAAAAAGTCTACGACTAGTTTTACATAGTGAAGCCATAAATGTTATATTCCTGGCTGAACCCACCATTCGCCACAATTTCGACATTTCGGAACATCTGTGAAGACCCTTAAAAAACCTGTGAAAAATTCACAGAAGTTTCGGAACATCTGTGAAAAATTCACAGAATTTTTGACCCAGACGACCAAGCATTGCTTGCGAACAACATTAACCGTTTTTTCCTCTACGGAAGTTGTGTGGTGCTTTTACGAAAGGGCATGCGTGCACGCATGTCAGCTGAACCTCTGTTGAAACTTCACGGCAATTTCGGAACATCTGTGAAGACCCTTAAAAAACCTGTGAAAAATTCACAGAGATTTCGGAACATCTGTTGGTCATTCACAGAGATTTCGGAACATCTGTGAAAAATTCACAGAATTTTTGACTCAGAGGACAAAAAGAATAGTCAATTAGGGGAACTATCTGTAATTTAACGAACTACGACCAAAACGCGACGATCACCGACCAAGAATGAATTCCACGAGCAGTGATGATGTCGGATCACAGATCCCCGTGCAGAAGGAGTGAGCAAGCCGGTCAGGCCCCGATTCCAGTTCAGATTCACACCAAAATGCGGAATATCCCAGGCCAGTATTCTGGTCTACGCGAAAACGGTACGATTTCTACGTGCCAAAATTGAGCCTGACTTGAAATCGCATCGTATATCAAGGGACCCGGAGAGGTATATACTTTTCCGCAAGCCTTTGTGGGAACAACATTTTTACATAGGAATCATATGGTGTTGGCCCACCAGGCCTTGCGGAAAAGTATATGATATCGATATACGTTTCGTGCGGAAATGCGCGAAAATGATATACTTTTCAGTTACGGTATTTGAGGCTGTGAAAGTACTGTACCTACCCGTGTTCAACATTGAGTCAATCGTGCAGTACCGGTACCGGTACCTGGTACGACTGGTAGCGTACCTGGGAGTATCCACAATAAAGAGTACCAGGTATGCACTGTTTCACCTAAATTACATTTCTATGTTTATCGTTTTCTATCAAAGTCTTAAAAGTAGTCAATGAAATGGTTTGTGTCACCATGCAATGATTACTGAGTTTCAGAACGTCGGCTTTCAGAATATCGGCTGTCTTTGTTGGAATGATACGAACTTCCTCTGTTATTCAGCGAGGATCTAATTGATCTAATATCATCGTCTTGGATGACTCGAACGAGAATCTCAAGTCTAGACTCTGCCGTTCGTTCTCGCAGTTGCAAATACCGAGGTCTGATATAGATGAGAAAACTTGAAAATCCCATGGCAGGAGCAAAGATGGCTCGTAGCACCATGAACAGATACAAATCCGCTTCCATTTTTGGTCCAGGCTCGCCTTCTGTGTAGCTGATAGCGGCTCGCAGAATCAGAGTCCACATGTATGCTAAGATGAAAGCAGCACAATAAAGTAACGATTGGGTACGAACCAACTGGACTCGCTTTTGTTGGTTGTCCACCTGGGCAATTCGCTTGGTCACTTTGAACGAAACAGCGGCAGTCTCCTCTATAGACTTGTCCAAGTCCACAGAGCCGTCCCTATTGCTTGCAACGATACGGTCCGACACAAGAACTGAGGATAGATTCTTCTCGGCTCGGTCTTGACTGTTTTTCACGTACTGCCGCACAGTCCGTCGGACATGACAATAGATGGTGAGATTGTTGCCTAGCACCAAGAACAGTGTGAAGACGTAGGGGATTCCAGTAAGGATGAGTGCCAGATTGGCTATGCATGCGGCATCACACGATTCGTTGGGTGTCAAGTAGCAGCCAGCACCGATTTCTTGTTCCCCATACAAGTTTTTCCCCAAGGCGACAAAGGCGGTGATGATTGAAAACAATATTATGAACCCATGTATGAATGGTTCGATTCTTCGAGCAAAATATTCATCCTTGACACCAAATCGAACCACCATCAAGTAATAAGTGCTCAAGGCACCAAAGTATAGGAAGCATCCGCAGGTGGCTTGAAATCCCCAACCCAAAAAGTTGCAGGTCGCTTCGTTTCCCACGGCGAAACGCCGCCGACTGGTCTCTTTGTCCACAAGAAAGGACTGAAGTGGCACAAAAAGAGAAGAAAATACATCGTATACGCTCATTCCAAAGAGTAATCTCCTATAGGGTGCACGATACTTCTTGCGATGTACCAGCCGAATAATGCATAAGGATCCAGCTATGCTGAGCAGAGATGGCAGAATTGGCAAAAGGGCAATGACTGATTCTTGTGCTGGCGACAGAGATGAGGAGGATACAGTGGTCGTAATCGTAGTCGTATTCGATTCAGACTCAACCAAGGTCGAGTTGTGTTCGAAAATGTTTTCCTCCATGCCATCCATTGTAGTAGTGTCCTCTACAGGTAGCCTTATGGTATTGCAGTTGGCTGCCTTGTCCACAAGTGACAAGTGCAATCACTGTAACGTACTTACGAGTACTGGCTTTCGGGAACTGGAGAAGTGATTTCTTTTCGCGTTCCCAGAAGCCCGAAATTATATATATAATGGGTATATTGAAGAAACTGAGTGAGCCAATCGCAAACTTCAGAGCATATAATGCATCTCCTCCATCAACACTCAATCGACGAAATCGAATTCTATTGGCGCGTCGCCATGCAAAACTATTAAGCCTTCCGGTCATTTCGAAATTTCGAAATTGACAGGCCGCCCCGATTTGACGACCATTCTCCATCGTACACAAAACGTACCAGGTACCAGGTACCGGTACCGGTACCAGGTACTGCCGTTCCATGCATCTCCGTTATTGTGTTCGAGTACAAGGGTAGAGCTTTTACACACAACACACAAAAACTCTGCAGCTGACATTGCCTGAGCGTAATAACGGCGATACAGTTGCCCACTACCTCCGTGACTCCGTCAAGGCCAAATGCTCCAAGTTCAGTGCACTCTAATGGCGGTAGGTAGAACAAAGCCAACCGGTGCCGACGAGAAACAGCAATTGAATACGGCCTACCACCAACTCAAGGAATTTGACATCACCAAATGGAAGTCTACAACGAATATTCTCAAAACATTCTCAAAGACCTTAGATAATTTGAAAGTGAGGCTGCCAAGAAACTTAGTGGAGCTGACAATTCGCCTTCTCCGGGATCAACGGGTGATAGACCCAAGGGAACAAAGATTGCAAAGGTCCTTGTCCACTGAAGTGGCACAGAAAGTGAAGAAAATACATGACATACACTCAGTCCAAAGAGTATTCGATTCGAACCCAACAACCAAAGCTGCGTTGTGTTCGAAAATGTTTTCCTCCTTGGTAGCAGTATCCTCTACAGGTAGCTGTAGGGTAATATAGTTTGCTCACTTATCCAAAATTGACAGTGCAGTTGAAGTTGGATACTGTGTGGTACATGCCTTCCGGGACAGAGCAAGGCTGTTGGTGATACCGGTACCTCCCGGACCGTGCGGCAAAACGGATAATTCAATCATGGTGTGGCTATTCCTCTTGCAGTATAGGTTGTTTGGCACAAATGCGCCATCTCATTACAGGTTATTCATTGGGCCTGTTCCATGAAGGGCAGATGCAGTGCCTGAGGCTTTGAAAGCATCTACTATCAGTATTCCAAGAAACAAAATTGAGTCACAACGATCGATCACAACGAGTACGCACTGTTTCAACTAAATTACATTTCTATTTCTATTATCTTCTATCAAAGTTTCAAAACCTGTTAATCAAATGGTTTGCGTCACCATGCAATGACTACTGAGTCTCAAAACGTCGGCTTTCAGAAAGTCGGCTGTCTTTGTTGGAACGATACGAACTTCCTCTATTATTGAGAGAAGATCTAATTGATCGAATATCATCGTCTTGGATGACTCGAACGAGAATCTCAAGTCTAGATGCTTTTGTTCGTTCTCGTAGTTGCAGGTACCGAGGCCTGACGTAGATGAAGAAACTCCAAAAGCCCATAGAAGGAGTAAAGATGGCTCGGAACACCATGAACAGATACAAATCCGCTTCCATTTATACATTTTACAAAGTACAGAGGAACGGCCGGGAAATAGAAATTTAGCATACAATTCTTGGGAGTAAATATTGATTTTCCCGGCCGTCCCATTATGCGCCTACCATAGGTACGAATAAAGTAGGACCAATCCGAGTGAGCGAATCAGCCTGTATGTATGGTGTTAGCGTGCGATCGGCCCAACCGGTTTCACAACCAGAGGCTCTCATGTTTTACACATTCCCCGCCCTACCGGTGCAATACCTAATGGTAACGGTATTCAAAATACAAGGAATTCCATATGAAAAGTCAACATCATTGCTTGCTTGTTCAATACATTGTTATTCTAAGAGGAAAATTGATATGCGTCCTTGGCCGACGTAACCGGCAATATATCGGCCAGGATCGATTGCTTGTCGACCCCCGATGGTCGGGTCGAGACCAAAGCTTCCATGCCAGTCGTTACTGTTTCCGTGCATGTTCCAACTGATACTTTTCCGATCTTTCTGATATGCTGGCTTCGTTGCATTGTAAAATGTAGCTTTTAAAATCAAATAATCGAGGATTCAATAGCAAGGGCTGCTGAAACCAATACAGAAATTTCAGAGAGAATCAATCAGCCAAACCTCAGAATTCATCTGCCAGATTGCATCAATGCACACGGCCTGGATTTCTAGACTTGCACAATTTCATTATTTTTCTTCATGCGAACTTTTCTTCGAACTCTGACCTTCAATCAAGCTCCCGTTGAACGATGGTCGATGGCGATTTTGTAACTGAGCCATTGATTCAAGTGTGACCGAATAGGAGTCCCCGTATAAGCGAGGATCAATTCCTGCATTGCCATATGCAGCAGTATGTAATAATGACTGAGCATGGCGTGTTCCAACACCTAGCGGTAAAGCTGGTCGGGTTGCGAACTGAAGGCGTTGATATGCTGGTGAAGCAAAAGGCAACTGGTGCATAGCAAGTGCAGTCGAAGCAGGCAAGCTCGATGACAGATGACTTATTGTATTCTGTGGACCGATTGGCATGGCAGCGAAATGTTGCGAGGTACTTGACTTCGCCTGCTGTCCAGGAAGAGGTTGCAAGAAGTTCTGCCCAGAATGATCACTCGTTTTCAGAAGCAAGCTCTTTCTCAGACGCAAGGCATGGCTCACCTTCTTATACGCGGTATCGTCATCCACTTCGACCCACTTGTCATCACTCTCGTCATCGAACCGTCGAAGAAATCTTGCGCCAGTGCTCTTAAGCTGTTGAACGATATTTCGAGTAATGGCTGCCTTTTCTCTTCGAGTTGACGACAGATAGGCTTGGCGATATTGGTCAACGATCAGATGAAGATTGAGGTTTCCGTGGTGATTCATGATGTGTAGACCACGTCCGCATAGAATGTCCCTAGGACTTCCTGATACTGGAACCACAGCGTCTTTTGAAGCGTTTGTGGTGTTGCTTTCAACGCCGTTTGTGTCGCTTGATATTTGTTTGTCTTCCTTCTTGATGGTCGTGACATCTGCTGGAGTTGCATTGTCTCCTGCTTCATGAGCAGGCGGAAGTATGGAACTGCTTTGGGATGGGGTTTCAGCGGACACCTCTTGTGTAGGAGGGGATTTGGACTCCATGTCGCCGGGAAACTGATGAGTGGGAATGGGTTTGCTTTCCTTGCTTGTAGAGTTGGAGTTTTCCTCTTTTCTTTCGACGAAGACGGAACGGGATTGTGATAAATTGCAAGTATGGTCCATAGAGGGTACAGTATGTGGAAGCTGATAAAGCGGTTCCTTTGAATCCTCTCCTGTAAGCTTCGGTCGTGGCTTCAATCAAAGGACGTAATGTGTATGTCGCCGTCACATTGACAACAACAATACATCGTTGTCAGTCCTTCGCCTGCGAGGTGCATTGGGGCTGTGCTTGCTTGCGGCACCACACGTTCGACTAAATACCTACGGTCACAAGTTAGCATGACGTCATCATTGACATAGAAAGAACGAACTGTTGCCATGATGCTGATGACCAACCAAGACTTGGTCCATCCAAATGCATCAGATGACCAGACTGGATTAGATGGCGATGGTTTGTTGGCTCGTTCATATCCATACCGGTAATTCACAGAGTGCAGATATTCCCAATTGTCACACAGTGAACCTCGCTGCTGCCATCCGCATTTCGAAGAGAAGGGCATGTAGAAGTCTTCTGACATTCCTCTTCGACTGCTGAAATACAAGAGACCGATGTATACATTGTCTCGCAGGAACCTCAAGAGTAGTGAGTGATTTCTGGATTTTTCGGCATTCAGGGGCAATATCTGTGGCTGCTGTTTTCATTGGTAGAATGTTCCTAGATTCTCAGAGGTGTCATGAATGACTCCATTTTGCCGAATGGTTGCTAAATGAGGGTGCATCAGTAGCGGCCCATTCATAAAACCTCAGCCATCCGCAGGCTAGCGGCGTTTCGCAAGCTTTCATCAAAAGGAGATGGCCCCGCAAATCGACGATACAATGTCGAAAACTGATACACGAAAAGGATGATTCATTGCTGTATCATTTGAACATCCTACCGTTTTCAGCCATTTGAAATCAAATTCCGTCAGAAAAGGTGTCATGCATCCATTGCTGGTGAAATCATAGAAGTTTCCTTATACTGGCTGCGTTCAATTTGCACAATGTTGAATTGCCAGTAAAACATCAGTTTTGTTTTTACTCAGAGATTGTTTTGGGACCAAGGCGCACCAAAGTATAGTCAGCTCTTTTAAGCTGCACCCATCAAATGGGTCACATTTTCAGCATGGCAGCCACTCTGTATAAAGATAATCACTGATGTATTGAACTGGTCGTGAGACTGCCGCCTGATGTGAATGTCCTCTTTGAAATCTCCAGGCTTCTTCTTGCTCTGCACGTCAAACATTCCCGGCTCTTTTTGTGGCCACCGCAAAAGCAGGACCCAGCAGAACTAGAACTACTGGTATGTTGGTCAGTTATGGGTGTCTGTGTCCTCTAAATATCCAGCCTTTGTGCTCCGCACGTTCAACACTGTGCTCCCCAGCAATCGCACAAGCATAGTAACACATCAAATGCTGAACTACCCATGACGAATATCTCATCGCAAAGGCAAAATGCCACTATTGCAATCTTTCAAAACGTGGTATGCCATGCACCCTGCCCAGAAATGGAGTGGCGGATGATGATCCAAAGAAACGGAGGAAATCTGAAGATTGTGTGAACTTTACAGTATGCACCAGATGTTTTGGAAATCTGCGGAGGTTTGTCAGGTTTTTTTAAAACTGACGTACTCGCCTCAACGCAATCGGATCGTAGACAGCTGACAAAAACAGTCTGTTCATTAATTATGTACCGGTATATATAAAATAGACAGTGCACAAAAGTGCGATGAGCTGGCCACAAACACTTCTCACAATTTGCTCATGCTTTTTATGGTAGTAGGAGAGCTATGTGGGTTTTTACTGTACCTAAATTTTGATACTGACTGATTTCCCATCAGATTTTGTGGGACTTCGATCAACATACCTGTACCATTACTGACAGTTGATGTATTTTATTTAGTCTTCAGGTTCCTATGCCATCAGGCACCATCAGCCAGATCGATCACTATTGATAAGAAATATGACAGAAGGAGACTGCCATAGATGATGGATAGTCTGTGGTTCTTGCTTGGAAACATCAATCGCACTAGCATGAGTTGAAAACTGTCACCATCGCATTTTCACTTCCGCCGTACCAACTGTCACAAGTTTGACTCAGAGCAACTGAGAATCTGTGAAGCCAGCCGGATCATCCATTCATGCAGTCGGGGCTTCGTTCTCACGCTCCTCTCAGAACTGTGATTATCATAGCTTGATTCCCATTTTCTCAAGACAGCGATACAATATGTTTCGTGGGGCATAATAGCTCAATACGATCAAATAGCTCTTGATTCTTATCCTGCTAAAAATTGCGCTAATACGGCGGATCTACCCATCCTGAAACGACAACCAAGTCAGATCAAATGAATGAAGTGGATGCACTCCGATAATTCATTTTCCTTCTTCATCAGAATTTCTCTTCGATCTCGAACCATCAATCGAGCTACCGTTGAAAAGTGAGCGTTGATGCTGCTGCTGTTGTTGCAGCTGTGTCATTGTAGCAAGTGTGGTTGCAAAGGCGCCCGCGAATAATCGAGGATCAATCACGGCATTGCCATATCCACTGATGAAAGACGGATGTAATACTGGCTGGGTATGTGTTCTAGCAACTGGCGGCAATGCTGATTGGGTTGCCACCTGAAGTTGATATGAAGGTGATGGAAAAGGCAACTGTGCAGCAACTGAGGAGGAAGAAGGTAATCTCGATGACGGATGACTAATTGCATTCTGTGGACCAATTGGCATGCCTGCGATATTTTGTGAGGTACTTGTTGTCTCTCTTCGAGAACTCGAATGCTGACTACCTGCCTGCTGTCCAGGAAGAGACTGCAAGCAGTTCTGTCCATGATTGCTCTTTCTCAGACGCAAGGCATGGCTGACCTTCTTATACGCGGTCTTGTCATCGACTTCCACCCATTTGTCGTCGCTGTCGTCATTGAACCGTCGAAGAAACCTTGCCCCGGTGCTTTTCAGTTGCTTGACGATATGTTGAGTGATTGCAGCCTTATCTCTGCGAGTCGCTGTTAGATAGGTTTGACGATACCTGTCGACGGCGAGGTGAAGATTGTGGTTTCCGTGGTGATTCATTATGTGCAAACCACGTCCACAGATGATATCCCTAGGACTACCTGATACTGTAACCACAGTGGGTTTTGATGCAATTTTGTCACTGGTTTTAATGCCATTTGTGTCACTGCTTGAACTTTGGTTTTTTCGATTGATGGTTGTAACTTTTGTTGGAGTTGAAGCTGCATTGTCGCTTAAACTGAGGTTGTCTTCAGTGTAAGATTTGGCTTGTTTTGGAGTCGCATTGTCTCCTGCTTTTTCAGGTGGAAGGATGGGGCCGCTTTGGGATGAAATTGCAGCTGTCATAGTTTCAGCAGGAGGATATTTGACTTCCACAGTTCTGGGAGACTGACTAGAAAGGGGTTTGCTTTCCTTGGTCATGTTGCCGAAGTTTCCTTCTTTTCTTTCGGCGAAGACGGAACGCAATTGTGACAAATTGCAAGTGTGATCCATGTATGGAAGCTGACTACAGAAGTGCTTGGTGTGAGTCGTTGTTTATACAGGTTCTGTTTGTTTTGCCGCTAGTTATCTGTGGAAATGGAAGAAACAAACAAAGAAAAGCGATGTAGCATCACGCGTGGTATTTGCTCGCGATTGCGCGTGTGCATTTGCCTACCATCACCTACCTACTGCAGCACCTGCGGAATATGGGCGCTGCTATTGAAGCTACAGTATACAGTATGGTGACGTTTTCTACGATTCCATACAACGGGAGCAGTAACAACTGCGTTGTCTTTGCTTCACATGCGACTGATACCAATAGTTAATACTTCGCAACAGGATGATAATGCTGCTGGCAAAGTATAGATACCAATATATGAAGCTCGAACAACTTGTCACAGAATTCCGATTGTTGTCCTCATGATCACTATACCATGTGATTGCAGTGATAGTCGTTGACGTCACTATGCGTTTCTCATCGTCGCGTGCTTATTGGGTGTATCTGTATCACAACTACGGTAGGGCTGGCTTTCATTGGTGGAACCGGTTTCCAATAGATGTCAAGCAAGCATTGACTGACTCAAATCCTCCTGAGGATACGTTTCGAGTTGGGCCCCATTTATTGCTTGGAATGAAGGTTTCTACTCTTTCTCCTCCGCATACTGGAGAAGATGCGAATGGATGAGCAAGAGAAAAGATACCGTGGAGCACATCCTAATTGACTGATCAGCGACTGATCAGCGACTGGTCAGTATGAAGGTATCCAGAGATGAGTTGATGACCGAACTTGTGAACTGAACAAAGCAACCAGGATCAGCCAGGGATCGGCGAGGACACAGACCAACCATGAGTGCAACTCTCATCAGCAAGTGGTATCTGAAGCTTCAATCCGGGATGCTTCTGTTCTGTACAGCCCCATAACCGCGAATCCGAGAGGCGCATCCATTGTTATTGTCCCGCGGAAAATGGACCAAAGTGCTTGTACACACATCTTAAAGGATTGATTGCCGGTATTCTTCTTCACAGTCACTTTTACTTCTGTATAGTAGTCTGAACACCATACATTGCGAATTGGTCGCACCCATAATACTTCAGAATCCGATACATGCTAACTCAAACAACCATGGGTAGACCAAAATGAAATATACATTTTTGGGATTTAATGGGTTTCCCAGAACATGGCATGCCAGTAATTCGTTCATTCCTGGAACGGTAGGCCGGACATTGTGTTGGACTTCTGGCGTCAAACTTCTCAGTCACTCGCATCTTTTCCCCCGTTACGTCGAAAATGTTGGCAAATTTGAACCGACAACCAACTGTACATCCAGTTTGTTTCGGGCAATGACTGAAAGGCTCCCAATGGGGTACCGAGTCCTCGTGCTCTCGAAGCAGACAATGATTTGTTTTCATCTCAGCGATGATGTCATGAACTGTCTGAAGTCCATCATTCCTCAAGGCTAGCAAACTACGACTAAAGATCCACTTTCGGTGATGGCACTGAAGCTGCAGGCCTCAGATAAAGGATGTTCTCCTAAATGAAACTTCAAACAATCATGTTCTATTCTGGCCGATATGATCCATCGAAAGCTGAACCATTCATTCTCTCATCGCAAAGGCAAGAAATCGCTCTATCAAACGTGTGATGTGTCATCAAACCCCTATCCAGAAATCGAGCATAGTGTACATTCTGTAGTAGATGATGATTTGTGCAGACTATCTTTGTACCGGTATGAATGAGGACAGAAGATGACATTCTGAAGACTGCTTCGACTTCGATCGCAAGATGTTTTTAGCATCTGGAAGTCTAAATTGAAATTATGACGTACGCCTGAACAAAATGACGTTGACAGCTGACAAAAACTACGCCCAATAATTAATCACTGGCATAAAAGTGCGATGAGGTGGCCATAAACAACTTCTCACAATTTGCTTTGCCTCAATTTTACATATTGCAGTAGATCCATGTGGGTTTCTACTGCAGAATTGGAGTAGAACGCCCCTTCTACTGCACACATTTTTCTTGATGTCTGTGAAATCCACAAACACATCATTATTGTATGTTGTAGTCAGCAGAGGTCCCTATGCCACCAGCAACCATCATCAGATCGAATACGAATGGTAAGAGGACAATAGGTCATAGGGAGAAACTCATATTGCTGATGGACAGTCTATTGTTTCTGGCTCGGGTAGACCAATTCACACCAAGGGGTTGAAACCTGTCAACATTGCATTCCCACTTTTGTATCAAGGGTCAAGTCCTATTCAGAAGCAACTGCAAAAGTGTTGGGTATCCAATCCGGCAACTCATGCAGTTGCGGTACTATTCCCACTTCATTCCAATTATCTCAAGAGCGACAGATGTTCAGGACATAATAGCTCAAGGCTAACAAATAGTACTTGATGCATATCACATGATAATGACGACTCTTATTCGGATCCAAGCAAGGGTCGAGGCGTCAGAATCTATCCATCTTTTTATTAAGATGCGATGAAAACCCAGCCGAATAGAATGAATGAATCAACTCATCGATTTCATGTTCCTTCATCATCAGAATTTCTCCTTGACCTCTGATCATCAATCGAACAACCGTAAGAAAGTAAGCGTTGCTGCTGTTGCAACTGTGTCATTATGACAAGTGTGGTTGCAAAGGCGTTCGCAAACAATTGAGGATCCATCGCTACATTGTCATATCCATTCATGGTGGCAGACGGATGTAACATTCTTGGCTGGATATGTGTTCCAACAACGGGCGGTATTGCGGATTGGGTTGCCACCTGAAGTTGATATGTAGGTGATGAAAAAGGCAACTGTGTAGCAAGTGAGGGCGAAGAAGGCAATCTCGATGACGGATGACTCATTGTACCCTTTGTACCAATTGGAATGCCAGCGATATTTTGTGAGGTACTTATTGTCTCTCTTCGAGAAGTCGAATGCAACGGTACAGACTGTTGGCTACCTGCCTGCTGTCCAGGAAGAGACTCCAAAAAGTTCTGTCCATGATTGCTCTTTCTCAGACGCAACGCGTGGCTGACCTTCTTATACGCGGTCTTGTCATCGACTTCCAACCATTTGTCGTCGCTGTCGTCATTGAACCGTCGAAGAAACCTTGCCCCGGTGCTTTTCAGCTGCTTGACGATATGTTGAGTGATTGCAGCCTTGTCTCTGCGAGTAGATGTCAGATAGGTTTGACGATACCTGTCGACGATGAGGTGAAGATTGTGGTTTCCATGGTGATTCATGATGTGCAGACCACGTCCACAGATGATATCCCTAGGACTACCTGATACTGTAATCGCAGTGGGTTTGGATGTGTCTGTGGTGTGGTTTTCAACGCCATTTGTGTCGCTACTTGAAGTCAGGTTTTCTAGATTGCTGGTTGTAACTTTAGTTGGAGTTGGAGCTGCATTGTTGCTCGACCTAAGGCTGTCCTTACGGTTTGATGTGGCGTGTGTTGGAGTTCCGTTGTCTCTTGCGTCATTAGAGGGAAGGATGGGACCGCTTTGTGATAGGATTCCAGCTGCCATAGTTTCAGCAGGAGGATATTTGGACTCCACGGTGCTGGGAGACTGACTAGCAAGGGGTTTGCTTTCCTTGGTCATGTTGCCGAAGTTTCCCTCTTTTCTTTCGGCGATGAAGACGGAACACAAATGTGTCAAATTGCAAGTATGGTCCATATGCCTGGAAGCTGAATATACAGACGTGATTGGCTTGATTCGTCGTTGAGACAGCCTTGTGCTTCTCTTTGCTGCTACTTATCTACAGTGTGAAAATGGATGGAACATTATACAAAGACATGTGTTTGCTTGCGATGCGGGTTTTGCGCGTGGCCTACCGCACATATCTACTAGTAATATACCTGGGCGCTGTACAGCACTGAAGCAGGTGACGTTTTTTACTACGATACCATACAGTAATAGCAGTAACAACTGCGATACCGTTGCTTCACATGCTACCAGTTATTACTTCACAACAGAATGGCAGGAAAGCTGGAGCTGAGATATATGAAGCACAGACTATATATTCGTAACATAATTACGGTCGATGCGCACATGATTACTGTAGTGATTGTGATGATAGTCGTTAGATTACGCTAGTATGATGTTCTCTCGTGGCGACACATTCGTGGGGGTATCGGTATTGCTACTACGGTACCGCCTGTATTGTTGGGGTTCACCTACTGCCCAAAACAAAACAGCAAAATGTCCGTCTTCGGAAGTGACTTGCTTGCTAATGATATCCAATGCTTCACACCTCCTCCTGATAATGCTCTTTCAAATTGGGTTTGCAAGATCTCTATGGAGACTCTATGTACAAAGAAAAGATATCATGGAACAAATCCTCATTGACTGACCGCAATGACTGATAAACATGAAAGTGTCTAAGGAGAAGAGCCGAGATGAGTCGATGCCAGGGCTTGTCGACTTTGCAAAGCAACGAAGGCTCAGCCAGTGATCAGGCGATAGCACAAAATCAACCATGAGTGCAACTCTTATTCACTAGTGGTTTCTTTGGATCCGTTCACCTAAAGCTCCACTCAGATCTTAATCCGAGACACCCCGGTCGCGATACAACTGAAGGCAGATCAAAAGCGCATCAGGAAAAGTTTTGGATATTGCCCCACCAGGAATTGACCAAAGTGCTGATGCACACATCTTTTAATAAACGACTGATCGTCAGTATTGTGTGCTGCCTCGCCCTATGGCAGGTAAAACTGTTCTACACTGTCGCTTTCGCTTCAATCGTCTGTAGAATATGCCATATGAATTGATCACGTCTACATCACATCAAGACCTGATGTGAACACTGGTGGAAATATCAACCGGTATAAACCAAATCGAAGTATGTGGATTGTTGGGATTTACTGGGTTTCCAGATACTGCCATGGCAATGATTCACTCATTCACGGAACGGTAGGTCGGACATCACGCAAGGATACTGTCATTACCAAACTTCCCAGTCACTCACATCTTATCCCGCGTCCTGTAGAACTTGTTGGCAAGTTTGTACCGACAACCAATTGTACATCAAGTTTCTTTCGACCAATGACTGCAAGGCCCCCAAGGGTGTACTGACTCCTCATTTTCTCGAGGAAGAAAAATGAGCTGTTCACATCTCAAACGTTACGCCATCTACGGGCTGAAGACCATCCTTCAGAAAGACTATCACTGAAGAATCAATGGCTGAAATGACACTGCTCTCAGCTTCAGATGAACGCTTTTGTCCTCCTGTCTTGTTTCAGCCGATAAGATTGATCCAAAGCTCAACGGAAATTCTCGTATCGCAAAGGGGAGACACCGCACTAGCAAAGCTTGATGGGCCATCGTACTACCTGTCCGAGAATCGAGTACAGTACATACTGTAGTGTGTGATGATTCTTGCAGACTTCAGTATCTTTTGTATGAGAACTAAGGATAATAATCTGAAGACTGCTTCGACTTCGATTGCAAGATGTTTTTTGCATCTGGAAGTGCATGTTGAATTTATGACGTACGTCGGAACCAAATGACGCTGCCAGCTGACAAAAACTACGCTCAAACGACGCCCAATAATTAATCACTGCATAAAAAATCGATGAGGTGGCCACAAACAACTTCTCACAATTTCCTGTAATACCTGGTGTGCTAGCTAGAAGATCCGTGGGTTTCTACTGGTGTTCAATCATGCACGCACAAATACGTGTACGGAAACATAAACAAACCAGTCATTGTACCGGCACCAACATGCGTTTTTTCTTTTCAAGTTCCAACACCATGAGACATCATCAGATCGAAATATCAACATTGTTTCTGTCATGCGTAGACTGTAATTTATCTGATGGCCAGTCTGTCGCTTTTTGTTGGGGCGCACATCAGTCACTCTAGAATATGTTGAAATCTGTCACCATTGCATTCTAATTGCACTTCCGTCCCAATAAGTCAAGTTTGACTCAGAAGCAACTGAGAAGGTGCCTATCTAGTTTGCGATACGGAAATTCATGTGGTCGGGGCTTCTTTATCAGTTTGTTAGCGTAAAGGTCAATCAGATTGTGCTTTTCATACCTTGATCCGCACCATTTAAAGACGGCTATGGATTTCAGGACACACTAACTCACGGCTAAAAATAGCTCTTGATGCTTATCTAATGTCACAAGATCCTACAGCTAACGGAACTTCAGAAATCATTGTACCCATCTCAAGGATGACAACCCAATCAGATTGACAATCAACGAATTTGATGTCCTAAGCGATTTCATTTTCTTTCTTCTTCAGAATTTCTCCCTGACCTCTGACCATCAATCGAGCTACCACTGAACAGTGATCGTTGCTGCCGTTGCAGTTGTGTCATGGTAGCAAGTGTGGTTGCAAAGGCATCCGCAAATAGCCGAGGATCTATCGTTACATTGCCATATCCATTGGGGACAGAGGGATATAATATTGGCTGAGCATGTCTTCCAAGAGCTACCGGCAATGCTGACTGTGTCGCCATAACTTCAAGTTGATTTACAGGTGGCGCCAACGGCAAGACGGACAAGGGTAATGTTGGCGGGATATGTGTTCCAACACCGGGCGGTATTGCTGATTGGGTTGCCACCTGAAGGTGATATGCAGGTGATGAAAAAGGCAACTGTGTAGCAAGTGAGGCCGAAGAAGGTAATCTCGATGACGGATAACTCACTGTACTCTGTGGACCTATTGGAATATGTTGTGAGCTAGACTTCGAATGCAACGGCACATGCTGTTGACTGCCTGCCTGCTGTCCAGGAAGAGATTGCAAAAAGTTCTGACCATGATCGTCCTTTCTCAGACGCAAGGCATGGCTGACCTTCTTATACGCTGTCTTGTCATCGACTTCCACCCATTTGTCATCGCTGCCGTCATTGAACCGCCGAAGAAACCTTGCTCCGGTGCTTTTCAGCTGTTTCACGATATGTTGAGTGATGGCAGCCTTGTCTCTGCGAGTCGCTGTTAGATAGGTTTGACGATACCTGTCAACGACGAGGTGAAGATTGTGGTTTCCGTGGCGATTCATGATATGAAGGCCACGTCCACAGATGATATCCCTAGGGCTACCTGATACTGGAACCACAATGGGTTTTGAAGCGTCTGTGTCACTGGTTTTAACGCCAGTTGTGTTGCTGCTTGAGCTGAGGTTGTCTTTATGGTTTGATGTGGCTTTAGGTGTAAGAATGGGACTGCTTTGGGATGAAATTGCATCTGTCATAGTTTCAGCAGGAGAACATTTGGAAATCATGTTGGGTTTGCTTTCCTTAGTCATCATGCCGAAGTTAATCTCTTTTTTTGTCGGGGAAGACGGAACGTAGTTGTGACAAATTGCAAGTATGATCCATGTATGTGGAAGCTGTCTATAGTAGTGTTTCGTGTGATTCGACGTAGATGCAGGTTCTGTGCTTGGTTTGCTGCTACTTATCTATGGGCACGGGGGAAACATATTACAAAGAGAAGTGTAACATATAGCATGCGGTGTGTTATTGCTCGTGACGCGTGTTGCGCGTAATAGTGTGCGTATATATGCCTACCATCACCTACATCATATTTGGACGCTGCTATGAAACTATACAGTATGGTGACGCTTTCTACCATACCGTCCAATATCGACACTGTAACAATAACTGCAATATCTCTGCTTCACATGCGGCTGGTAACAATAGTCATTAGTCTGCAGCAGGATGATAGTGTTGCCAGATGATTCCACATGCCATGCGAAGCTGTCCGTATGCAAGTGATGATAGACGTCATTATGCGGTTGTATTACGACGTCACATATCAGATGCTTGAGAGCATCGGCATTCATGATAGATGAGTTTGGGCCTTCTCAGACAAAATAAAGGAAGAAAAGCGAGTTGCAATAGAGATCCAACAACTGACTCTTCCTCCGGATAATAATACTGTTTCGAATTGGAACACCATTTCTTGAGGCTCGCAATAAGGCCAAGTGGGTAGGTATCTAATCGCTCTCCTCCGCATAGAGGAAAGGATAAGAAGGGATGCACGAGAGAAGAGATATCGTGAAACATTTCCTTTTTGACTGATCACGGAGCGATCAGAATGATGGCATCCAAAAATGAGCATAGATGGGTCGATGACCAAACTTGTCAAAGCAACGGGGGCCAGCCAGCGATCAGGTGAGAACACAAAGAGACCATGTGTTCAACTTGCATCGTCAAGTAGTTTCTGAAACTTCCATTTAGATCTCAATCAGAGATACTTTTCTCCTGGACATAATAGTATAAGAAAGTCCAATGACCGTGTTGCGCGGCTGATGTTGCAGAGGCGCATGAAGAGAATTCATTGTCATTGTCCCACGGAAATGTGATCAAAGCGCTGATACACAAATCTTAAAGGATTGATTGTCGGTATTTTATATGCTGCCACGCACAACCTGATACTACTTGTTTTCAAAACAGTTGCTTTCGCTTCTACCGTCTGGACACAATATCTTACGAATCATTTTCACCTATTCAAGATCTGTGTAAGCATCGGTGCAAAGGACGATGGGTAGACCAAAATGACACATGCAGTGTTAGGATTTGAAGTGTTTCCCAGATCTGGGAGCGATAAGGATTCTCGAAACAGTACTGTAGGTCGGACATCATGTTGAAATACTCTATCCATTCGTCCCCAGTCTCTCACATCTTATCCCCAGGTCTTTGCAATCAAACACCATTGTATACAAAATGTTGACTTTCTTGCACCGAAAACCGGCTGTGTTCAGTTTGTTTCAATAGCAACATTTACAAGGCTCCCCCATTTGGGTGAGCAGAGTCGTCATGTTTTCAGAGAAGATGATGATTTCACATCCCAGACATTGTGTCATCCGTAGATCGAAGACTTTCCTATTCAAAACTATCATTGAAGAATCAATGGATGGCAAAGCTTCAGATGAGCGTTCTTGTCCTCGATGAAACTTCTGCTCCAGCTGAAAGCAGCCCTTCTCTTATTTCGCTACCAAACTTTTGATGTGGAATCATACAAACTCCCTGTCAAAAATCGAGTTCATTCTGTTGGATGTAACAATGCTTGCAGCCTGCGAGGATTAAATCCGAAGGGTACAGATAGGTACACTACCGATTTACAGTATACAGTACAAGTACCCGGTATAATGATTCGTCGACTTCGATTGCAAGATGTTTTTTGCGTCTGTGGATATGTTGAATTTATGACGCACGCATGTGGGAAACCGGATGACGCCGCCAGCTGACAAAAACTACGCGCAATAATTATTCGATGCATATAAGTACGCGATGAGCTGGCCACAAACAACTTCTCACAATTTCCTTTACCTGTGGTAGGAGATCCATGTGGGTTTCTACTGTGGGTGAAGTCTGCCTGATTTCATAGATTTCTTGCACATCCACAAATACACCTCAACTTTAGTCTCAAGTTCAATGCCATCGAGCATCATCACATCGACTAATAGCAACATTGCATGTGCCATACGGAGTCTACCATGTAGTTGATGGATATCCTCTCGTTTTGCCTTCTGGACACAGCAATCGCACTAGAATAAGGTGAAAACTGTCGTCGTCATCGCATTCTCAGTTCCGTACGATAGACGCATAAAAGTAGCCGAGGAGGTGTTAGAGTTTCCTTTTCTATGTAGGAGATCCATATTGGTTTCTTCAGGAGGTTTACGGTATACATCGCAGACGCATGCCTCTTGGGTAATTATTTTTTAGAGCGATACTGTATGCTCCTATATGCAATCAGTGACGCATATCCTGCGGCTACTAGAGACAAAGAAAGTGGCAGATGGAAACCTATCAAATCTATGATGGACAGGCAAGCAATATTTGTTATCTATCGCTTGCTGGCATGCAATCTTCTCTATCATGATTTCATATATCGAAGCCTTTGATTTCATCATCATCATCAGGATGAATTGAGACGAAGCGACAGGATGATGTGCAGCTACTACAGAATGAATCAAGGGATATCAGGGGGTGCTGGCAATTCTGCAGGAGCTCTAGAAGCAGGAAAAGATTCTGTGCAACTACAAAAGTCAAGTGTACTCAGCGATTAAATTTTCTTTCTTCTCTCGAACTTTCTTCGGATCTCCGTGAATCAGCAGAGCTTGTGTGGAACGATGATCGTTGCTGATGTTGCAACTGGGTCACTGTGGCAAGTGTGATTGCAAAGGCGTCCGCGAATAACCGAGGATCAATCGTCATATTGCTGTATCCATTTGCGACAGACGGATGCAATATTGGCTGAGAATGTCTTCTGAGGACAGCTAGCGGCAATGCTGATTGTGTCGCCATGACTTGAAGCTGATTTGCAGATGGTGCCAAAGGAGGCAACTGCGCAGCAAGTGAAGACGAAGCAGGTAACAGCGCCGGATGACTGATTATATTCTGTGCACGAATAATTGGCATGGCGGCGAAATCTTGTGAGGTTCTTATCTCTCTTGGAGACGTCGAATGCAACGGCAGAGAGTGTTCGCTGTCCACCTGTTGCCTGTGATCGACAGATTGCAAGAAGTTTCGACCGTGATCACTCTTTCTCAGGCGCAACGCGTGGCTGACCTTCTTATACGCGGTCTTGTCATCGACTATCACCCATTTGTCGTCGCTGTCGTCATTGAATCGCCGAAGAAACCTTGCCCCGGTACTCTTAAGCTGTTGGACGAGATGTTGAGTGATGGCAGCCTTTTCTCTCCGAGTCGATGTCAGATAGCTTTGGCGATGCCTGTCGACGAGGAGGTGAAGATTGTGGTTTCCATGGTGATTCATGATATGAAGGCCACGTCCACAGATGATATCCCTAGGACTACCTGATACTGGAACCATAGTGGGTTTCGATGTGTCTGTGTCGCTGCAATTAAAGCTGTTGTTGCCGCTTGAGCTGTGGCTGTCTTTGCCGTTTTCTATGATTTGTGCTGGAGTCGAATCGTCTCTTCCTTCATGAGGTGTAAGGATAGGACTGCTTTGCGATGGAGTTTCGGCTGTCATGTTTTCTTTAGGAGGCTTTTTGGATCCCATGGCGCTGTGAGACTGAGTTGCAATGGCAAGTTTTTTGCTTTTGTTCGTTGTGGTGCTTAAGTTGCAATGGTGTCTTTCGGTGAAAACGGAAAAGTAAGAAGGCAAAGGGCAGATATCGCTTTCATGTATGGAAGGGGATTGCAGGCGGCTTGTTTGAGTTGTCTCTGCAGATTCAGTAAAGTCGTTTCTGCTAGTTTTGAAAAGTTTTGCTTTTGATGCTGCAATATAATGTTGCCGGAATATTTCATATGTCTGATGAGGTGTTTGAATCGTAACGGCGAAGGTCTGCGCGGGAACCGCGGCAGTATAGTTCTATATTGACCGTGCGACGAGAGTTGTTTTGCGGTGATGAACTTTTTTTGGGAGGTCTCATTATGTTAAACAATCAACATGGAGCGGCTTTAATTGGCGGTCGCCAAACTAGCATCACGACACTGCAAAAAGACAAGTCTGCAGAGATGTCAATGAAATTCACAGACTAGTGATTGTTGTGCGGTGAAAATCCGCGTGACTCACTCAATCATGGAGTTGATCTGCCTCGGTATCGTGACACCCATAACTCTACTGCCTGTACTGTAGGTCGCTTCTATATAGTAGGATATGGGGAGCAAACTCAGCCAAAATTGTGATACTATAATGCACATAAATGAATGAGACTTTGTGCTCTACACTGCGCTCTTATTGATCCATTTCTTCTTGATGATTGCGTATCGCCAAACATATTGTACTTGAGGTACTTTGACATGGCACTATAACATCCACCTTGTCGCAGTACCGGTACGAATGAACTAAACGATGGAGCAGAGTAATGCTGGATTCCTCCCTTAGTGTCCCTTTCACTTCATTGTCTTCGGCATTCAAAAGAGGACTTGATGAACGAGTTGCCATGAGCGAGAAGCCTATCTTTCATGTTTGCCATTGTAAAGCAGTGGTAGAGCAAACCTCCACAGGAAATCGCAGAGCAACGCACCAAGGCGAGTTGAGACAATGTCGTCATAGTATCAATTCGACAGAGCCTACGACAAACATAAGCAAGAAAGCCCTCTATCCTGGTCTGCCAGAACACTTCACACAATTGAAGGTAACCTTCGAATCTTGTTCCGACGGATGGTTTTCCGTTAACGCATGACCATGGAAAAGAGCATTCGAGATAGATGGTATCTCACCTATGATGCCATATGCTACCTTGTGCAAAGCACTCACGCCAGGAGCCGCAACCTTACTTGCTCAATGCTCATCATCGTCAATAGCACGGTATACATAGAACACAGATGGCTTATACCGAGCAATCTTTGAAGATTGCTTCTGCTGTCCTCAACGATTCGAGAATACCTTAAGTGTGCCTCAATCAGTCCGCGGACGAGACGCTGCTTGGTAGGTCTGGCGATGCCTATTGACAATACTGTGCAACCTGATGTTTCCAAGGTGACTCATGATGTGAAGACCACGTCCACAGATAATGTCTTGGGGATTTCCTGACAGCCGTGCTGCTGGTTCCGTGACTGCAGGTCCAGATTTGTCGGATGGGGAAGTGCCGTCTTTGTCATGTCTTTTACTTGTGCTTGTCTGTTGGATCAAATCATCTTGAAAATCATTGTTGTTGTGATGCGGCTTCATTCGTTGGCGATCCAACTTTTCGGTATGTTAGGAGATAGTGAGCCAATCAGATTAGCAATAGCAATACAGTTTGAAAGATGTTTTAGGAGACTCTTGGATGTATCATTGATGGTTGACTACCAGCAAGGCACTTTCAAATACAACAAGAGACGACTGATACAGTTCATATACTGTAGCAATTTGTTTTGTACGTATAATATTTACCCAGTACCGCAGTACTCGTACATAATGTGCACAGCGGATTTGCGTGTAGACCCACAATCTTGTGCTGCGGTTGATGCCAGCAGATTCTGCTTGTTTGTTGTGCCTCATGCAACTAGTACCAATAGTCATTGTGGCACGAACTGGCTAGATGTCATGGCATCCCGCATCCATCGCTGAAGTATAGTCTCGATATATGTCACTGGTGCTCTGATGGGTTTTATACACGCAGGAGTCGTCATCGAATCGATTGGATATGCTGACAGGGTTTGGAACAGGAAGACAAATAGCAAAGCCCATTCGATAGTCTCACACTTTGATTTTTTTGATCAGAATCCGAAGCATGAGCTATCAGACGAGACCTGACCTTTCAAATCAATGACTGATCCCTGTAATGGCTATATGCCAAAGGTACTCTACAAGCAACCGCACGGAAACCAATCAAGTAAGACTCATTGGTACCTAGCTTTGGTCACCAGCAAAGGAATACAGTCGGTACATGGCCAAACCTGACATGAAACAAAATGCTCTTTGAGAATATGCTTTCGACATTTTTCATCAAAACAATCTGTCGTCACAATCTAGTCGAAATCTTTTCGGTATTGGACATTTACTGCCAGCTTGGAGTTCTGTACTCGAAACCCATCATGCTTAGTAGAACTCTTCATATATTGAAGGGGTGGAGGTCAACTCCTCAAGACTGATCATGTGTGGCCTCGTGAAGAGGGGTGTTCAGTTGACAGTCAACGGACTCCATTCAGGTGGGACACAGTATGCCCAGAATCGATCTTCGGATACTTAAGTGTGCAGGTTTCTTGATATTACTAGTCAGTCTCGACGGCTGAAAGAAATACCACGACGGTTCATTCTTTCACAGTCGGAAAGATCAGTATGACAGGTCATTTGGTGGTTCCGCCGTTCTCATGTACTCAGCACCTGCAACGAAAAAATCATGCGCAATAGATCCTTCAAAACTGTTTCATTGAAACTGAAGCATCAATCGGCACACGCGCCTCTTTTGTGGTTGTCGGGTTTTTGGGAGGTTATATCGTCGGTTCATTCATTCAATTCCCAAATAGGGAGACGACGAAACCGACAACCTTTGGAATGGCGGCAACGAATATCAAGTCTTAGACCACAAGACTATGACTGAAAAAAGGGCTGCAATGACACGGACGCTGCCATCATCGTAGATTCAGATGAACTTTCTTGTCGCTCCTTTTTAAAGATATCTCAAGCCATCCTGTCCGCAAAGGCACAATGCCAGTCTAACAAACCAAACTCTTAATCTGGCATCATACTTTTACACCCTGTCCAGAATCGAGTACTCTAGTGGGAGAATCCATGATTTTGCCGGTGCTGCTGGAGGCAATCGATATCTGAAGAATGGTTCAAGACTGCATGGACGCCCATCACCAGGTGTTTTTTGCGTCTGGAGGTCGAAGTTGAATTTGTGACGCACTTGATCGAAAAAATTATGACAGCTGACAAAAACAGTACATAATTTTAATTAGGCACTGCACAAAGGTGCGATGAGGTGGCCACACTCACGGCTTCTCACAATTTCCTTCGCCTACAGTACAAACGGTACAGTACAGTGCTAAGTAGTATTGTTGGAGGTCGGAGATCCATAAGTGGTTTTCTGACGTACCTGGAGGTCAAATGATTGCACCCACCATAATTCCGGAATCCACACACAATTTTGCATTTTCTTATAGTTGTCATAATCTGGTTTGTTCCCATGTCATCAGTCATGGTCTATCCGATGGCGACTAGAAACAATGAATATGGTAGTGGGAAACTATCAGATAGATGGTGGATAGACACCAGGTTACATCTATCGCTTACTGATTGATTGAAGCCTATCATTTCATCATCATTATCGGGATGAACTGCTGCGATGAAGCCTCGTAAAATTAGTTTCTCAGGGTGCATATTGCATCAGTCTCATTGTTGCATTATTGCAAGTGGACTCTGGAATGTTTGCGGAGTAACAGCAAATACTTCACCTGCCGTTGCTCGTCGAGATGATCACGTTCTGATAGTCGTGAATGAATGAATCACAGGATATCTGATGATGCTCAAAACAGTGCACGAGCTCCAAAAGCAGAATGGGTTTCTAATGCGACAACCAAAGCCAAGCGTGAAGCAACGCATTGTATGTGCTCAGTTACCATTTCGTTTACCTCCTTCTTTGGGACTTTCATTGAACATGCGTGAATCAGCAGAGCTTGCGTGTAGCGGCAGTAGTTCTTGATGTTTGAACTGTGTCATTACGGAAAGCGTGGTTGCGAACACTTGCGAAAACAATCGAGGATCCATAGCTACATTCCCGTATCCATGGACTACAGACGGATGTAATGTTGGCGGAGCTTGTCCTCCGACAGCTGGTGGCAAAGCTGATCGTGTCGCCATGACTTGAAATTGATTTCTAGACGAGGGCAAAGGCAACTGCATAGTAAGTGAAGACGAAAAAGGTAATCTCGGCGGATGGCTCATTGTACTCTGTGGTCCAATTGGCATGACAGCCATATGCTGTGAGGAACTTGTCTCTCTTCGAGGCAAGGAGTGAACGATAGATTTCAAGAAGCTTTGCCCAAGATCACTCTTTCTCAGACGCAAGGCATGGCCGACCTTCTTGTACGCGGTTCTTTCATCAACTTCCACCCACTTGTCATCGCCGTCATCATTGAACCGTCGAAGAAACCTTGCTCCGGTACTCTTCAAGTGTTGAACGATGCGTCTAGTGATGTCAGCCTTGTCTTTACGAGTCGATGTCAGATAAGCTTGACGATACCTGTCAACGATAAGGTGAAGATTGTGATTTCCATGGTGATTCATGATGTGCAGACCACGTCCACAGATGATATCTCTAGGGCTACCTGATACTGGGACCATGGTGTGGTTTGAAATGCTTGTATCGCTTCTTGCATCGCCATTTGTTTCGCTTGAACTGAGCTTTTCTTGTTTGACTTGTGTTGGAGTTGCATTGTCTCTGGCTTCACAAGGTGGGAGGACGGGACTGCTTTGGAGTGGATTTTCAGCTGGCATCGTAGGCGCCAGTTGGCTATCTTCGATAGGAATTGAAGAGTATTTGAACTCTATGGCGCTGGGAGACTGGCTGACATTGCTTTCCTTCGTCATGTTGCCGAAGTTTCCCTATTTTCTCTTTCGGCGAATAAGACGGAAAGTATCAACTATCTCTTTCTCGTATTGAAGCTGATGAAGCAGCACCTTTGAATTTTTGTTGCAGGCGGTCTTGGCTTTACTACTGCTGATTTGGAAACGTTTTGATGCTATATCGCAGGAACTGCCGTACACCACGTATTGAGGTGTCGTGGTTTTTGAACGCAACGAAGGTCTGCGCGGGGACCGGCGGTATATCGTTGTCCGAAGTTATTATTATATTGCTATACTACACATTGAACGTTTTCGGCGATATACGCCGCTGTGTGTTTTACAATCAGCACACACAGCAGTCAGGCAGCAGTGGTCAACTCAACATCATAGCACTGCATTAAGACCAGTAGTCTGGATCCGTCAATTTGATGCACAAACTAGTAATTATTGCCGTGGAAATCGGTATTCGAACACCCGGTGCTATGACACTGCTGCTCATGTCGGTTCTAGTAGGATATGGACAGCAAACTAGCCACAATTGTGATACTACTAGCCAGAGACCGTGAATGGGACTTCGCGCTTTTCTACTCTGACTGCCTTCATGATTGCGTATCGCGCATCATACATTTTAGGTACTCGGGCGTAAGGTTATCGTATGCACCTGCCTTGTGGCTTGGCACTATATACTTCCTGTGGCATACTCATTTCAGGAATGGATTCAAGGCCAGTATGGTAGCCCTTTGACTTCCTTGATTTCCTCACTCAAAAGAGGACTTGCTGAATGAATATCGGTGAGAACCAGACCCTCCATTCTAGTCATTGGAATACTGTACCATCGGTAGAACAAAGCCCCAAAGGTAATCGCACAGCAACTCAGGTAGAGTCCATATCACGTGTCGCTAGGATCAAAGAACCAGCACCTTCTACCTTGCCCATTCACACCAACGATGCTATCTTAGCAAAATAGCATTGTCGTTCAAACCAATGCACAGATCGGGTATTGAAGGATTATAGGGTAAACTATGCTTGGAATCATTGTCAAAGCAGCACCGCGGTCGGATATAGCGCCATGCGCAATTTATCTCGCATGAGGGTCAGTGTGATTCAGTGGGTTCTCCCATTGGAGCAATACGTCTTGTATAGGTTCAATTGCAAAGATATCACACTGTAGTGCTGGGTTTGTCTTTTCGAGGACGGTTCATATCAATGAGACAATGATTCTTTCACATCGAAATACAGCAAATGCTGTGCCACTATATGATTTCATCCCCTGCAAATCAGCTTCACTACATATGGTTCCATCGCGAACAGAACCATTTCCAATATTGCATCTGAAAGATAGGGGCTGGGAATGCCATAACTGCCTCCAATAGTCCGGCTCGGATAACTTCAAGGGTACGAGTGCAGCAGTTTTGCCCATTCGTCATCGAAATGAAGATTCAGCAACGCATGCGTCCATACCGTTCATCATATATGGCAATGAATTAATACCTTACACGGCAGCTTCACGCACCACAAGGAAGCATTTTCAACTATGTATTACTCGCACTTGGAGTGCTCATGAAGTCTTTCCTCTTGGATCCTCATCAAACTAATGGTACATCAAGCCGATACACTGTGAGTTTCAAGGGTGTAGGCGATTCAAACCAAATGGGTTATTATCATGGTTGTCCTGGTCAGATTTTCAGAATACAACAAAGGCCAATCAGTGTGGTATGGCTATACCTATGCTTGCAGAAATCGTGCCAGGCTCATAAGTTGAACATGGATTGCATTGAACATGTCCAATTTTGGTCCGGTCATACTGTATACTGGAGCTGGGTGGCGTAGTGATTTTTGTGCACATCAAGTTGAAAGTGATGACGTAATATGACAGCGTGTGAAAAAGGACGAGAAAGTACAGGGGACGAATTGGGATTTTCGCCAGCACAACAGACGCACATACCGGTATACACATACTCGTACCTTCTTATATCGCATCGGCCTCTCATTTCGTCATCACCGCATTATTCAACCAATCCAAACAATAGAGTAATAACGACCAAGGAATCAAATCCTTGACTAGAGGTATTGCAGCGTACATCGCTTCTCAGCTATCTTGTCCTCAGCGGATACTTTCGATCGTTATTATCATGCGTGTCTTTGTACGATTCATCTTGCGATGCGCACTACAGCAGGCGATCGTGCGTATTGATAATGGGCGAATGTCTTTGCCATTGATGGCCTGCTTCATCTAGCGAGAAAGAAAGAAGAGAAGGGAACATGACTTGTTTGGGCTATCAACGATTATCGATGGTGACTAAGAAGTCTGCTGGATGTCATTATGAACACAGGGGCGAAACTGCAAATCTTTCAATTCACTCAGAGAAACTCTAGATGAAGGCATCTGTCAAGGTGCACGTTGATCTAGACAAGACATTGGTAAGGTGCGGTTCGACGATCGTCGTTGCATCAAAACCAAACTCTGGCAACAACTTTCTTGTCCATCCTACTGTAATGTTT